GATGACTTTAACTTACTTTAGAACATCTTTAGACCAACGCACTATGGGTATGGTTAGGAACAAAAAGTGCAAAAAGTCAATAAAATTTTAAATATACATTTTAGGTATATGGTGTCTTTGGGAAAGTTGTTCCTTAAGACATGCTGCACATTAGTCTCTTATATTTTTTTTCAGTATGATGACGCTAGAAGCCGCTAAAATTTTTTTTTCTCTTGTTTTGCGGTTTAGACTATCGGTCATTTTATATTAGATGCAGATAAAATTATTGTGAACATCTTTGTCATACATCATAACATCATGACATGTCCGCATAAGAAGTTATTTTCAATTTAAATTTGGATTTTGAGACATTTTACATCACGTACATTTTCATAAAGAATGCTTAGAAAATGAAAAATGTCAAATCTCCATACATTTTCACAAAACATGCCGTTACGTTTTGAGGAATAACTTTTTTCACAGGGCGTAGTTGGTAATTTCCTTACACAGCATTGTTTAATCGTCCGTAAAAAATTGTTCACCAACAAAACATTAAGGACGAATAAATTCTAATATGTTTTCAATATTAACATGATCAAAATGAAGCCAAAATAATACCATTGTGAGCAACTCAATATCATCAAGTTGAAGAGATGATTTTTAGGAAAATGAAAACTTTGACTTAACCAGGAATATAAAAATACATTCAGATTTACCTACTTAAAGCAGAATTCAGTTGGCTTTGTAGAAAGAAACTTGCTAGAAATGGAAGATCGTGCTCTAATACTAAAATATTTTATTAAATTTCGGAAATATTCACTAATCAAAAAATTTGAAAGATTAAAGATTACAGTCGCCAGGAATTACGCAAATTATAACCTCATGAAACGATTCTTCAACATTTTAAAGAAGAAATCTCTGCGATCAAAATCAATTCAGAGAATGTGCTATCTCGCTCAAAAGAATTGTTTCACCTTACAAGAATTCCTGCAATTTTCACCTCTGGACTCATCGACATCAAAATTTATTTTTTTTTATCAATATTATCGAGTTAAAGAAATGAGAAAATATTTTTACAAACTTTTATTACATTCGAAAGGAAAGAAATCAAGACATCGAAATAAAATGAAATTAAAATCTTCCTTTTCGTCCTTTTGTTCTTGACAATGCATTGTATTCACTTTGTTGAATACTCGCTTCGTTGAAGATTCTCTTGACCTTCGCTTGACGTTCACGATCTTGTTCTTGTCTTCGTTTGTGACGAATTTTAGACACAAATTCGTTGTCTCTTCGAAGCTCACGTTTAGCTGATTTGAATTCTTTCTTAATCATGTGTTTGAGTTTCTTTTGTTCAGCTTTAGCGCCCGTCACTTGACTGTACATTGAGCGGCGATCTGATAAAACTGTTTCAAATCTCGGTTCCAACATTCTCAACATTGGCTGGATTTTCTTTTCGGGTTGTGGAAAGATGAATTTTCGGTCTAGTCGGATGCTTTGGAAGAATTCAATTTTTCTCTGAATATTTTCCTTAACTTCTGTCGGAAGAGCGTCTTCATTCATTAATCGATTTAAAACCTTTTCAAAAGGATCCAAAAAGTATTTCAATCCAACATATTCATCGTAAAGTTTTACAAAATCTTCCATCAAATTTACAGTCAAATTTAAAGCTCGAACTTTGAAATCATCGTCGATTGGTTGATTTAAGAAGTCTTCAGGTTTCAATTTCAATCCATAATCTGCTTTAAGTTCATTCTCTAGCACAAGCAAAGAATTATTTCTCTTAAATGGTGGAATTGGTTTGATTAATTCAACTTCTGATTTCTTAATTCCAAGATGACAAATGCCACTAAGAAAATTCATTACAGAAGGTACAAACTTCTTCGATAATTGCTGATGATCAAGAAACAATGTGACAAGGAAAAGACCGCTGGTGACATCAGAGCGTGTCTTTACTTTCGCTTGTGATAAAATATGATGAATAAAAACATTTGCTGGTGTCACAATTGGATGACGAAAATCTGACGTGGGAAAAAGATGTCCAACAATCTTAAAGAAGATTAAAGTGTCGAGTTTCGGAAAATGTTTTGGATTCTTCTGAAATTCTTCATATTTCTCTTTCAATACTTCAAGAAAACATTTCGAACATTCTTCAGGATTAAGTTGAATCAAATCAAATAGGAAAGGAAGAAATTCATTCAAAACTTTGAAATGTTTTTTGATTGTTTCTTCGGTGACATCAGCGAAAGAATCGTTAAGATATTGAAGAAGATAAGCGAAAAGTTTCAACATTTTATTGCGGTTCATGGAGTTGAGCCTTGGATGATTTGTTTTGATGATTCGATCAATGACAATTCCTTGAACTTTTGCTGAATGAGATTGAAGAAGTTCACATAAATTCTCGTCACTTTCAGGCATTAAAATTGTGTAGGGAATTTTTTCCAAAGCTTCTGATAATTTTTTATTCATCTCTGGTTGTTTCTCAACATTTTCAATCGGTTTTTTTGTTTTCTCTTCTGTTGTTGATATTTTAATGACATTTACAGTTTCTTCTTGTTCTTCTTCAGACTCCTCTTCTGCTTTTAAGTCATCTAAACTATCAGCTTCTGATCCTTCATCTGACTCACTCTCATCTTCATCAGATTCCTCTTCATTTGAATTTTCATTTTCTTCGTCATTTGCATCTTCACAATCATCTTCGTGCTCACCTTCATTACTTTCATCTTCTTGTTCAGCTTCAGGATTTATTGGATAACTTAACACTTTATCATCATCTTCATTTCCTTCTTCAACAGGTTCAATAAAATATCCGTCATCAAAGTAAACATCGATTCGATGTTTACTTTGATTTCGAGCTTCTTCTTCATCGTCATCATCGCCTTTCATGCGTGTCAGACGTTCTCTTTCCAATTTCTCTAATCTTTCTTTTTCTATTCTTGCAATTTCTTCTTCATTCTTCAATTTTTCAGCTGGTTCACCACGAGGAGAAAAAATCATTTCTCTCACTAATCGATCATAATCATCAGCAGCTGGTTTAGTATTTTCTGCTCTTTCAAGTTTGCTGACAACTGGAATTAAATCTTTCCAGTCACTGTCAAGTTTATCTGTCAGGTTTAATATTTCTTCATGTTCTCGTGTTCTTTCAACTTTTCGTTTCTTTGATTCTGCAATCAACTCATCAATGACAGTTTTTCTATCTCGATCATCTGCTTCATCGCCACCACCAAAATGTGCTGCTCCTGTGAATTTTGCTGAAAATATAAAAGAAGAAATTTATACAAATATTCAAATATTAATTAAGAATGTTTACCATCAAGTCTGGCTTCTTCATCAGACATTTCCTCTTCATCTGGTAAAACGTCATCAAATCTCTCAATTTCCGCCAAGGACTGTCCACGATGAGTAAGAACTTCGGTATCGTTCAAATTATAAATTGAATCTTTAACCATTTTAAAATTCTGTCGACGATTGTCTTGGAAGGAATTTGCTTTATTTTTCAATTTATATTCAACTCCAATTGTTTGTTTACGCTTTTCAAAAGCCATTTTCCTTGAGACCAGCGGTTGTCCTTTACTGTGAGTTGTTTTCCGATTTAAAACATTAAATTTCTGTCTATTCTGATGCAATTCAAATGGATTTGCTTTCTTCTTGATAATTTTATTTTTCTTGGCGTATATCTGATCAGATTGATTACGTTTTTTATCTTTTGTTGACTTCATTTTTAATATTTTCCTTTAAGACTTTTCGGAATTATTTGTTTTTGATGTAAACACGTTTTAACTCCCGAGTTTCTACACGTCAAAAAGTTTCAGCTTGGTGCTGAAGTTTGAAAACAGTTAATGTAGCTTCTCCACTATTTTTGTGTTCTTCGACTGAAAGAAGAAAGTTGGAAAAATTAAAATGTTTGGAGATTATGAAGCTAAAGCTGTTTTCAGTCGAAGTGTCTATCTTGCCTTTTACAAACCATCAAATAAATATGTTGCACTTAAAAGAATATCAGCTGATAATACCACAGATGAAGAGATGTCTCGGGTATGTCATGAGATTTCGTATCTAAGGGAATTAAATCATCCAAACATTCTCACAATCGAATCGGTAAATATTTCAATATTTTCTAATAAGTGATGATTCTTATGGAAATTTTTTACAAAAGGTTTTTGTCAAGAACTTCGATATCAATATCATTTTTCCTTTCTACTGTTTTGGAAGTTGTTCGGAAGCTATAAAGAATTTTTTCTTTACTGGCTTTCCAGAAATAATAGCAGCTTTGATTCTTCGTGATATGTTAACAGCCTTAGATTACCTGCATAAGAGGGGAATTGTTCATAGGTGAGTTTTACTAAGAATTAAAGTATTTAATAATAATCAAATCTATTTACATCTTTAAGATCGATTAGAGCATCTAAAGTGCTATTAAATCAGACCTCAGCTGTGTTAATGGGATTCAGAGATGCGACATCATTAATGCTTAATGGAAAACGTATTAAATGTCTTCACAGTCTTCCTCAATCAAAAAAATCAGTTAATTGGTATGCGCCGGAAATTTTAGAACAAAATCTTATCGGATACTCAGAGAAATCAGACATTTATAGTGTTGGAATAACTTGTTGTGAATTAGCTAACGGAATTGCTCCATTTGCTGATCTTCCATCGACTTTAATGCTTACTGAGAAGATTCGTGGTAATCAACCATCACTTCTCGATTGCTCAACATTTCCCACAGATGAGATCATTGCACAAGCCATGGAAAGTGGAATAGGAATTGGAGAAGCTTGGGCTGCAGATCAAACACGTCAAATATATTCCAGTCGAAGTCTATCAGATCATTTTCATAAGTTTGCTGAACAATGTATGGCAAGATTTCCCGATAATCGTCCAACCGCTCAATATCTTCTCACACAACATCAATTCTTCAAACAGTGTAGGCATACATCGTTAGAAGAACAACTGAAAATATTCCTTGAACCAGTTGACTTTGACAGAATTGACACAGACAATCTGGCACAGAAACCAGACATCGATGAGTTGAGTAAAGGAATCAATGAGAAAATGAATATCAATGACACTATCGAGTGGGACTTTTGAGATGCGTTAACATCGCAAATTATGTCACTTTAATTAAATTTCGTTCTTACTAGAAAAAATCGGATCCTTATTCCTAAATACCTAAATATTCTTACTTCAGCACCTCAATTGATGAAAGAAATGATCGAAATCTTAGATTTCTTTATTGTTTATTTTGGCGGGAAATCTTCACTATGTAGAATTATAGAAAACTGCTTCGTATGTTTTAAGAAAACTCATCTAGAAAGAAATTATTTTTTAAAGGTTGAATTGTGAGATAGATTTGAATTTCTATAGAAATTATAAGACATTAAGCATTATAGGTCATCAGCAGAAATAAAATGGATAACATTTCAATCAATTCTACAACGATTGCAAGATTTCTTGAAGTAAACAACATAAACTTTACTCCTGTGTACAAGAAAACAAGAGCATCAACGAAATCTTTTATTAGTAAAGAACAAATAGAATTAAAAGATGTTAGAAACGAAAATGACACATTTTTATATTCTTTTGTTAATAATGATAAGAAACTGACTGTCAAGATAACTTCTAGTGAAATTGTTGAAGTTTCTTGTGATATTTGCACAGGTTTGAATCTTCCAGAATTAGTTTAATACTCTTGATGTTTGTATTTAATTGTTTTTCAGAGTTTTGCGAACATTGTCACACTCTTTTAACAATCATTGAAAGCAAAGATGAAGAAAATCATTTTTATAATTCTTCAAAGCGAACAAGCGACGACAAAATTGAATCTCAATCAAAGAGATTGAAATTAGATGAAGAAAATCTTGAAAATGATTCAAATATTCTCAACTCATCCATTGATGTCCAGGAGATAAAGATTAAAAAGAAGAAAAAAGTAAAAGAAGATCCAGCAGAATCTTTCAAAAATTTAGAAAAATTGAAAGTTTTAACATCAGAAAATCTTATGAAAGCATTTGGCAGAGAAAGTCAAGAAAGAACATTCACAGATTTCACTGAATTTTGTGCTAAAATTATGAAAGAAAATTCAAGTTTAATTGCACTTGCTCATGACTTGACAGTCGAACAAGCAGACACAACAACTTGGCATGAGCTTCGAATCGGAAGAATAACTGCATCGAGATTTCACGAAGCAACACGCTGCACAATGAAAAATGGTTCATTTGTCGATAAAGTTATGGGTAAGAAAAGTGGTTGGAGCTTCGCGATGATGAGAGGAACAGTTCTTGAAGAATATGTGTTTGAAGAAGTGAAGAAGGAATTTCCACAACTTCAACGTTCTGGTCTCATCATGAACCAAAACACAAATCCATTGTTCGCTGCATCCCCTGATGGACTTCATGATGATTTTGTTTTAGAAATCAAATGTCCAAGCACTCAACACACTTTCGAACAGTACATTGACGTTAATAAACTTTCAAAGAAATATTTCGCTCAAATTCAATTGCAAATGTTTGTAACTGAGAAGAAGAAAGCTCTGCTTGCTGTCGCACATCTCGACTTTGAAAAGACCCGGGAATTGACAAAAGTGTGGATTCCACTTGATCCTGACTACATTGAAGAAATGATTCAACAAGCAACAGAGTTTTATGAAAAAGCAATTTTTCCTGCTCTTAAAAAGAAGTTTCTGAAAAAACTTTAAACTTTGACGATTAAAATTATGAAAATAAAGAAAATTTTTTACACCATTTTCAATAATTATTTTATTAATGCTCAATAGTTTTAATGTCATCAAATTTTTATCAAAGGGAAGCAAGAATTTTAAAGATTATTAAAAAGTCGCTTAATTTCTAATATAATTTGTGAGTGTGGGAAAAAATGAATAAATGATGAGAAAGGGAAAAAGGTAAATCATCTTTTGGGAAACTAAATAAATTCTAAGACTACAAAGATGTGAATCAAATGAATTAAACTTCTTAAACAAGGGAGGAAGAGGAGGCTGCTTTATTCTTTTGCTGGAACTTCAATGACGCGAGGTTTGTCAATGATGCGTGCTGTGCGATTTCCTTTTTCAACAATGCCAATAATCCATGCTTGATATCCTTCTTGTTTCTCGATGTCTTTGCAATAGGCAGCAGCTTGTTCGCGTGGTAAACAAATGAGAAGTCCACCAGATGTTTCAGCTGAGTGTCCCTGCAACAATTGGAACATATTTCCACAAGCTTTTGCAACTGCTGCCATTTTAGCGATAACTGGTAAGTTGTGAATGACAAACGAGACTTCATTCTTTTGATGCGATGCAAGAGTCTGAGCGTGTCCCAACAAACCGAATCCTGTAATGTCAGTTGAACCGTGGGCGTTGTATTTGTGCATCAAACGCGATGCTGTTCGATTTAAACGAGCCATTGAATCCATGGCACGATGATATGCTTTGCGAACATCTTCTTCAGAAACAACCAACTTAATTCGATTCCAACGTTCCGGTTGTTCCAACCATTGATGGGCATTAACAGCGACTTGTGTTCCAAGAGGCTTTGTAAGAACCAACACGTCACCAACAACTGCATTATCGGGTACAATGTAATCATTTGGATTGCAAATTGTTGATGCAACCCCTCCAATTGTACACCATGGATTAACAACACTTTGACCACCAGTTACAGACGTGCCAGCTTCCAATGCCGAATCCTAAATTAATAAATACATTTTTTTTGAAGTTATGTAATAATGCGAAAATATAAACTTACTTTGAATCCACGCATAATTAAAGGAATGACTACATCACGTTCTTTTTCGGTCATTTTTGTACTGACAGCCAAGAGCATAAGCATATTGTCGCATTCAATGACTCCCATTGCATAAAGGTCACTGAGGACGTTAGCGCATGCAATTTTTCCCATCATGTAAGGATCATCGACAATAGGGTAGAAAAAATCGGTTGTTTGAACGAGACACAATCCCCCATGTCGTAAAGGAGTAACGGAACAATCGAGGCCGATACCAATTCTTGGTATGGCCATGTGCATGAATTGATCATCGTGGGATGTGTAATCCTGTTGAAGTGATCCGACCAATTTATTCAAAACATCTTGAGGAACTTTGCATCCTCGCCCTTTCAAATCAGCAAAGCGTGTTAAACGGAAATTAGCATCCAGATCATGAGCGGTGGGATCAAATTGTCGTCGAAGTAAATCGCTTCCGATCTCAAGTTTCAAGTCGTGTGTATTGTAATCGCTCATATTTGTTTATTCTATAAGGTAAAATAAGAAAAATATAAATGCCGGTCATTGCAGGTTCTTTTGAAAACAAAACAAAGGCGAAGGGAACCAAAATCATTCGATAGAAGGTGAAATATTGTCTTAACTTGTTGTGGAAAAAACGTATACGCGTCGACCCCTCAAAGAGGGTCTGCAGTGAAGTACTTTACAAATGCAAAAATTTAAATTTCACTTTTCACCTTGAAAAATTAAGAATTTACTTACCGTTTTGATGTTTTTTCAATATTTTATGAACGTGATTAAAGTTTGGAATACTTTTAAAATGCTAATTCAACGATTCAACGCGAAAATTAAAGTTAATTACGAAACGCCTATGGCTTTTACGGGGCAGGAGTTTGTAGAATGAATTTAAGGCGTCTTCACACTACGTGAAATATTCTGGGCGTCATATGAACCCCTTGTTACTCAAAAGCGCGGGAAAATTAAATCCGATCGGAATCAAATATTTCTTCGTATTTTGATTCATGTTAGATTATTAAAAAGGTCATCATTTTAGATTGAAATATTTATTATAAACGCAACATAAGATTGTAGAAAAATCATAATAAAAGCATTTGTTGTAACTTTTATTTTCATTTATTTATGTTCTAAAACATTTTAGTACAAAACTCTTCGGCTTTTACTTTGTTATTTGTTGTTTACAATTGCGTGAGAAACATAAAAAACATCTTTTCAAAAATGGAAGAAGGATGTCCAAGATGTAAGACTACTAAATACCGCAATCCATCGTTAAAGTTAATGGTCAATATATGCGGTCATACACTTTGTGAGAACTGTGTTGAATTATTGTTTGTTAAAGGTAATTCGAATCAAGTGATTTAAACCTGAAAATTTCACAATATCTTCTTATTTATAGGAGCAAATTCTTGTCCAGAATGTAATATTCCATTACGAAGAAATAATTATCGAGTACAGTTGTTTGATCCTATGGTTGAGAAAGAACTTGATATACGAAGAAGAATTCTTAGAGATTTCAATAAAAAGGTAAAATTAAATAATTTAGTTAATTTTATTTTCAACACTAATTTTGCTATGATTTTTAGGAAGAAGACTTTCCAACATTAGAAGAATACAATGAATATTTAGAAGAGATCGAAGTTATTATTTTCAATTTATGTAACAATATTGATATTTTGGAAACAAATAAGAAAATTGAACAATATAAGAAAGAAAATCGTGATCAAATCATCAGAAACAAACAACGAATGGGTAAAGATGAAGTGGAGTTAGAAATTATTCTAGAACAGGAAAAAGAAATGGCTGAAATGAGAAAGAAAGAAATTGAGAATCTTGAAGAGTTATCGAAAAAGAAGAAAACAATTGAGAAAGAAAAATTAATTGATGAGCTGATGTTTAGTTCAGAAAATGCTCAATCTATCCTTCAAACGTATGCAAGCAAAGCTGAAGAAGAGAAGAAAGAACAAGAACTCGCTCCACCACCTCCAAAAGTGTCCAAATTCTCTAGCGGAGTTAAATTCTCGTCCAGTTTTCAACAAAATTATCTTCCAATTCCAAAGGTTGAGGAAGGTCCACTGTACAAATATGAAGAGCCAGAAGTCGTGTTTAATGGACCAGCTGTTCCCGCACTTGATGAGATTGAAGCTCGAAAATATACAAATCACATCAGAACTGAAAGTCCTGCAGAGAAAGCTGGAGGATTTCAAAGTAAAATTTCTTGTTTACGTGCACTTCAAGAAGCTATGCAAGGCTTGTATCCATTCTAAAGATTCTGTTTTAATAAATTCAGTGAAAATATTCGTTGATCTAATTATTAATTATTTATAGTTTCAAATGAAACAATCACGATATGAAGATTAATTCTTATTTCAGGTTTTGATGTTGGAACATCCAAGTCAACTTTGTCCATGATGAAGAAAAGCTTAAAGCTTACATATTTGAATAATTCATTACTTACATTATTTATTAAAGCAGTTGACACTGAAACAAATTACTTTCTGCAAATAAATTGAATATTTTATGTAAATTTCAAATAAGAAACTTCATATTAATTTTTAATAATTTTATTTTGCTCATATCTTATAATCATTACGATGATGGATAATCAGAAGAGCTGACAAAATTTAGGTTTACATAAAATAAGCTTAGCTATAGAATTAAAATTATAAAAATCATACTTTTTGCTTGGACAGAATAAATTTCTTATTACGAATACAAAAGGGCGTTGCAGTGCTTTTTAAAGCTTATCATGATAAAAAAAGAAATTTTCAACTTGAAATGCAATAATTTTTAGCTGAATTTGAGTTTGTATTTTCGGTGGATATGCAATGTTTTAAATGATTTTATGCTGTTATCAGCTGAAGGCATTTCACTGTTTATTTTACATGTTTCATTTATTAAAACAAAAGATATTTTATAGGCACATTATTCAAATATGTTTTTTTTCCTTGTCATGATTATTTCTTTCTTCTTCTTTCTATCTTCCGTGCTGTTTGTTCATCAAAATTTCTAAACTTATATCACAGTTCATGGAGAGTTGCGTGCAACATCCTCCAACTGGTGTCCGATCGTAATCGCAAACAAGCACATGAAGATTTAATGGCGACTTCAGGCAAATTGTCAACCTTAAAAGGTTTATTCCTTTCTTTCATCTTCTCACTAACCAGCCAACATATTTGTCATCAAATGTCATCTCACATTTCTCTACATTATAAATAATTTTGGGAAGCTTTCTATCTTTCTTATTCATCATTTATCTCCTTTTCATCAGTCGAATCATAATTCATAAAAATATCCATTCACATATCTACTGTTAAAATCATTTCATTATTCTTCTTAATCTAAAGCTTTCAATATCAGTTAATTAATCAACTTTCGACAATAACTCCAAAAATAATAAAATAAAATCGCTTTTGTAAAATGGAAAAGTTTTTTGTTTTCTTCTTTCTTTTTTGCACCCTAAAATGATTTTTTTTTGTTGATGATCGAGTGCCAAAAAATGTTATAAAAGTCTAGATTAATATAATCTATGCATGAAAAGATATTTATGATTGTAAATTATTGCCTAACTAAGCTATTGCAGCATTCCTCACTGTTCTTTCACACTCTTATCTAATCTCTTTTACAATTCTGCACAAAATTGTTTACACACGCGTTCAATGGAAATGTTTGTGATCAGAAGCTCATGGAATCGGAGACGTAAATTGTAAATCTAGCTGATGTTATTCGCTTGCTTACTCAATTATGATCTCGATTCGTCTTTGTTATGATTATGCAATCAAGCTTCGTGAAGTTTAAATTACGTTTTATTTATGTATAAAAAAAAAGACTTTTGTTTCCTAAATTAAATTCATTTGATCTCTCAAATGTATGTTTTCTTAACCTTCTGCAGCGTCCCACCCGATGCCGATATCACGGCTGATTTGCATGTTTCTTTGTCAAGACTTTCATTTGAATTCTTGCACTCATGCGTCCGATCTTTGCTGCCAAGTGAAAACTCTAACTCTAAGTTATCTTTCTTATTAATATTATTAATTGTACTTGAATTAGTGTTCATGAGAAGATTAATGTCTTTACCGCCATTATTCATTGTTGGCAATTGAAGTAAATGCTTATTAGGATTTGCTTGCCATCCTAAATGATTCCGATGATGACTGTCATTACTTAGAAATGGACTTCGAGCGCTGTCATTCCTTAAAGAAACACATTTCGAAAGTGTAAATCCCATAATGACACCAAAAATCAATGCAGCAATCGCAAACAATGCAACAATCGAAGCACTTGATGTTTGAATTTGTGGCTCAAAATATTCCGATGTGCTTTGCGATGAAGGTGCTGTAAATACAAAAGAACATTTTTACATATTAGTTTGTGATACAAAAAAGTTCACAATCACAATTTATGATTATTTGCCCAACATAAGATGTCGCTAACTTAAAGCACTTCCAACGAGAAATTAGTTACAAAGTAAAAGTAAATGAAAAGAAAAAAAAAGTTGACTGTAATAAACAACAAATCCATTAACAACCCATTAAGTCTCTCGCACTTATCTTCATTATTACCAAAGTTTAAATTTCTTATTCTTCTTTTCTTTTTCATATTTTAAAACAACAAAATGCCAAACATAAATTGTATAATTTCTCGCAGGAAGTAGCCAATAATGGTAAATAATGTACCTTGCAGTACGCCGACGCTGTAGTATTTATGATTCTTCATGAGTTCTTCTTCTTCATTGTTTTCACTACCGTCAATTGGTAGCGGATTCTTTCCAAAGGACGACACCGTTCCGTGGGTTTGTCCACTATTGATTTTCGCATGATGATTCATTTTAATGGTTGGAATTACTCCATCGCCACAGACATCATCGTTTTTACCATCAATCGACTCAATGTACATTCCAGCGTTTCTTGACATCGTCGTACGATTGTAAAAGATACATTCACGATTGATATTGTCCCAAACGCAGTATGGATCACGAGAGCCAACACAATCTGAGCATTGATGAAGTCCCGAACAATTGTGAAGTGGAATTGAACGTACAAAATTATCTGACACGACAATCAGCTTTTGTGTCGCACGTGAGATTTTCAATTCTTTAATTCTGGTTCCAATTGGAAGAACTTGTTGTTCGCTGACAACAATCGGCTTGTTACCATTCAATGATTCAGCTGAACCAACATTAATTAATTTCAACACATGACCATTATCAGTTCCAATAAAGATCACATCGTAGCTTTTTCCGCTCATTGTTTCAACTTGCGAATCGATTGCAATTGATGTGAACTTGTAGTTTGAACCTGTGTGTACCAACAAAGGTGACTCGTGAATTGGATTAACAGCACCATCCATCAATGGATTCTTTAATATGAAATTAATTGTTGAACTTGGAAGTGTTCGTGAATCATCAACACATTGTCCAGGTCTGGAAGGTGAAGCAGGAACTTCTGTATCGTCAAGTGCGCGCCATACTGAATTAACATCACGTTGATTTTTAAACTTTCCTTGAAATGCTTCAAGAATCGAATTCATTGAATAAACACAAATTGCTGATCCATCGATAGCATTATCGTTGGTATTCATTACAGTATAGATTAAAGCGTCACGGTCGTTTCCGTAAATGCCATCAATCACTTCACTCGTTGCTTGTAATTCATCGAAATAGAACGGATATTCACCCGGCATCGAACAGTTCAAACGTGTCTTTAAAAATGATGAGAATCGATCGTGAAACGGATGAGAACCGCCCTTGTCATTCTTACAAACACGAGCGACACGCGAATACATCGATTTGCCACAATTCTGATACTCGATCGCTTGTTCACGGAAGAAGAACATAATGTAACCGTTGTATTCAACCGCATTAACAAACGATGCTTGATTTAGAATGTCATTGCGAAAATCAGTGCGAAGTGTTTGTGTGTTCGATTGTGGACTTAACAATCGTTGACGAAAGATGAGTTGTTGTGCACCAGCAAATCCAACCGACGTTGCAGCATATAATTCATCTAAGTCGGTATGAATGTAAGTATTGTTCTGTGTAGGTGAATAAGGACTTATAGCTGTAATGAGAAGTTAAAATAAATTGTCAGTAATTGTTATCCGATTATCAAATAAATTCTTCTTTCTTGTGAGCTTATGTAAAGTTCATGTAGGCGTTTGATTTGACGTCATGTAAACAATTAAATGACGCATAATATTGAAGTAGAGTAGTCAAAAACTGACAGTTGACATTCAAGTCAACGTATTTACATAAAATATTGTCAATCAATGTTTGAATTGTGTAATAAAAATTAATTTTCTTCTTCTTACACTGCAGTGGTGGAGAAACTTTTTCTATATTCTTGATAAATCGTATCAAACATGTTAAGAATCACTGCCCAAAACAACAATCATGAGAACAATAACTTTTAATTGACTTTTCATATAATGATCGCCATTTGAATTTATTGCTTTTCGTACTTTAACTTAATCAAGAAGGAACTTGAAGCTTCTTTTAAATAAAAGCTATTCTCATCCACACCCCCACATTAATATATTTGATGCTATTTAAATTATTTTATTCATATTCATAAAGTAGACTAACCTTCGCCTTCAAACTCTTGAAGCATTTCATAAGTCGAGCCATTGTCACTTATTGGATTCAGTTTATAGTAGCGGCACATCGGCTTAAAGCTATTTGTTCCACAAAGCATTATTTGTCGTTCAGACACACGTGCATAGATGCGAATGTAATTCTGACAATCGGAATTGTTCTTTCCTTTAAGCAAACACATTTCACGATGAGCTTCTGATGATGTCCATTCAATGCGATTATCGCGATTCTCGTTTAATCTTGTTAAGCTTAAGTTGTAAACATTGTTCTTGGCACCAATAAGCACTGAATTATCGTTCATAGATAGGATTTTGAAATAATCGCTTCCATTACCGAAGAAAGTCGGACTGCTTAATTCTGTGTGTGGTCATAGCAAACAAAATGAAATTCAATTAACATCGATATATCGACATGAATGAGTAATTTGATACCTACCGTAATCTATAACTCGATTTGGAAGAACAGAAAATGTCCATGCATGACAGACATTTCGAGCGATTAGAAGGAAAGTGATAAGAACGAAAACAGACGATAAAATGACGCCCTTCATGATGACGATGTTGTTGAGAAAACTTCTTATCACAATTTGACTCGTTGATGCTTCCTGTTGGTCTAGTTTTCGATGTTGATTCTGTCACTGAATAATATTTAACTATCTAATGGTTTGTATGTTCGTCTCACACCAATGCTCGATTTGAGCTGCTATCAGGTGATTATTTCACGTGTCAAAAATGTTGTCGAAAGCTAACTGAAAGGAAAATGAACAAAATGTTAAATGATGCGTAAATTAAGCGGCTTATCGTAATCGTAAAACTTTTAAATTTCAAACCCTCGAACAAAGCGATGTAAGCCAAACATATTTTTCATATCATATTTAAAACACATTCTTCAATGTCTTTTGAACTTTTCGTTTTCCATTAAAGGCTGTTGTACCTTTTTGTATTGTGGCCCGAGCCAAAAACATGAGAAACATACAAAAAAAATGTTAATAAAAGCGTAAGAAATATGACAAGTTGGGAGAAAGGTGAAGCAACTTTTACACATTCATGACATGGTTTTGAGACTTAAAACTTCTCAATAAATAAATATTTAATGTATCAAGATTGTTTGATATCTTCTCGATTTTATCAAGTTAAATTTTCTTATTAAATTTCTTCCATCTCTTTATTTATTTGTGTTCGCTTCGTTGGTTTATGTTGTATCGCAAATAAATAAATGAGAAGAAAAAAGCGCAACAAAACAAAACGAGTTTTTATCAAAGCTGGTAACAACAACTAAATAATAAGCGAAACCATGAAAGATAACTTTTTACCGGATATTTTCTGGTTTCCAACAAAACGAGACTCATTGAAGCTTTTAAATTACACTCGCGTTTTACTGGAACTTTCAGTGTTTCAGCTTTTTTTTTTTGTACTATCTCAACTTGTCGTCCACGTCGTTGATTGTATGTTTTAGATTCAACCTGTTATGCAAATAAAACTGTTGTTTCTTTTATCATCAAAAAGTTGAGTAAAGTTTACCGATGACAAATAGCTTTTTTATTATTACTCTTTTAAGCAGAAACGCCTTTTGTTGGTAAGAGAACTGTGATTGTTTGACGTGTTGTTCTCGAGACCGCTTGAATAAATTCAAAGAATTAAAGCAGTAAAGTTGTTTAGAAGAAAAAAAACAGTAAAGATGACTTTAAAAGAAATGAAACTTGATTCGATTTTTACGATTATATCAAACTTGAATTAGCTTCTTTAAGAAGATTCTTCTTCATTATGTAAATCTAATCATTTCTCTTCAGTCGGTTAAATGTTTAAGCAGATTGAAATGATTTTTGCGCTAGATTTGAGGACTTTTATCTTCAATAAAGAATCTCGTTAAGCTCAACTACGAATGTTCATCGAGTTTTGAATTCTTTTCTTCTTCTTAGACAGAAAATGATTGTTATTTGAAACTTCAAACAATAAATTGAATAACGCGTAAGTATATTAATAGACAACATGCCAATGAATAGAAGATCAGAAACATTTACATTCACTATCATTGAATTCTTCATCAATAAAGTTTTATTTTTAGCTGGGCACTCATGAATTCCACCTATGCAACATGAGCTGTGCTTATTGTAGACTGAATGACTCGATTAATTTCAAAACTTCACTTAATTTTATTTCAATTTGCTGTTTCGTTTGATAGCTTAGCATAGAATAATGAAAAACGCCTGCGATGCTTGCTTGCTAAGTAAATCAGTTGAGAAACATGCCAGCAAAAAGCCAGCTTTTAATTCATAATTTCCGTGTTTCATTTGAAATCATCATTGTTTTGTTTACTTTCAGTTTTAATTCCCTTCTCACTTTCTATGAACAGTTTCTAAACTTACGATTTGCAAGTGAAACTTACAATTAAATGTTAATTTTCATATTTTCCCATAAACTTAAATTGATGATTATCAACATTAAATGAAAAGTCGCTTCGTTGTTCTTCAACTCTTCATTTATTCAATAAACAGTATCGCGATTCGTGACACGCCTTAGTTGTTATGAGATAGCCCAAAGATAGCAAGAACTGCTGTTAGATTTTAGTCTGAAAAATGATGATGACAGTTCCTCGTACAACCAAACAAACCAAATTAAACATAACAAAAAAAGAGTCTTCTCGGTCAATCAAGACGACGTTGGTAAAGCACAAAGTAGAAAGAAAAGCCACATCTGTAAGTTGAAACTTGTTCGAGGTTTTTCGTTGTCTTATTTTGTTTCCTCTCGTATTGCGTTTCGCATCATCATTCATCGCCTAATTCAAACTCCATTTCTTGATGATAATATTATTAAATCAGAGGTTGTAAATGTATAATGTAATCAAATAATATTCACAAACTATCAAATCAAGAGCCGAAAAGGAGGGAGAAGAAGAAGAGAATTACATTTCATCGTTCCCCTTTACCTCGGTTCATGGAATAATTCAATTACAATAACTGATTTACAGCGCTTTTAACTTTTCAATAATTCCATTATGATAATGTCTATGTGACCTTTTAAAGCTAGAACAGCAATTTATGCTGATTTCAATCTACGACTCAACACAATGTGACGACGATCACAATGATGATGGCAAAAAATTTTAAATTGAGATAAGATTGTAAATATGTCAAATATCACTTCTCATCACGCATAAAAGCTTTTAATCTTTACATGTTTGGTTGTTGGTGTCAAACAGAGCTGGTAAATATCAGGAAGTGATTCTTGTTTCATTCAACATCATAAAAGAGGTTAAAAGCTTGAACAATTTATGTCGGGATCGATTAAAGACGAAGCCAATCCCTTCTCGTCACTAATTTAATGTCATCTGAACTTCCTTCTATTTTCAAGACACAAAGTCACGTCTGTTTAGATGATTATCAAGTTAAATGGTGACCCTCAGCGCATCTTCAGATTTCATAATGAACCCTCGCGCATTTTATGTCCACTGTCAAGTCATTTTGTTTTAGTTGAGCAACACAAACTTTCATGTAGGTGCGGCTGTGTTTTTTATTTATTTATTTTTTGTTGTTTCGATCTACCGACCAACCGATCGACCGACCACCTGTTAAAGTCGTTGAAACTTGATTGAAAACCAACACACTCATTACGCCTCGCTATCAGTATCATCGTCAGCTTAAAGTTGGAGGACAGCATTTAAATTTCAAGAGTCGCTTTCAATAAATATTATTGAAGTTATTTCTTATTGTTGTATGTAAGCAAGTAATCATTTAATTCAAGAAAAAGAAGATTTTTTCCGTCTTTTGATGATGGGAGAACAACTGACAAAGAAGCTAACAAGTATAAAAGCGATTTGAGTTCACTTAGTTATCATAGCATCATAAACAAGTGTTATTTACATAATCGAATAAAGCGCTTGTTGTGTACATGCCAATGTGAGTGCCAAAGTCGAACAAACAATTGTGAGTTGAATGGATGAATGAAAGACGACAAACAAACGTTGGGTAATTTTTCATTCCACACACTTGACGACGCTTTATTTACTGCATAGCATTAAATTTGTGTCAAACGAATAAAGTCATTACATTTAATGTCGCATGAACTTTCGCGCCGAATAAATGCGGGTATGCGTGAAAGGTTAATTTGAATTGGAAGTGTTACGTCACAGCATCACTTCTAGCATTGCGATCTTCTTCATCATCATTATCATCAACATCAACATCATCGATTTACATAACAACACTTTCATGTCGATAATTCGATGGTGGTGGCGACGACGAAAACGACGCCGACAACGATGGATGATGGAAGACAAATAGTTTCGCAATCACCATGAAAAGATTCGGCAAACAATTCTACGAAAACAAGCTTAGCTTTGGTGTAGATAAACATATTTAAATCTGGCGACTTTTATGACTTCTTCGAATGCTTAAAGTTATAAATAAAGAACGTTTTGGTTCTCTCGTGGTTTCACAATTTTATTTATTTTGATAAAATGTTCCGCATGAACAATGTGATTAAGAAGAGTTATCGGAAATGTCTTAGTCATGAAGTATGTGTGTAATTATTTCGTCTGACTCACCTTTCGATGATATTTTATTTCGTTTTTGTTTTTGAGAGCATAAAAAAAGCTTTTCGCATGCTGGCAGAATTAACCAAGATTATTATTCCTTTATGAATGCCGGGTATAACAATAAGATGAATCAACAAGTCGTACGCTTGTGTGCTGTACAAAAAGGTTAAAAGAAAACTTTTTTCTTTCTTTTTTTATAATGTGGTCGTCTCGACTTTCTGCGGTTGTAAGATAAGATAAATTTAATCCTGCACTTAAAGAAGCCTTAAAAAGTTGCATGTGTGGTGGACAATTTTCATTTTAATATTTTTCCCCGGAAAGTGACGTATCCGAAATAGAAACCTCGTGTGAATCATTCAATTTATACATTAAAAACCTTCAACTCGATGAGGTGCTTTGTTTGTCACGCAACACTTCAATCACTCACATAACAATTGGTGTTCGATATCAGCAGTCATTTTAATTGTATCTTGATATTCTGTTGCATAGCGTTGGAAATCGACTCCATCTAATTTATGTAGATACAACAATGCGAGTGTTTAAAATTCCATCAATTAAGCAAGCAAGCGTATTACTCAGAGTCGCAGTTATGTGAATTTTATCATTGAAGCAGTAATTAAAGTTAATGCTTCACAGTAAGAAGCAAATAATGAGACTTGAAATGAGCTTTTGGTTTCCATTAATTGCATCTCTCTCTCTCACTCTCCATCTTTGTTGCTTTTTTTGAGGTATTGACGAGAAATCACATTAATCCAGATTTTGAAACTATTAATTGACGAAAATCTCATTTTCACCGCCAAATCACGCTTTGTACCAAATGATTCAATGACGGATCGTTTATCTATCTTTTTTAAGCAGGCGCTAATTATAATCGTAAAAAAGGTGGAGATGCCTTTACGATCAGCGCAATTTGTTTGTATTTGTTCAGAATATTAAGCAGCAAATTACGACTTTTGGCACGAACAACGAGTTGTGATGAGAAAATAATATTCAATTTAAATTTGTATTTTGTATTACGAAAAAATACAATAATTAGTTGTAATGTTAAAGGAATGTTACGATACAGAGATGATAATTGATGGATTGACAATGAGAAACTTGGACTCCTTGATGATTCAATAAATGAACGAAAAGCTTCATGTCACGAAAGAATTTGCACGTGGAGGTTGAAGCTGAGATAGATTTAAGTTATTTGTTTATCTAAAGTAAAATCGCTAGAATTATGAAGAACTCAAACTACTTTTCCACATTATAAACACCTCCGAGTGAATGATTCAATAATCGATTTCTCTCGAATGACTGTCGAGGATCTCCAGAAATTAAACAGGCTGAAAAAAGAGAAAACTAAATAGATGAATCAGCTTATGAATGCTTCTGATTAATACGTTTTAAGAGAAATCTAAATAATGGCAATTTAATCAGATGCGGAACACAAAATAGGTTCGAAGTCTTCAAGAAGGAATGAGTCAGAGGTAAAGAAAACGACGAAGAAGAAGAGCAAGATGATTGAAAAAGGCAACGAAACAAGACCAGATCACTGAAGCAGATAAGAAAAAGAAGTCCCAACATCATCATAAGGACTACAAAGACCGTAAAAATTATTCAATTCACTGCTACGTAATTTATTAAATCTCTTTCAAACCAGCAAAACGGCAAAAAAAGTGGTTTAAAACAACAATCAAGTTTATTTATTTTCATTACTTATGCTAAGAACACAACTCGCCCATGAAGAGTTTTACAAAAACGACGAAATAAAGCCAAGCAAGCTAGCAAAAGAATACGAGAAAAAAACATGGCGTTGGATATTGAAGAATAATAAGTGAAGGAAAGGAGAACAGAAACACAACACACATACACACACATGCACGATCTTATGGTCTCGTGTAGCACCATCGATGACAAAAAAAAATAATAATCTACGTTCAACTAAATTCAGCTCCAGTTGATGCTTGCTGCCGTATGTTTTGTGTTGATTCGTACAAAAAGGCTTCGTTTGCTGTTTTTTTATTTCTTCTTTTTCCCAATCGCTTTGTTTTCGTGTTTTTCATATTTTTTTCTCGATTCGCGATCAAGAAACTGGTTTTCTTAAGCCCCCGATCGTAAGTTTGTTTTCTTCTTAACCGCACACACTTAAATGTTATTCTCTACTATACTCGTGTATTTAAAAGCATAATAAAAGAAAATGTATTAACGTAATGAGCCAGTGCCGTTTTGTTTATGTTCAAAATGCGATAAAATGGAGAAAGAAAAAGAAAGAAACGAGCGCCTAGAGATGTAATTGCGTAATTTGTTCTTAGGAGCCACTCGATTGAAAATCGAAAATATTTTGTAAGCAATTTGGGAAGTCGAATGAACTAGATTTAGTAGAGTGTTGTAAAAATATCTCTAAAAAGATATTAAACTCATTTACTGGATTGCTACTTCTGCCTACGTCAATGCGCTTCGTCATATACGAGAAAGAGGGAAAAAAATGAAACATAAAACAGAAGAGAAAAAAAATCAGCATACGGCGGGTGTATTGTTGAGCTTTTACTATAGCTTGTGGTTACTAGAGACATTGCGGTAATGTTGTTTTAAAAAAGAGAGAGAGACATATCGACTTACATTGAAGTGACGGTATGAAACTTTAAATTTTCAGGGACAATGATTGTTGAGTAAGCTTCGGCGACAAACAACTCTCGTATGTTAATATTTCAGAAAGAAATAAAAAAAAATGCAAATGATCTCGATTTTGAATTTCAATTTCAAGTGAAAGATAAACGAATAAGAAACAAAAATCGATTTTTAATCTAAATCTAAAACACTTATGTCAACAAACTTTCCACAGTTTGAACATTGTCTCTGCCTCGTGTTTGTGGACATTTGTTTTTTGCTTCGATTTTCTGTTGATTTTTACTTTTCTTTTTCTTCTTTTTTGTGGATAATGAATAATCACATTACAACGAGTAAATGGAAACGAAATGGAAATTTAAAGCCATTTTAAGCTTTAATTGTGATTTTCCAATTACTTGAATTTTATTTACTTTTTTTTCCATTTTTCGCTGACTCAAAAGCTTTAAAACAAAAGAATAAAAGAAATAAGTTTACGAAACCCAAATGACGTTGTGTCAATCATTCTTCTGGTCTTTCGTTGACTTACTTTCTATTGAAATCAACCTCCCTCAGAAATGTCACAAATAAAAAACCAGTTCAGTTTCGGTCATCAATTGTTCGTGTTTGAATAGATTCTCATGCCATGTCTTACTTTCATCGCGCGAGTGCTTATTAAATACTTTTATCTACGATGTCTCTCTACAATAGCTTCAACTCTCTCATACACATGTTGATTAATAAGACATTTAATCAACCATGATCTGAAGTTTTACTCGTTCGCTCTCTTTTCCTGTGATTTTTAATAATTTTTTAGTTACGCCGTGAGGATTAGAAATCGCGCTGGCGACATAAATTTTGTAGCCCATTAAAGAGCGCGAGAAAAGCTATTCGATAAGCTTCGTTTCCACTCATGTTTCGTTGTTTGTTGTTGTTTATTTGTTATTTATTTCTTTGACAGCAATCATTTATGCGAGGTCCATTCATGGAAACACGACAAGTATTCTCGTCGATCATATGCAAAATGCAAATGACGGGGATCGCCTTGAACAAATCTAGTTTCCTCTCAATTTTAAATGTTTAACTACACAACATGTTTTCAGCGTTCTACATCAATTTGACGTGTTGGTGAATTAATAAATAATTAATTATCCCCGCGCGAGATCACTTTTTTTTATAAATTTATTCCAACAAGGTTCGCAAAAATAGCTTTGCTAGACTTTTCGACTCGCTTTAGATTTCTTCTAAAATGGTCGTTATTCAATTTGCAGCATGACATAAATCGTTCAAGAAAATTGCTCAATATAAAAGTTTTTGTTGTTACAACGGCAGCTTTCTTGGAACCTACACAAGAACTGAATTGAAGCATTTTTTCTCATGCCAAAAATATATTTCTACATTTTTTCTCCCTCAATTCTTTTGTGCTTCAATGCTGCAGAAAAATGGCTTGAAAATCTTTACTCTTATTGTTTGGAGCACGTCTGGTGTTTTGGGTAAACAATTTAATTTCTTTCTAAACCTTCACATGGATTTTTATCTACCTGAGGGAATGTATTCGAATCAAAATGATATTCTCGAGACGGGAAAAGAAGCAAAAATATCTTGGAGGAAGTTTCTAATTTCTTTCTGTCGACAATTACCGGACTTGAAAAGTCCATTACAATCATTGAGACGAGTGATTTAAGTATGAAACTTAAAACAAAAGGTAATAAAAAATAAAACAATAAGAAAGTTTCTGTTTCTCTCTTAATTCATTTTAAAAGGATCATTTGTTGAGTCATTGTAAGGATTCTAATAATCGAGATTGTCTAGAAAAGATTTCCTGATTTTTTATTCTTTTATGAGAAAACAATTCAAAGTCAACATTTCCTTTTAAGACAGAAGCTTTACAAATAAACATTTATGGAGATTTTAATGATTAGATATTGAAAAAAGTTGTTTTGTTGAAGTTTGTTTTATTCTTTAGTTTCGATGTTTATGTTTGTAAATATCTAATGTTCATGTTGTCCAAGGTTAATGCATTTACCTTTCACATGATTCAGTGGAAACCTTCTAGATGTCAATTCGCAGTCGAAAAAATCTTTTTCTATGTAAACTTTTATATATTTTGAGAAGTGTCAAGGTTTTCTTACTTCTAATAATTATTAGATTCACACCTGGCAAATCTTTTAAGCATTAACGATTCTTCTTGATGACAAAATCTCATCAACGCTTATACTGAACGAACATAAAAAACTTCCTTGATTACTCTTGAAAACATCACCAACCACTAACGACCGTTAATCGCTGTGAAGCATTCTTAATTTACGAGCGCATAATCAAGTCCGACGGTGTGGAAGAGTTATGAAAATTGCGCGGGCCATTAACAGCGCGGGAGTAAAAACTGTTGTTCGAAACAATAGAAAGAAAGTTTTCGTTTCTTCTTTTGTTACTAAAAATAATAGAAATTTATAATTTCTTTCAATATATTTACTTGCGTCGCGATCTTCTCATCCACAATGTTCCAATTTAAATGAATATTGTATTAGTATCGTATTTATTGTTTTACTATGTGCGCTTTTTTTTTGTAATTTATTTATAGATTAAAATCCGAAAACATTTACTTAAAATACGCGCTTGATTCCGCATCGCTGATGTTTTTTGGGACACAACCAAAGGTTTTTTTTATCGTACGTGTTTTTAACAAAATTTTAACTCTGTTTGACTTTTTCTTTTTCACTTCTCTCGTTTCGTTTTAATATGACAAAAAGACGAAAAATAATGCCATTAAACAAACGAGTCAGGTAATTTTTTTTTCTTATTTCGTCTTTCTTCATTCTCTTCTTGCTCTGCTCACACAACAACGTCATCTTAAAGACACAGCACAGCGAGAAACTTGTTTCTTGGGATTGAGGTGTGTGAGTGCATAAGAGTTCTTTAAATGGACGCATTTATCAATCATGTCGACAACTTAATGCATGAAATATTGAGGGTGGTTGAGGACATTCTAAAACATATTTTTTAAAAAGATTTTTTATCATGATAAATCAGTATTTGACTTAAAATGTTTGCTTAGGATTGAATGTCAGAGACACTCATCATGATCCACCCTTTTCCTGATATGTATTGTTTTCTTATTATTTCTTTCTTTACTCTCTCTCTCTCTCGCTCTATCTCACTTTACTCGTTTTGTATATGCTTCATGTTTATGTGGCTTGCGAGCTTAATTAACATAAAATTTCCAAGCTAAATATTTTTATGGGACTCACCTAAATAATTTGAAGTCCAATACTAGCTTTAAGATCTTTAGACACGATGCAAGGTGCGTTGAATCCTTTATAAATAATAAATCCCCATGTATGCACTTTCTGTGGGCTATTTTTATTATTCAACTTTTTTTTTATTCATTTACTGCATTTATTATTTCTTCATATTTAATGCACTTTTTCTTTCGGTTTTATGTGGCAATATTCTTTGTTTCAAGGCACAATTTTATCTATTCATATCAAAAAAAGGGTTTGTTTTGCAAATATGCTATAAAATGATGAATAAAACACAAGAAACACCTCGATGTAATCGAATAAATAAAAAACACGTTCAGATTGAATGGAAATACGAGTGCAACTGAGCATTCAAGTGGACTTGCAACCCTGCCAAAGGGGTATGTAGGTATGTGATTTGTGAAACACAACATATATCTTAATACCCCTTTTCATCATCGTTTTTTAAGCGAATCGCAAACTTTTAACGCCCAAAACACCTAAAAAACCCAACATGCTCGTAAGGTTCAAATTGATTTAGATATTTGTAAACATTAAACATTAAATTCATTAAGTAAAGGGTGTTTAATCTAAATAATTAATAAAATCAAAAGTCAACATGCTCAACCTTCAGCAGATATCAAAAGCAGATCCAATTCTTTTGCCTACACTTTTAAATTCATTACAAGATAATCGTGTTTTTAAAAAGGTTAGTTCTGAATTATTTTTAATGTTTTGATTGACTGATATTTATTGTTATTTCAGGTCGAGTATCGTGAATCATTCATTAAGAATATAAATACTCTGTTAACTTTGAGAGAGTCAAGGAAAAGTGCGTTATCCATTTTAAATATCTTCTGTGATCATCACACAATAGTTAATTCACCGGCTACTGAAAAGACATGCCCAGAAATAAGTTGGATAAATCATCTTTTAAAGATCATCGAACAGGATCAACATAGTCATATTGTATGCTTCCAAGTTTTGACAAAACTGATGAGGATCTTGTCAGGAAATCCAGACACAAACAAAATTATTCAATCGAAATACATTCAGAAAATCATTGAATCGATCTTAGGATGCTCAGCTTCCCCAATTCCAGCATTAACATGTCTTGCAACATGCTTCGAACTGCATGGTGGAACCAGTGGCATTTATAAGAATAAAATTTATGATTATTGTGTGTCATTTATCGATTTTCCTGATGATGGAATAATTGAAAAAGTCGGCCTTTGTCTTCATCTTCTTCAACAATCAAGAGGAGGAAGTGTAGGTGGTGGTGTTTATAAAAAGTGCTGGGCAGAATATCATGATAAAACTATTGGATCTCTGGAAGAGCTTCTAGAAGAAATCATGAAGAAAAGTAGTGACAAAAATGATGTTGGAAAATCTGGAAAACTTCAATTACCGGAATTGAAATTGTCACCACAACCATTTAACAGATACACGCAACTATTCATTCGCTTTCAAAATATTATGACTTTCTTACGTGTTAGTTTAATTAAACCTTTCACAACATCAAAATCAATTAAGATAAGTCGGATTCTTTCATTGATTGAAGATGGAATCATGATGAGTCAAGGACTGATTGGTAAGAAAGCAATCGCTGAAAGTCTCGTGTTATCATTGATTCATAGCCGTCTTCATCTTAATTTGCTTGATCTTCTTAACACTTTAATGGTGGTGTTAAAACAAAACATCATCACATACTCGAAGAATATTAGTGATATCCTTTGGAGATGTTTGAAGCAAACGAGCAACAATGAACAACAAAAGTTTGAAACAAATTTGTAAGGAAATTCTAAAACACGCTTTAAACTTTGGTACTAAAACTTTTTTATTATTTCAGGAAACTTCGAGCTGCAACTTATGATGCTTTCATAAATTTCATGAAAATTTCACCAAATAATTTTCACTTCAAAAATGTTATGGAAAATATAATGAAAGAAGCTTTTATCGATGTGACACCAACCAATGATGAAATTTGTTTGATTGTTCCCCAACAAGATAATAAAAAGTCAAATAGACGGAAGAAAGTGAACATCGACAAGAAGTTTTTGAAGCAAAAAACGCATATGGCGAGTAACGAAGACGAGCAGCTGACATGTGTGAAAGCTTTAGAATGTTTAAGATTCATTTTAATCTCACAAGGAGCTATAATGAAGCCAACATTGTTTTATATCATGCAAGAGAAGATATTAGCGATTGGATTTTCAATTTCATCGACCATTCAACAAGATGGTGACTTGTATCGCGATCCATCATGTCGATCAAGACTCTCAGACCTCATCACTTCAATGATGACTCATCCAGTTCAAAAAATACCAACTCTTATTAACTATTGTATCGCTTTATTGACAAAAATTAAACAAACTGATTCCGATGCAAAAGTTCGTGAGAATGCTGAAAGAAATCTTTACACGGCTGAGACGACAATTCATAATAGAAAAGATGTTTTCTATTTCCCAATTGATTATCGAGAGTTTCGTGACACTTTGATGTTTAACAAACAAATAATAAAGAAGTTTAATGAACCAGTTGTGACAATTGAAAAGGTAAACAATGAAGAGAGTAATGATGTGAATGAAAATATTGAGAATGAAGAAGATGATGAGAAACAAGAATCGATCTCAGTTGCTGAAGGAAATGAGATATCTGAAGAGGAAGTTCTGGAGGAATCATCAAGTGAAGAAGAATCTCCAATCATTGAACCGCTATCGACTAAGACGACAAATCCATCAAGCGAGAAAGTCACTGAAAATAAAAGGCCATCGACAGCGGAAGATTCTCACACCACCGAGAAGAAGCAGAAAATTTCCAATGGGAAAGAAGAAGAACTTCTTGAAGAATACCTTGCAGATTTCACTGACGACATGTGAACGAAAGAAATTCTTATAAATAAAACATGAAATATTTCTACTCAAAATTATTTTTTAATTTTCCTCTCATTGGAAATTTCTCTCTTGAATGAAAATGTAAACAAGAACAACGTGCTTTTGGGTTCACTAGAGTTTGATATTAGGACGTGGAAGTCGACCATTGATAAAACTTCCGTATAGCATCAAGTATCTCGTGAGAAAACGACAAAACATTTTCCACACGACTGCTGCAATGTAGTTTGTCGTGTTTAATTTAATTATGATTTTTTCCATCCACACATGCGCAAGAAAATATTGAGAGAGTCGATGGAAAAACTGTCGCATTTATAACAACATTGAAAAAGTTTTTCTTTTCCTTCATCCGTTCTTTTCCCTTTCAGACATTGAGTCGTGAAAATTTCACTTTTTTGTGTTTGTTTTTTCTCCTTCGCTTTCTTGTTTAAATCAAAAAAGAAAAAAGTAAACTGAAGCAAGAATATCTGAAATAGCATATTGAGCTCAAAAATATATAATTTTATTTCTATAGTTTTTCATTTTCCGCTCACAATTTAGTTCGTGTCGTCTGAAGTCGAGAGAATTTTTTTGACATTTTTTTTCTTCTTTGGATGTGAATTTAATTCATTTGTTGTTTGAGAGCCGAATTTGAGTCTAGTTTGGAAGTTAATTAGTGGATGTGTATGGTGTTACTATCTGATGTGATGCTGAGAATAGTTAATAAGCTTTAAGGAAATTATTGGGGTCAATAAAAGTTGGAGATTTGGTAAGTCAAAATTGAGTTCACCATGTTGTTGAAAAAGAAATTGTTGCCGAAAATAGAAGAGAACAAAAGTTTCAGTCACGAATTCGGAACATTAAACCCAATGAATACAAATTTTACACATTGAAATAATTATGGAAATTTACTAAAACTAAAAAAACGTGAAATTTGATTTATTTCTTTCGACATAAATTAAGTCACAAAAAAAATATTTAAATAAAACTCTTAACATACTTCAAGGGTTTCTTTTCCTATACATAAAACGTCATCAATCATCAAAATTCTTTTAATGTATAAGAATTTTTGTTCTCTTCCGATCGTTTTCTACCCACTTTCGTTACAGTGAATAAATACAACAACAATGACTTCCTTTTCAATTCCTTATGAGAGACGAAACACAAAACACAACAAAGCTTAATTTATATTCGCTATCGGATATTTTTTTTCCTTCTCTTTCCCCATCTCCTGTTATTAATGATCATTTCCTTTGTAAATGTCAATACTGCTTTGCATTAAAAAAGTTTTTGGGGCGTTTTTAGGTCACTTTTCATGCTCTCAAGTTTTATTTTTTCTACATAAAAAAATGCAAATTATGCTTTCCTTTTGTGCCTTTGTCAATAAATTAATTTTCATCTTGCAAAATTCTCTCAAGATTATATTAAATCTAATCCAAAAGTTCCATTAATAATTTATTATTTCTCATGTGTCCTGCCATTGGCATATGGAAAATTTGCAAAATCAATTTGTATTCAATATACGCCTAAGCCATGTGGTTATGGAAAGCCTTTTTCGGGTTCATGCTAATATAAATAATCATATTTTATCACATCTGATATCGTATTTTATGCTATGTTATATTTGGCAGATATTATTAAAACACAATCACGATGCCTGTTCAAAAAACTAGCAATAATAAAATTTTATATGCATTTCGAGTAAGTTTATCACGTTTTTAACTATAAAGTTTCAAGCTGTGAAAGCATTAAAACGATTACATTGGTTTTTCAGGGATTTATCGCATTTGTCGCATTTATAGACATCGCAACTGCACTTAGAAATTATGTGGAAAGACGAAGCTTCATGTCGGGTAACGAAGAATACACCGACGTTAAATTGATTGAAGGTGAATACAGTTGAAAATTTTCTATTTGTAATTAAAGAGCAATTAGAATTTTATTGTATCATTTGGTGGTTCATTGGAGAATTTGGACTCACAGAATTTTAATTGCTTTCGTTTTCTCTTTTAAACATGTAGCCGATTACACAATATCAAGGGTTATGGGAATTTATAGTATTTTGAAGGCTTTGACTCTAATTCAGACAACTCTTTACATTCACTTCAAAGGTAAAGTTCATTAAAGATGTCGTCACTGACATAAACATTTGATTATTTCATTCTCTTTAATCTTACAGCGGTTGTTGCAACCGGCTGCTTATCACTAGTGATCACGATGATATTTTTCATAAGTGAGGCCTTATACTTCAGGTAAGCATTAAAGAACTTTAAATTACAACAAACATTCTAAAAAATTATTTTCTTTTCAGATCTACGACTTGTAACTTTTACGTGGTATTTCCTTTCATTTTAAACTCAATTACACTCGGTGGTCTTTACTACCTCCCAAAGAAGCTTCGCTTGTGGGATTCATTTCCGGAAATCGATGATGAAAATTCTGAATTGCTCAAGAAAATGGGAAACTTCAAGAAAAGGCGTTTGCAATCAAAACAAAAGAATATCTAAAGGAACATGTTTTCAAGTAGTAAATACTCACAATTTACCAATTTAGTGATTTCTTTTTCAATCAAACTCTTCAAACCCTCATCAGCTAAAAGAAGAAGTTTTAAAACTTTTTCAAGGATCATATAAGAAAGCTTTATTAACTTTAAATATCAATATAAAAGATATTTCACAATTTTTTTCTAGAAATTTGATACATTTTCTCACAACTTTAGAATGGCATGATGATGTGAAGTTTTTAGATAAACTAATGGAATGCAATAAAAATGTTGAGCTCAATAGAGCTCATTCAGCTCAATAAATAAGGCAAATTGTTTTAGTATAAGTAAGTACGTGATTGTGCTGTAAAGTGAAGTCTTTAAAAAAATCAATAATAGTCAGGAACTGGAGCTGAAACAATCTTCAGGAATTCAGTGTAATTGAAGTCATTATTCATGTTGACGTTAGCTTCACGGAAAATCGCTTGAATTTCTCTTTCACTAAGTTTTTCGCCCCAATTTGCAAGGATCGAACGTAAAACTCGCGGATTAATTTTTCCTGTTTTCTTGGTATCATAAGCTTTGAAAGCATCAAGAATCTCATCAGGAAGCTTTTCCACTGAAATTGAATTTTGATAAGAAAATTCGACAACGTAGCATAAAATTTTTATTGCTTACCTCTCGAATGTGTATGAACGACTTCAAGGAAATCAGAAAAAGACATCTTGTTGTTATACTTTTTCATGTAAGCTGTAATTTCTTTAACTGTCGGTGACAATCCAAGAGATCTCGTTATGAGACAAAGTTCATCGACACTTCGAATATAAATTGGATTTTCTTTACGATTTCTTGCAAATAAGTAGAAAGCTTCTCTGAACGAATCGATATCCTTCTCAGTAAAATGTTTTAGATGCTGCGACATGATGTTAATAATAAATATCTTCAACTTCAATCAATATAGATTATGAATAATACAGGAAGTAACAGTGAATTTTTGTTTTGTGTCTCTAGACAATTAAAACTGAATTCGGTCTGCTCAGGTCGATTAAGATTAAGCTCGATTTCAAATATTAGTCTAACCCCATTCAAAAGCTAATCTAACCCCAATCCCATGTAACATCTGATTTAATCTTGATCCGAATTTCAGTCACGAACTCTTAAAATTCAGGAAATATTTTTTCACGAATATCTCATAACTGGTCCCATGTACCGCCATTAATGCTTCCAAATCGATAGAGGATACGAAAGTGGATATTTTTAAAGAAGAAACAGATTTTTAAAGAGTTAATTCCATTTCTAATCCATAAAAAATTCATCATAATTTTATTAAGTAGGTAGTTCATCATCGTTGTAACAAAATTGTCAATAACATCTAATTGTAAACTAAAGCTTAAGCTTTTCTAAATCGAGTTGTTTTTTGGCAAAGCCGATTTGCGTAAAAACAGTGAATTGTGCGTCACCAACTATGTCATCCAACTTTGTTGGGCTAAGAGGCGATGATATGAATTTATCAATTTGGGACATTTCTTCTGAATTATATTTCGAACTTGTGTTGGGAGATCTTGAGAAAATTTCATGAGATTTCCTATCATTAGCCTTCTTATTACTTTTTAAATTACCATAAAGTTTAACATAATTAGTTAAATCAACATTATTCAAAGGCTGCACGTCCTTTTCAGAATTTTTGTTGTAAAATTTGGAATTCGGTTCAATATTGAATGAGTAAGGCGCATGCTGCTCGTCGGCCCGATAAATAACAACTTGTTGATTCTTCTCCAACGGTATTTCTGGCTCATTGTACTCTATTTCGGGGTGATTTGTGGCTTCCGGTGATATTTTACTTCTTTCATAGCTGAAGCAGTTGTTGCAAATTACGTCAAGCTTTTTGTGACATCGACGACATTCAGCGTGCGTCGTACAATTCGGACAGAAATCGATTTCGTGCTTTTTGGACACAAAATGTTTTTTGGGAAGGTCGTTATTTGGATTAATTACAGGAGATAATTTATTTGTTTTAGTGCTTGAAGGTTCCTGTTCTTTTCCTTCTTGAATGATATCCTTGAAGTATTTTTTGTAATTAAAGAGATCAGCGTCAATTCTAGCGGAATGACTGAAATATTTGTATACATTATTTTCAGGAGAGCTGTTGTCTAATGAATGCCTATTGTTTCTATTGACAGATTCATTTTCTTTCTCCGATTTAGAGATTCTCTCAACAACTTTTTCAAATTGCGAGTCCTTTTGACGTTTAATGCTTTCAAGTTGTCGCTTCAGTCTCCTTAAAAAATAAACAAAAATTAGATTTAATTGAGTTTCAATATAATATACTCACTGCTCTAATATCATCTCTTCTCTTTTCTGCCTTTCAGCTTCCCTTTTTTTCTTCAGTCTTTGTTCCGCGATTTGCTTTTCTAAGCTTCGCTGGTAATTTTTTCTCCTTTCTTCCCTTTGTTCATTCTCGAATTTATTTCGATCTTCAGCGGAAAAAATAACATCCATTGATGGAGTTGAGAGTCCTGAAGAGCTTAGACTGTCCTCAAATTCAGGTTCCTTAGATCTTTTTATCCTACTATTTTGATATTTCTTAGGCTGTTCCATTGGCTTTGGAGAAATCGGTTTGATGTTTTTCAAATATTCGGTATATTCTTGTGAGATTCTTTTATATCTTTGATTCTCCTTAGAGTTTGAATTAAGTGACGGAAAATGACTATAAAAATCATCATTGATACTCATTTTCTTAACGAAAAACTTAATTAAAAATAGCAGAGAAATTAAAGTCCTTGAAAACAATAAAGAACAGAAATAAACAAACGGTCGATTTTCGAAAATCTATATTCGAAACTTGCACAACATGTTATGCAAAACTCAACCTTACTCACATATTAATAATAATAGAAGTTGCTTAAAAACTTTTCCGAAAATAATTTTCGTATTTTCCTTACTCAGCAGCCCTTCAGACTTTCTATTCAAAATAATTCTTCAATTTATTAAGAATCACAAACTATCTTTCTATTCAGACATCTAGAAAGATTGAAAATGATGGCATCGTTGATTCGTCGCCTGCCAAAGGCATCAACATCATTCAAATGGTATTTAAAATTGAAATCAAACAAATAAACAACAAAATTTGTTAGATAATCTGTCGCCAACTTTTGTTATTGTTTTCTCAAAGGATTCACAGCACATCGGCTGTCTATGCTGACGATCCATTGAAACATAAGGAGGCACCAATTGTGGAAAATGATGTCATTTTATCAGATCAAGAAGTGAAAGAGCGTGAAAAGCTTTCTCATTTAATTTCACTTCCCAAGGAGGTAAAAGAAGAAAAAATTTTTTTAAATTTTGCGTTTTAGTTTTGATTATTTTTATAATTTTAATTTTAGAAAACATTAGCACCAATAAGTGGCGTTCCAGAAGAGCATGTAAAGACAAGACGTGTTCGTATTTACGTACCACCAAAGAATGCAATGCAAAGTGGAACTCATAATATTCAGAGATGGCGAATGGAATTTGATAATCGTGAGCGATGGGAAAATCCATTAATGGGTTGGGCTTCATCAGGAGATCCTTTATCAAACATGAATGTTGATTTCAATAGTAAGGATGAAGCAATTGAACATTGCGAGAAGAATGGATGGAAATGGTTCATTGCATCAGAAGATAAGCCGAAGAAAGAACGAGTTAAGAATTATGGAGTCAACTTCTCATGGGATAAGAGAACACGTGTCTCTACAAAGTAATTTCATTGATGAACATTGTATGTTATATTAGAGAAAAAAACACATAAATAAATTATCTGTGTAATGATCATAAATTAATTCCTATTGAAATTCAATCAATCAGGCAACTTGCAACCTGATAGAAAAAACATCAAACAAAACCTTTTCTTCCTTTTGGTGGTTCCTATAAGGCCAGGATTGGCCTATAGGTGCCTGTCCTTGATCTGATGATGATGATGATGACCTTTTCTTCCAGCTGATAATAAAGAAGAAGAAATTCTATTCTCATCGAATGTAAAGCATCAATGTGTAAGTATGTGAATGAGAGAGTGTAAGAGAAGAAAATGAGTGCGAGGGTGGTTTTTCCGAAGAAGCATTTTAGTCTGTTTGTAACATCACAACAGGGAAGTTTACCTTTACATCAAAGTGAAATCTTCAACCTTGTTTTGTTCAATTTATCTTGAGAAAATCATACTTATACAATCATATCTACAATCTTAAACGACCAAAGAAATTTTTCCTACATTTTCGTGGTCTATTTACCGGAACTACGTAATAATTATAAAAGAAAGTTTATGAAAATTCGTCCTAAATGAAGAAAAAATTCATCCAGTGAATAAATTTAATCGAATTTTGGGTCAGGTCGGAATTAATAATTCAACAGTAACATGGATTTGTTTTTTTTTATGAAACATTTATTCAAGTCGACAATGATTTGTTGGTGAAAGAAAATTGTTTGTAGCGTAAAAAGCTTCATCAAGAAAGAGAACTGCATGTGGATTAAAAGCAAGAGTAAAATGTTTGTACAAATGGTGTTTTGTGTATAAGGAAATTAGTTTATCATAAAAATCTATCGCCCCCTTCGGTCTTTATCTCCCTTCTCGATATTCAGGAAATGTTTTTATGTTTGATACTTTTGGATATTTTCCAATTTTTTTTCAAACGTGCTTCTGTAGTCTGATGAAAAGATTGAAAATTTTCGTATACGCAGACTCCGAATTGGTTTTGAAAACAAATTAGATGTGAAGATTGTGAAGGGAGCGAAGCGAAGGAATCACATTGCGAATGCACATTGAAAACTGTAAACATAATATGTAATTTTCAAAATTGATTTTCATTTAGAACGTGCTTTATCGAGAAAATTGAATTAGAAATTCCATCATGAACCGACGCGACATAAAGAATAAAAATAAAATTGCCGATACCGATGCTGGCGCCGACAACGAGTTACAGCCACTACAAGGATTCTCTGAAGGAGGTTTTAACTCAAATGGATTGAATAATAAGTTTGGTAAGTTATTGTGATATAAAAATGAAAAGAAAGGAAATGAAAACTATTCCACATAAACGTTTCCCGACCTTGAACAACATAAAATTGCAAAATTAGCGTTTTGTTTCGCATAAACATGCAATATTCCTTTTAATTTGCGTTCCTTTATGAACCGTGTTCGCTTTAATTACTTTAAAAGCTGCGACACATTATTCGACTTCATAACACCATCATAAAGCTATCAAAATTCTTGTTCCCTTCTTGACGCTACCGATAAACTCTTCCATACTCATGCGCATTTCATGACTTTCGACTCTCTCAAGAAGCAGTCAAGAAGGAAATTATTGAGGGAATCTCAGTAGAAATTCGCACTCTGTTTCATCAAATCAACGAAATCATTCGTTCCACAATGAACTGGAAATATTAAATATTAAAATTTGTTAGTTCTTCGTTCCCTCCGTCCGTTTAAGTTTATCGTTCTTGTTGTTAATATCAAGGCAATGTGTTGTCGTAAAAGTAAAATGTCAACAAGGCAAAGTTAAAAATCAGAAGCACAAAAGGAAAAGTCATTTAAAAAATCTATTCAGAAGAAGTGAAAATTTTTCTCCATTTTATTGCGCAAGAACCAAGAATTGTTCACATCATAGGAAGCAAGAACAAAATTCATAATCAGTTTGAGTTCATTTATGTTGAGTGTTTGAAGGCAAATTATAATATAATTTCCTTTTAATATTTCCCATTAATGTTCATCACACAATAAAATGAAAATTTAAATTGAAATTATTAAAAGCAATTCAATGCTATTAAAGAGACGGTTCATGATTTGCGAAGGTGAAATCATATATCATAAAGAAAAACGAAGAAAATATCTCAACATTGCAATTGTGAGAGTTTCCTTTATTAAAGGAAATTAGCAAATAATTAATTCATTCTGGCGGAAAGCACTAGAGAAAGGGGTGACACCCCAGTAAAACTTTCTGTTGTTGGGCCAGGAAAAAGTGGAATTTGGAGACGTGAGAGGATTAGAATGACTGAACAAGAGCTCGATGATGTTGCTTTTCTAACAGGTAGCATGACGTCACTTACATCAATGAGAATTCTTTCTTTTTTTCCATTTTTTGAAGCGTTCTTTATGGCACTCGAGAAGTTTATGTTTAAAGAAATATTCACTTACATGTACGATATGTGAGAAATGCAAATTGTTATTAAGGATTCAAATCAGTGAAATGAAATGAATAATTCAAGCGATGTTTTAAATCTCTATCTTTTACATTCGCGCGAGTTTCAACCTAAATAAAAAACATTCTCGACAAGAGAAAAATGTTCACAAAAACCTTGAGATGTTATAATGCATAAGTTAAATTGATTTATGAATTATTAAGTATAAAATATTGCTTCATTTGCAGGAGCAGAAAACAGTAACGGACGACCACCTCGAGACCGAAATGTAGCTGTTTGTTCACAGAAGCGAGCTTTGCTTGTTACCGCCACCGTCCTAGGAGCTCTTTTAGGAATAGCTCTTCTTATAGCATATGCCGGTCCACAAGATTGCCCGTGTGCGGGTAAAATGCCAAAAGGTTACGTCCTTGACGGCTACAACAGTTCAGAAAAGTTCGAGCCCTATGCCACTAATGGTCAACTATTTCCGTGGCTCTTGCCATTCCTGCCAAGCAACATTCGCCCAAATCGTTATACGATTCTCATCCATCCCAACCTCACTACTTTTGAAGTTAAAGGTGAGCGTGACAAATTTATAATACTCACACATTTATCGAACGTTTTCATAATACTTTGCTTACTTATTTATTTTCTTTTATCGTCACGATTTATAGGTCAAGTGTCCATTGAGTTTTATGTTGAGAAAGAAATGAGCTTTATTGTTTTGCACGCACAGAATCTCAATATCACTGAAAAAGTAAGTCACGATATTTTATAACTTTTACTTTTATGTAACAAGGAATATTTTTATAATTTCTTTTATAAAGGCACTCGTGGGTCCAAAAGGCTTCTCATTGAAAATAAATCGAATGCTTGAATATCCACAGAGACAACAAATCTACATAGAATTTCGTGATAAGTTGCGTCGAAAGTCAAACTATTCATTAAATCTTCGTTGGTACTCGAAATTAAGTTCTGATCCGGAAGGATTTTATGTGGACGAGTACGACACCGATGGAATGAAGAAACTTTTGGCAGCAACAATTCTTGGCCCTGGAAAAGCGAGAAAAGCTTTTCCATGTTTTGACGAGCCACATTTGAGAGCCAATTTTAAAATATCATTATTCAGAGATCGATTTCACATTGGATTATCAAACTCGATTGTTCATGCGACAGACGATGTTGGATTTTATATGGGAAAGTCCTTGGTAAGTTCAACTTTTAAGATACTTCGATACAAATGATTTATTTTGTTTGAGCCAGACAAAACGAAATTGAATTTACATCCGTTTTGAAATTGATTTTCAAATACTACCAAAGCATTAAATATTCAAGTGGAGGGAAAATTTCTTTGAATTATTAACATTTCGAAGACTAAAGTTTGCATTAAACATTATTTATGTTCTTGGAGTTACACTTAGCAATGTCATGCTTTGAAATATTTAGAAAGAAAATGTTTTTCCAGCTATCAGAGACATAAATCGTTTTGTATATTTTATGATGAAAGTCAGCAACAAGAATCTATTATTAAGCTTAGAACAATCTCATTAATTATTTTTTGTTGGTATTTTCTTCTCTTCTCTTTTTTGTTTCATTTTTCATTCAACAGTTGCGCGATGATTTCGTTGAAACACCCCCGCTATCACCCGATGCTATATCTTGGGTTATCAGCGTTTTCAAACGAGAATTCCTTGAAAGTTCTGCTACATATCATGCCACTCCTACTTCAACAGCAATACCAATTCAATCATTAACCTCAGCTACGAAAATATCTGAAAACCTTATAAGCAGTGATAAGATGTTAAGACGAAATATGTCATCAATCTTAAAGAAGGGATTGATAATCAAGATGGCAAATTTAAATCATGATGAACACACGCAAGCACCAGTGACACAGCGAAGTGAAAGTTTGACACGTGACAACGACAATCATTCGTCAACACCTGAAGACGGAGTGATTAGATCAGCTCCATCTTACACATTCTATGCACCTGAAGACGTTTTACCTAAGACAAGATTCATTCTTCACACATCACGAGACATTTTGGAACATTTACAATTGTGGTTGAATGTTCCTTATCCATTTTCAAAGCTTGACTTTGTTGCTTTGCCGTCGATTGAAGAAAATTTACAAAGCTCTTTGGGATTAATTTCGTGTAAAACATCATTTTTGAGAGACGCAAATACTGTCACATCGTACGAGAATCAAGGTTCAGCTATTGAAATATCTGAAGCGATTCTTAAGCAGTATTTCGGTGGATTAATTTCACCTAAGACTTGGAAGCAAAATTGGTTATGGGATGGAACAATTAGATATTTGAGTCGATTAGTTTTAACACCTTTGCAGCCTTTATGGCAGATTGGTGAAAAATATTTATTGGAGACAAAATTACGAGCTTTGGATATTGACGTGTTGCAAGGATGGGAAAGTGTTCTGAATGGAACTGACGACATGGGTGAAAACAACGAATTTTACATCGATAAATCAGCAGCGATTTTGGAAGTTTTACACTCAGCTATGGGTGAAGAAAACTTCCGACTTTGCATGGGTGCGTTCATCACTAATTATAAGTACATGACAGCTGAACCAAATGATTTGTGGCATATTTGTTCGAAGAAAGCAAATGGTTCGAAGAATATTCGTGAAATGATGCACCTGTGGACATCACAACCAGGATTTCCATTAATAATCGTTAATAAAACGAATATGACCGTGTCGATAAACCAGAAGCGATTTAAACTGTCGGAATTTTCTGCTGTTCTTGAAGATCCATCATTTGATGAGAATGCTACGGAAACGACAACAATTCCAACAACAACGACGACATTATCAGCGAAGGAAGCTAAAAAGAAAGCAAGTAAATGGACGTTCCCCATTCAATACATGACAAGTAATAAGGATTTGAAGGACACAATTTGGATCGATTCGGTCGATTGTAAGTCAAACAAATAATCTCTTCTTTTCCCTCACTGTTATGACAGACAAAAACGTTTTATATTCTTCTTTTTCACCTTTTATTTATAGCAAAATTCAACTTGAGAGAGAACGTGAAATGGATAAAATTGAATGCCGAGCAACGAGGTTATTATCGTGTGCTTTATGATAAAGCCAACTGGGACGAACTCATAATTCAACTCAGAATGGATCACACGACATTCTCACCCAAGGATCGAATGGGATTGATTTCAGATTCATTTGCGCTTTGTCATAGTAATCACTTGGATTGTAGTGTCACGTTGAATCTCACTTCATATCTACCAAAGGAGAAGAATTGGGGACCAATGACGGTCGCATTGAGGCACTTTGAGAAATGGAGAAAGATTTTAAAATACACGGAATGTTATCTTCTTCTTACCGAATACATGAAAACAATGCTAACAAAGTCAGTGACACAAATTGGATGGTCTGACAAAGGCTCGGATGAACTTCGCTTAATTCGACCACAAATTTTACTCGCTTCGGTGCTTTGGGAACAACCAGAATCGATTAGAGAATCGAAGCTTATTTTGCAATCACATTTATTTAATGCGACTGTCATTCCGCCAAATTTACGAGAAGTAATTTTATTGATGATTCAATTAAACTAAAGTTTAATTAAATGTTTTTTATACATAGGTCACGTATGTTGGTGCTGTTTTATCAGGCGATTTGATATTCTGGCAATATTGTTATGAACGTTACACTCAACTACGTCGTGACAAAGACAATTTAGATGAAAGAATTGAATTATTGAAAGCATTGGGTGTCACTAAAGATGCATGGCTTCAGAATCGTTTGCTCACATATGTCATGACATTGCCATCTGCTGAAATAACTCCCACATTGGAAGCCATTGCAAGCACTCCAACAGGTGAGAATTAATTTTTTTTCTTCTCTAAATTTGACATCTTCAAATTAATTTTTGTATAATGTTTCAACAGGTGGTGCAATGGCTTGTCGATTCTTGCAAGCAAAATGGTTTGACTTACAAAAACGTTTTGGCAGGGGAAGCATAAACTTTGCAAAAGTGATATCAGCTATAACAAAATATGGTGCAAATAAATTTGATTTTGACGAGGTAATTTACTTGATAATAAATTCAATTTAAATTTTATATTTAATAAAAATCGATTTTCTGATTCGTTTCAGTTAAAATCTCTGGTGGATCGTTTTGGTGACGGTCCAGGCATGCAACTTTTGATAATGACTTTACGCACTGTAGCAGCAAATGTTGAATGGATTAGTCGATCGCATAGCACAATTTATAACTGGGTAGAAGGAAACTATTCTTAAGTTTAGTGAATAATTTTTTTGCAGCAATTTTAGTGAAAAAGCAAACTGAAAAAAAGTATTTTCAACATATCTTCGCGGTCGTAAATTTATGCTTGCGAGGGTGGAGAAAGCTTTGGCCTTGTTCAAAAATTGGTGTGCTTTTATCATGAACAAAATGAGAATAAGAAAAAAAAGTTTACATGCTTAGATAAACCAATTCGTAATCTGATTTAATTTCTAGTCATGCTGCCAGTGTGTACCTGTTTCTTGATTTAATAGAGTCGTCGATCGAAAATAAATTTGAACAGTCCACTAAGAAGTTTCAAGTCAAATTCATACTGCAAATTTTCTGCTGAAATTCAAATTAATAGTCGCATAATTTTCAATTTCCGCAAATATTTATTTTAAATGCTGTTAAATTTTTACACTCTCATAAACCACAAGCATAATCTGAAACATATTTTTTTATCTCTATACAATATTAATCTGAATGCATAAAACATAAAGTGACATGAAAGAAATTTTCATTTTTATTGGATTCGTAAATATTGTGATTCCTTGTACATTCAAAATATTTTAAACATTTCAAATTTGTCATTGTCACTTTATTAAAAAATGGTTGCTGTTGGTTTAAATAGTCAAATTGATCACTAAAATCTACTTAACCAGAATAATATCATCCGATCCACATTAATTAGTCGTAAATTATTTCGAATATCTACTTCTTTAATTTAGAGAAGTTTGATCTCTAATACAAAGTTTGTTTTATGTAAATACTACTAATAAGTCATTCCTATGTTTTGATTGCCTAAACAGTATTGAAAAGTGTGATCATTTGATGAATGAAGATGGAAAAAGTGTTTTTGCAGTATTTGTTTGTTAGAATTTTAAATATTTTGAAGACGTTTAATTATAACTTTTAAAAAATTAATCAAGCAACAAACATTTAAATAAAAATATGAATGCATTTGTTACTCAATTCAATTCACTAATAATGCAAATATATAATTGATTTCAAATAATCTTTTTCATTAGTCACTTGATGTACATAAATGTATCATAATGGAAGAACAAGAACATTTTAACTAGTCAATAATTAAAAAAGAGACTTTCAAATAGCTTTAGTTTCTGATTAAACAATCTTCCATTCTGTTAATTATTGGATTCCAATCAGATGTAACAAATTTCCACACAGTGAATTTGATTGATTGAAAAATAGTCCATGAAAGGAAATCATAAGTTCGAGTTGATTGAACAAATAATTTTTATCTTAAAATGACAATTAAATCGGGTTTCAGTCCATTAATGTGACTTTTAATTTATGTTCTTTTGAAGTAATTGAAAAATCTAATAAGAATCATAAGTAGATGTAATAACATGAAATAAAATCATCCTTTTGTAAAATTAATATTTTCTAATAAAATCAATCTTATAAACCATAAATTTATCGAGTTTGCTTACATTTTTCAGTTTCCTTAGTGACAGTTAGTGTGTTGTTCCCGGAAACTTAAACAAATAAATAACAAGATTGCCGATTAACGTCATTCAACTATCCGGTTATTAATATATTCAGAAGAATCTTCCCCATGTGTTCGTTGTTTGAGATGACCAAAAAATCAGCGATGGTCCTACTAAATATTATTCACACACATTGCGAACACACATTTAATAAAATATTTCACGATGTTCGAAATACCTGATTGAGAAGCTTTAAATTGGTATACACTCTACGAATACAACTGTAAATGTAACTAAATATTTAATTTAGGAAAATTCTTAAAGTGATGAGTCGAGGTCAAATTTTTTTCTAGACAATTTTATGAAGAAGAATCAAATGTTATTCTAATCGAATTATTTAATAATGAACAATTTTTTGCACTCACACATGACCGCATTACTTATCATCATCCCCAACGCGTTTTTTTCCCACCTTGCCCGATATGATTCTTTTAATCACAGCTCTATTGATTAACATTCATCGTCAACCTTGAATCTGGTCACACAGATCATGACGTCATTTGAGTTAATATGTTTATTTTTTTTATCGAATGAACGTCGCGGATAGTTGTGTGCTTTAGAATATTTTTACAGTGAAAAACTTAAAGAAGTTTGAATTTTTCCAAGGAAAGGCGGAAAATTAAAAGAAAATTATTTCATAATTAAAAACATAAAGGTCAGTGTCACTGGGTCAAACGATTTTTTTAAAAGCATGCAATCAAGCAATAATGAAATGAAATTCTTTATAAGTCATACGCATAATTTTTGTGAATTGAGCTGTCAATAAGCGACTTTTGTATTTGTTTGTCAACTCCTAACGAACACACTAAAATAAACATCATATCAAAGTTACCAAAACATATTCAGAATTGTTGAGTGCACTGTAAATTAATTCACTATAATTGAATTTTAGAATTCGTCATAAAGGTCGAATTGACATTTTGAGGTGACACCAAGGGCTTCAGCAATAAAAAAAATTAACATCAAGAATATAAAAGATGATGGTAGATATGGCAGATGATGATCTCTTGCCAAGGATGAGTTTACTCCTTTCGCCAAAACCTATAGAAACATCAGCTGAAAATAGCTCATGTGATGAAGCAGTAAAAAAGCCGGTAAGTTCAATTGTAGAAACATTAAAAGTGAACATCCCTATGACGAAGTAAATTGTTACAATTTGTAACTAACCCTAATCAAACGTGTATCGATAAGCTCTGTAAGCAATTAAATAAGGTATGTCAGTTAGATAAAACTAAATCAAACTGGATACTTATCAAGAGAATCTTATCAATCGAATGAAAATTGATAAAAATTGTTTCCCGCTCTAACTGATTTTCATTCAAAATTTCGAAACGTGTCTAACTGTTGCATGTTCAAAAGTTTTATTACTTTTATTACTTACTTTGAAGCGAAATTGCACAAAGAAACTTGTGACGAAAACAAACTTTCTAAATATTGTTAGCAGAAAACTACTTTTAAATTGTCTTGATACTTTATAGAATGAATTGAATAAACATTAATAAGTTATAAGAAGAACGTTCCAGAATTTCGAATTGTCATCTGGCAACACATGTTCGAAAGACGTCTACGCAATCTGGGGCCCTTCGTAAATTGAATAACGTAACTGAAAACAACAAAATGAAATTAAAAATTCATTTCCTCTACAATTGCTAATGAATTTCAAAGCATTATTTATAGAAAATTAATATGATCATAGCGAAAATGTGTTGAAAATGATCTTCCTCGGTTTACATCATTGGGAAACTTCCAAGTTGTGGACGATGACCGGTTATTGTGAAACGTAAAGTAACCGAAGAGAGAATCGTATTATTTTTAATTTTAAATCGCACTTTAACTAAGTTTCCCGTAACGTTGAATCAGTTTCACGCGAAAATTTCTTAAGGATACACACGAAAAAGTTGAAAGTGAGTGAAGAAAGAAATTAGAAGTGAGAATTGCGAAATATTTGACGATATTGACAAAACAACAAAAACATTTGAGTCATCGTATGGAACACGGAATAAACTTTTATACGAAACATCAAGTACTCATTGTGAAGTGAATTAAAAACAGAAATTTGACGACCAAATGGGTTAAGCAGGAAGGGTTGAAAGCTGCTTTAACCTCATAAACTCTTTAAGACTTCAGATGAAGCGTAGATTTTGCTGTGTTTAGTGCTTTAATTAACTGTTTATTTGCTGCGTTGTGTTAAGCGGAAAAAATAATAATTTCGTCGAAGAAAACAACAACAACATCAACTCAAAAAAACTGTGAAAACGAAAACAAAGACTGCTTGCTTTGTCGAATAGTGCTCTAGTTCTTAAGAAAAAGTTGCTTAAAATATTTAAATATTTAAAATAAAATCAACGAAATGATCTCAAAAAAGGTTCTGTACAGTGAGCAGCTGCTCCAACTAGTTTTAGCTCTTAGCTTATTGCAAGTCGACCCAATAAACTATTTAGAGTGGGGAGTCTCACGAATCCACAGATCGGGCATTGGACCATGGCAACTGGAGGTCGCTCACACGCCTTTCTCAGATTATCCTTATATGAATCGGAAGACTTATGTTCCTCTCATTGAAGATATCGCTCGATATGATCGAGTGCATCGAAGTCACGACGTACAAGCTTATCTCTTGAACTTTGATAACGCGCCTCCTTTTATGGCTGCAAGTGGTGGAAGTGTCAACAATAACAATTCGACATCCAATTCCACAACACCGAATGTAACTGATAATGTTGATGATTCATCAACAGCTGCTGCTCTCAATCTAGTCAACCTTATTCAGGATCGATTTCAAGAGCAAGGCGGCAATGTCGACGATATTTTCCTACAATCAGAGCTTCTCTCGCACACCAACAGCGAATCATTGATTGATCAGAATTTAGCAGATCTAAGTGATTATGATGATCACCAGTTACCACATTTTTTGGCTGTGCCTACGAAGAATGAAGTGCCCGATCCTTGGGATGAATTTGTTGGATTACGTGATGACGCATCAGCGGAAGATCGACGACTTGATGTTAGAGAGTTGACCTTGAACGGAACCCGATCACCCCCGACATTCACCCGAACTGCTATCATCGATTGGAACGACTATCTTCCTTTCGTTAATGACACATCAGTGGATGAACTCAAGAAAGAGAAAAAAGAAGAAGAAAAAGATGCCGAAATCGTTGTGAAGAAAGAAGAGACTGATGACGCGAACGAGCACGAAAACAATAATGAAGTTACATCAAACGTTGAACTAACAATTGAGGTAAGTCACCGTTTAAACAAAATTAACATAAACTATAAAAATATGAAAGAGTAGCAAAAATAAATTTCGTTTCGTTGTTTTGTTCGAATAAAAATTTAAAGTTTCACTGAATTTTATTCCCATCAGTTGAAAATAAAGAAAATTTCTTTACAAGAACTGTTGGCTGTTGTTTACCATAAAAGGACAACATTGACATATTTTCTTTTAAAAATACTGTAAAATCGAAGACGACGAATATTTTTATGTGCCCTCAAAAGATGGGATGACAATGTCATCAGTTAATTTAATTATAAATATTCGTAAAAGATATAAATTGTGAAACATTTTTAATTTTCTCTCTTATTTTTAACGACGTCCTAATGATAAATGACGATCTCGCTCCAAAATTGCAACGTCTACTTGCAGATGGTGAAAAGGAGAGAAACTCACATCATGTTTACGAGATTTTCATTATAAATTCATCGAGAAGGAGGAAAATAATAAAGAAAGATCATCTGTGAAGATTTTCATGCAAAATTTTCGCATCTGTCTTAACAATTTCATATTTTATTTTTATTAATTAATAATTGTCAAACACTTCATATTTATAACCTTCATTCGAGTTTCCTGTTCCATTACACATTCCCTTAATCTATGCACACGATTCTGCGTTATTTCTTAGTTGAATTAGCGAACTTCTTTGTAAGAGAAAAGAAAAAATTTCTTATTTACATTTTTCTCATGTTTTCGGATCTTTTTTATCTGCGAATATGTATTTTTGGGAAAAATGCACAAACGATCTAAAAATAACACATTACGGCTCTTAATTCGTTCTGCGTTCAACGCTTTTTCATTTCTGTTTATCTAAGAAAGAAAGAGAAAATGTGTGTGCAGTTTTCATTATAAATTTTTCATCGTCGTTTCACATTGGTATCAGAATGCACGAAAGTGCGAAGTAAATTGTGTATGGGCGAACGAGAAACGAGTGTATTAACATTTTTCTACACATTTGTGGGTTTTTTTCGTCTTTCGTTTTCTTTTGATTTACTTTGAGCGTTGCCAAGTTCAATGAATTCATAAACAGAGAAAAAACAAAGTAAAAGATTAAACGAGAAAACATTTTTTTGATTCAATTATTTCTTTTTTACATTTTCGGCAAAAACAAACTGTTGACAGGGATCATTACGCTTAGAGTGAATGTGTTTTCTTTTCTAGTAGAACAGCTGAGTTTTCACGTGAAGGTCAATGTTAGAGTCTCAACAAAGAGATCGTTTACATCAATTTCACAAGTAAAATGTTCACGAGCGGTACTGATGTTCCTTTTTCTTCTTTTCTTCTTTCAATAAAATTCTTTTTTCTCGAATACAATTTAAAGCCACAAAAAAATAGCTTCAAAATGTGCTTATTTTTCACATTCTGAATTAATTATAAACGAATGAAAGTTAATTGTGTTGAGTTAAAAGCGCAACACAGTCGTTTATAACTTTAAAAGTAATTCAAGCAATTTAAGTTATGATTGTTAATGAGATACCGAAGGTGCTCGACCTTAAATATCTATTCACTGATTACATAAAACGAACATTGGTTTGGTTATTTGCCTTTAAGATTTCGGAAAAAAAAGCTATATTCACAAGGCAAGTTATAAGAAATGTAAATGTAAAGATTGCGTCAAGTCTGGTCTTGCCATTGCTTCTCGGAAACTTGAAAGAGTTGCCTCAATGGATTGTTTTTTAACACGTTTTTATGACGTCGATTGCTAATTAGTTACGAATCCGGCGAGTTTCATCGTTCGTTTACTTCCATACTAACACGAAAATTCAAGTTGAAGATTTTTCTTGTTACGCAAAAGTACGCTAAGCGATTCTCTTCTCGTCTGAGCAACGAACGAGGCATTTGATATTTGTTATCATATCGTCTGAAGTCTTCGTTTATGAGAGTTATTCTTTATGTAGATTCTCACATCAAATAAGCAATAAATAAACTCATGAAGACATTCTCGTGATTGTTTCTACATTATAAAATCATCGACTGATAAGAACTTGAAAATGTATTGCGCATTGTCTGCTCTCTTCCATTCTAAATTTAATACAAAATTATTTGATCAATCGATAAAAGCTTTTTTCAATCAAGTTCTTTGAATGTATCAGACTGAAGAAAACAAATAAGATTCTCAATTATTGAGAGCTTCTCTTGTGCTCGTCATCAAAAGTCATGTCAGTTCATTATCAGTTATTATATAAATTAGAAGTGAAGTTGATTTTTTTACAAGCTAAACACAAAAAATATTTAAAGCCTTAAACTTGAACAAGTAAAATCTTCGAGTTTCATGATCTTGAACAATCACAGTTTGTGTCAAAAACCTGAGTTAAAATCTCATTATCGTGCGTGTGATTTGTTTCCAATTCCGAAACAACGACATTTACATCTAAAATTAGAAAGAAAAATAATTACAATTGCTTTCTAAATGGATGGAGCAGGTGTTGGTTATGAATATATTCACCAGGATTTTTCGGTAGGTTGATGACGATGTTTAAGTCACTCGACTAAATAATGATTTGTCTAATAACTGAGATGAATTAACTCCGTCTTTCATATTCAGTCGCTTATCAATCATTCTCCATTTCATTTTGAAATTTGAAAAAGTGATGAAATGCTAACAACTTTTAAATTCCATGTATATTTATTAATAACATAAGTCGTTGCGTTCAACATTCCAAAACAAGCAGGGTACAAAATTAATCGATGAACTAAAACTGATCAAACGATGAATGCTAAATGATTTGACAAAAAAAGCATAAAACAACTCGAAAGCCCATTTCTCGACTGTCTTGTTATGAACTGCTTGATTTCTTTTTGATTACGATCGCATCTGATTGTCCGGGTGGCGAGAGATCGAGTCTAACATGAACGCAACAGAATGATTTTTCTCTTATTTACTTTCTGCTGTTTTGACAGCACCTCATGATGAAGTAATTTTTTTTCTTCTTCATAATCTTTGGATGCATGTCAATAGATATTGTTGATGGCTTTAGTATGAAATCTACGACATAACATTTAAGCTAATTTGTCGTGAGTTTAATCCGATCTGAAAATGATTTGTCTTCACTTGCGATTTTCTACGTTTTTTCTTTTCAAAGATCTTTGTTGGTGGCATTTCTCATCATGTCCCATCACATTGTGATCACTTGTCAAGTGCATAGAGGTTTCTTTTACCTTAAACATTCCGTTTGATGTATGAGCTTCGAAGTGATAAATGATGGGAAAAAACATGTCAAAATATTTAAGTCGATGATCAAAAGGAAAGTCGATCTTCTTTCTTTTGTCATTTTCAATGAACTTTCTTCGTGTTGCACAATAAACGGAGACAAGAAGATAATTTCAATTTCTTTGAATTCTTATAGATGTCAATACTTGAGGGTGCATCCGATGATAAATTATTTTAATGTTGCCACTCTTCTTGTAAACTCGACTTTCTTTTCTTAATGTTTAGACCGAGCCGCTATCTTTTACATAACAAATCGATTTCTGATGGTCCTTAAAAACCACAAGCATAAGTTTATAGATTATTAATTATAGAAGGAACATTATTTAACAACAAATTTATCGATTTATCCCATTCAATGATTTATTGATGTCACAAGTTGAACAACTCACCTCAAGTTGTAATTTAAATACAATACACAAAAAGTCTTAGAATTTTTAATGTTCATTCACCAGAAAATTATTCCCGAGGCCTTCTCAATTCCTTGGAAATAAACGAATAAAAAAATTATGAATTATCAATAATTTATTTATTTTTTTCCTAGTTTAGTTAATTTATGTCAACATGTCACGAGAAAACTAATTTGAAATTCACTCGCTGCACATAACAAAGACGTGTCGTGTTCGAAAACCTTAAGTTCGAAAAGTAAAAGAGAAAAAAAAGTTTTCCAAGTGTTTGTGCGACTGATTCATCCCCCACCATTTATGGTCATGGCAAAATGTAATGTTGATGGTATTCAAGGCGTTGACTGTAAGAGTTGTCGCCTTTAAAGTTTGATGTCCTTAAAACCATTTATCAGAAGAAATGTTTTCTTTCGTTATAAATTATGTTTTTCCGTTCGATGCGGACAAAAAAGAAAATTGGATCGTTCGCTGATATGAATTATTGATGACTCTTGTCTTATACGAGCTTAGAAAGTTTTTGAATTAAGTAGATATAAAAAAAAGAAATTCTCAAGCTTTTCCTTCAACATGAAATGGAAGTGAATTTCATAATTCTCAAGTGACGTAAATTTAGCTCATTTTCTGCAACACTCAAAGCTCATTAAAATTTATGATTCTCGTAGTTCTTATCTTATCAATTAAATGATTTGTAGACCTCTATTTTCTCTGTTGATAAGATTAGCTATTTACACAGAAAAAAATACAAAAAAAATTATTTTCGAAAAGAGATAATTTATCAGTTGAGAGCTGAAGTTAAAATAACTTCAGTGTGCTGTAGTCGTTGCTGACTTTAATATTGATTAATTCTTTTTTTCTTCTTTCTATTCCACTCACCATCTATTTTGCATCTTCATTCAGGAAATGGACTTAATTGAAGTGCTTTGGAAGCAAGATGTAGATTTGGGATATAATCCTATAAAGCCAACGCTTAATCCGACTCAACAGAAGGAAACTACCTCTGAGGATGAGATTGAGAAGTTAAAGGCATTACTTGAGTTGAAAGCGGACAAGGTAAAGTGTGATGACAGAGAAAGAGTATTAGAAATCTTCTTCTCTGCAGAGTAAGGAACACTTAATGTGTTTCTTTAAAAGATTATCTGAAAGACAAACATCAATAAAGAAACATTTCTGTTTTAAAAATTCCTTCTTTTAGAAAAGTGATGATGATGATAAAGACAAAGTCGATTCTTTGGGTGATCCATGGGCTGGCTTATCGTATACAATCGATACAGAAACAGGTGAGTCGTAGCCACTTATAAACGATGCTTTTAAATGTGTTTGAATAAGACGAAGACGTTTATCATCATAGCTACATTGAATATTATCTTAATTTTCGTTCACATTACCTTGAAGCGTTAGAATGAAATGAAGTTGATGACAGAATTAAGTTCTCCATACAAAACCATAAGAAATTGTTATAAATGATTTCACGAAATGCGACAAAAGCTTCTTCAACAATGAATAACATAGAAGAAAGTATGAGAAAGGACTTAAAATGCTACCTGAAAATTTCTCTCTTTTGTAAATTTCTTCTTTTGTTATTTAAATTATTTCATTTCTTCGTGAAACTTTTCATCGTACTTTTGAGAAAGAATTTTTGCTTGATAACAGGTTGAGCAACGATCTCTCTTGAATAGTCAGATATCTTTTGTCAACAACTTTTAAAAAACAAATTAAGAAAAAAAAGATAAGATGAATGAATGAATTATGTCGTGGAATTGTTTCTAGAAGAAAATTGAAAAATATCTTCGTAGATTCTTCTTGAACTTCCACCATTTATTTCAACCTTACAACAATTAAAACTCTCTTAAAAGTTAATTTCAAGAAAATTGTAAAAACTTTTTGAAAAATGAATCTTTTCTCGTCTTCTTGAACATTGTGAAAGAAGAATTAAAATAATAACACAAGCGATGGGTGGATGGATAGCCTGATATGTATTATACCAAGATGGGAAAAAAGAAATAATAAAACATCAAAAAAATGCGCGCTGTGCTGTGCTGATCATAAAAAGGGAACAACAATTTGGAATTTTCATTTATTGCAACGTAATTCTCGAGTCATTTTTCATCTCGAATGGATGGTTTTTAAATGAAAATGTGGAGAAAGAAGAAAAAAATTGTATTGCTTGCTATGCTTATGGCATCAACTTCTTCCCTCTCGACATGCGTGAGCTATTTATTGTGTGTGTGTGTGTAGGTTTGTGTGTGACTGCTGTCGGGGCGCAGAAATCCATTTCTCAAATAAACCAAAAGGAAAGAAAAAAGGAGGAAAAATCCTCCATTTAATATGTATTAAGTGCCTTGGGGGTCATTGTAAGTTATGTAAGATAAATTGAATGCTAATAAATTTCACAAATGATTGCTTGGAAAGCTTAGCAAATTAAATGATCAATGAAAGGTAATTTGTTACATAATTTTCAAATAGTTCATCAAACATGCGATATCCTTTTTTTCTTCGTCAGAACACATTTAACTTCGATTGTTGCAAAGCAAAAAACTAAGCAAAATAAATTATTCTTTTGCGTTTCTCTCGTCCCAGCTATACGTCTAATCTCAAGGCATGTCCGAGCGTTGTTTTCATAAAAATCCCTCGAATAAAATCCCAAAAATCTCATTAACCGCAGAAAAAGCATGTTTGATATCGGTTGGCTCATTTTTTTTTTCATTTTTTTTGTCTTCTTCTTCGCTTCACTCTTGATACAAACGATTCCGAAATGGCTGAAACTGAACGCTGCTGTCGAGGAGATGTAATGGAAGAAATATAATTAATGATCCCTTCCCGATGAAGAGAAAAATATTTTGATGAATTATATAGCATGGGGATTAATTATACGATCCGGAGACTCGAGACTTGAGATGCGAGAGCTCTCGCGGGGAGGGAAAAAATAATAAAATAATGAAATTGATTTCAAGTCCAAAACTGAATTCTAGCAATCAAGCAACACAGCACAGTGGGATCAAAGCACGAATAACAAAATGAGATTTTTATAATCTTGACATCCAAAGATGGTTACGATTAGCCACGGCTTGAAGACCACTGAAAAAACATTCGTAATTAAAATATTTTAATTCGTTAACACAAAAAATAAATATTGTAATTAAAAGAGTAAACATGATCAATGCTTGAGACACACACCTCAATTTTGAACTCGATTAAAAGAGAAATATTTTTTGTTTTGTTGATTTAAAAGTGAAGAAATTCCCAGAACATTGATCAATTGTTGACTTAAGCTTGACACATTGTGCACCTTAATATGCGACTCAAGTGAATCCCACTTGATGTCAACAACTATTTCAATGTAGACTCAACTCGACAAACTTTTGAAAAAGAAAAATTTTCTTGAAACGTTTGCTTGCTCAACAGATTTTCAAATCGAATTGTCCACCTGAAGTGCAGTTAAATGTCGAGTGATTTGTCTTGTTGCAGGGAGCGTCTTCGACTTTTTTTTAAAGCAAATACTTGAGACTGTCACCTACATCCCTTTGAAAAATATTTGACCTGATGATGCATTTTTCCAATCGTCCATGTGACTTAATACTTCATGGGAATTTTGTATTTTATTTTAGAAAATCATCAAACTCTTTGCCAAAAAAAAAGTAAAAAAAAATCATCACCATCGTCTGCGAAAGGGAGAGAATGAAACATGAAGTTTCACTTTCGATGGTCGATGATTTTTGTGTGTTGCATTAAACCAAAAATTAACAAATCATCATGAACGATCGAAATAATTGAGAAGCCGAAACTTCCAGACAGACACCTAACGTGGTATAGTTCGAACCATTACCATGGATAATTTTATGCGTTTAGATTCTAAATGAATTAACAAAAAAAAATTGTATTTATAGCTTTAACAAGTAGCAGTGGCGCTTTCAGCTCATTGTAGATGTTCTCTTTCTTCCTTTTCAACTTGGTCTCGCACGCCCGAGACTCTGCTCTTTGTTGTATTAGCTTTATCATCGTTTTTAAACATGTAGATTTTTACACACTTTTTTTCGGGATGCTTAGTAGCATATTTTCATAAAAGTCATCATGAAGTTTTTATTCTCATCCGACAAGATCATACTTTACTATATTTTAAATACTTTAATACAGTTCAAGCAGCAATTTATATAACTGTATAATCATTTTCGTCTCGAAGACGTCTAGTGATGTTCAGCTGTTTATTTTTGCCTTTTTGTTTGTAATCTGCTCATCGTTTTTCCTTTGAATGAAAATAACAAAAAAATTATTTTTGCTGATTTACTACTAGTCACTAGTGTAATGAATTAACTGTTTTCAGTTGTAAGCTCTTTGAAAATGACTCAATTTCCTGTAAATTGTGATGAATTGTTCAGGATCTGATTATTTATTTGAATTGGAGAAATTTAAGTCTTCTTAAATATAATAAAAACACTCATGAAATTGATCTCAAAACTTTTGGAATATCTTTTCACCTTTTATTAATCTCAAGTTTCTCGCCCCTGACGAAGAAATATGAAAAAAAATTACACAACGAACAAATGGTTGAATTAAGCAAGTAATTTCGACTATTTCATTTCAATTGAATGTAAATAATGAATCAAGTAAAAAAAGTTGAAAATCACTTTCCATCGTTGGATTTCTTTCTTTTCATCACTGGAGCATCAGTTTCAAATCGATATACGCGTTTATGTTGCTATTGTTAGATTCATTTAAAAAGCAACATCAAGTCTATCGGCTCAATCAAGCTCAATGTCAATTATTCGAGTAAATTAGCCAAAATCCAACTCAACAATATGGTTACGGAGAAAATTAGTAATCGAATGAACAGTTTTGTGAACAGTTTAAGATGCTTTTAAAGCGGCTTTCACTCATTTCAGGAACCACTGACTTCAATTTCCACACACACCTCAATCAGTGGATCCATGTAATTGGAAAAATGAATCCAACTGCGATTAATTTAATTACAGTTTAAATTCCATGGCCACTATTTGCCGTTTGCTTCTTTCTCCCTTGAAACACCATCAGCCGATTGCTCAAAACAACACAAGTTTAATTATGCGCAATTTCCTTTTGAGATGTTTTCATTTCATTTCTAAAAAAAATCTTTATTTAACAAAATGTTTAATTAAAAGCTCAATTTTTCATGTCTCTCGTTGAAAGCATCTTGTAGTTATTTTAAATGGTTTTTTTAATTTTATAGTTTGAAACACAATCCTTCTCTCATGTCATGTTGTGTTTTGTTGTCTTGTCTTGTCTTATCTACTGAACATCGCAATGGCTTTTCTAGATCAGTTCTCGCGGTTGAACATTAATTAAATATCTCTCTCGTCTTCCCTCTTTTCATGGTTTTTCATTTTTCTTCGGTTATCCATTTTATATAAAGCCATCATTTATCATCATCAACGTTCCGACAATGCTATTGTGTTGATGTTGCTTCATACAAGCCCGTAATGGATATCATAGCTAATCTAAATGAAAAAATAACCTTAAGTTGTGTTAGTTGATGTGTGAATGAAGGAGAGACGCAAGAGGAAAAGACTCGAATCATGATTGGTTCATGGCGCAACGCAATACACAATTTTTCAACTTCTTCTTTTTCTTCTCTAACTTATCCGCCTCTTTTTTTTCGAATATTCTATAAGATGGTTTGCGTTATACACTCGTATTCGACATCCCATTGTGTAACTTCAACAAGCGATATCATATAAAATGATTAGTTGTATTTCTGTTTCTCCTTTTGCCAGGCCTTTGTTATCCAAAGCAAACCGTGAACCAAGCCCATTTTGTTGAACTTGTTGAGGTAGTATGAGTAGAGTTTTGTGATCTCGAGACTCTTTTTATGCTTTTCATATAACTTTTTGTTTTGTTATTCTTCAGTATTTGTTTGATTCATACCACGAATGGTAGTGTTTTTGAAAAGCGCGCGACTCCATCTAGATACCACTTGATAAGGAAAAGTTGAGGGAAAACTGAAGTGAAATAATTTTTCGGATGCTCGTATGCAGAATAGTTGAACATAAGAAGTCAAAGTTAAGTGTAGGAAAGAGCTTTGAATGATTTTAAGGATATTGAGGGATAATCATAATGATGTGAAGAAAATATTTCTTAACTGTTGAAGAGTCATTATTACAAAGTGAATTTTTCGTATATAAATTGTGCAAGCAAAAGGAATATTGTGCACCATCACGATTAATTAGAAGAAGCTTTCTAGTAGTTTTCGAAAGAAATAGCAAGAAAGAAGAAACTGACAAAGTTACTGATATCAAAACGTGAAAGAATCAACAAAAGATTCAGATTTGTTGCCAAATAAAAGAAGAACAAAGTGGAAGCCATTTAAAAAGTTTAAGAAATTTGTGTCATAAATATTCATTATTAGTGTTTAAAGTCATTTAGAGATCTCTTAATAATTAAGCTAAATAATCTACTTTTAAATAAAATAAGAAACTTTATCGAATCAATTTGAAGTTTAAATATTTTTGTCGGAAAGGAATAAACTGAAGTTGAGGTAAATTTCATACATATTTTAATTTAGTTCGTTATGCTATGCTTACATTAAATGTCTACCATGAAATTTCAATTGCAAATCAAATGTTGGTAGTGAATAATTTTCTGTCAAACTTCCCCTGTTCGAAATATCCATAAAATTAATCGTCCCATGGGTGCGGAGTTATTGTAAGGAAACTACAAAATGAACGATATCTTGGTTGACTTTCGATTCAATATTCATTATGACAATAATAAATGGTAACAACTCAATTCCCTTGAGGGATCTCATTGTCAATCGGAAAGGGAGAAAAAGATGCGACATTTAAAATGGAACCTTTCGATACACAAAAGGAAAAATTCTGTTGAATATAGAAAAGAAATGAAAAATGGAAAACTTAACGTAATCATTATGCTTCTATTATTTGCTGCAAATTCTACGCTTGGGTTTTCATTTTCAACAAAGTACATTTCATACTCTAATTCATTAATCATAAATATTACTCTTTTACCTTTACATTGTCGACAAAAGACGAAAAATATTTCTCGTCTATGGCATTTCAGTCCTTGCATCGAGAAAAAGGTGGCATCGAAATGGTTTTTATTCAAATATTACGAAAGATCATTTGTCATAAGAATATTGACACTTTTATGATTCTTTTGCATTTTGAGTTTTGACATGAAACATTTTCTTGTTCTTTCTCGTTTCCTTCGATACCATCAGATCCTGATTCCAAGAAAATTCCTTTTACAAACGTCACAGTAGAGTAAACTTGGTAATTAATTAATCACGAATTCACATCTAAACCAAAGAAGTTCTTTGGCGCATAAACATTTTTGAAGCATGAAGTTTAAAGCTTTTCTTCGATTTGTAATTTGATCGCGAATGATTGAAGCAATTTCACATGAAACTTCTTTGAAGAAGAACGTAGAACTTGAAGAACAAAAAGAAAAATAAGAAAAAGTCAAATTGATCTTCAATAGGTGAAGCTGAGAGATGTCGGCATTTCTAAAAGTTTCTTTATTCTTCCATATACTTCAGTCTTACAGACATCTCACCACAAGAAGAGTTTCTATCTTTTGCTGGCTGCTTTTTCTTCCATTCCTCTTCATATCTTTCTTTTGATTCAATCAAACTGGCAAGTTGAGGCTTGCAGATAGTATCAGTTAATACACGTTATTTCTTTCCATCATAATAATTTCTTTCTCTGTAAGTTTGAGAATACCAATGCCAGCACGTTCTTTCAACATTTCTTTTCTTTGTTGTCAAATGTTTCTTGGAGTTTTCTTCAATCATTTTTGACTTCGAAAATTTCAAATTCAATCGTTCGAATGTGACCTTTGATGAAATCGAGAAATAAAATCTGTTTTTATGACATCTTTTGTTGAGCTAATTGAGATCATCTTAATCCTTTAATTAAAGATTTAACATCATTGTTAAAACATATTTGATGATACATCGACAAAGTTATCAAGAACTTCATGAAGCGGATTAAAAATCCATTCCAGAAGTAATTCTTCATTTATGCGAAGATTCTTCCCGTGTTGATTCTCAACCACATCTTTAAATTCTTCACTTTAAATCAAACACAAAAAGAGTTACAAGAATCATGTATCATGACGGAAATATTTTATTGAACGCATGAAAGACGAGGAAAAAAAGACGAAAAAATATTCCAAACGCGCGAGACTTTGAAGATCGATGGAATTTGTAATCGATTATTAGTTGATGTCGATGATGGGGAGATCTCATCATTGCGAAGACTGTTTCATGAATAAAATGATCCGAAAGACCTGCAACGAATGATATTTTGCCTGACATCTATGATTGAGTGTTCTTCTATTACTTAAGCAACAAACACACACGAAAATAAAAATAAAGTAAAAAAGTTTCTTCTGTTAATCGATCTTATACAATGTGGGAATAAAAATTGCGCCGAGCGATATCGGTTTGATTGTCGGGTTTGGTTGATGTTAATTTTTAATTAACTTGTAGCAGCGTAGGTCAATTGTCAGTCAGAAAAATATTCGACGTGAATGTTGTGGGTGATTTTCCTGAACAATTTTTTTAATTCTTTTTTTCGAAAAGGGGGAAAAGTGTAAACAAAGGTGAAATGTTAAATCGATTGAACTGCGAGATATGTTCAGTTTTGAAACGTTGAACCAGGACAAAGTTTGAAGGTGAAATTGTTAGTGTTTGACTCAATGAAAAGCATTTCTTATAATAAGCCATTCTATTTAGCTAAAGGGTGGCTTCATTTTGTTTACGTAGATATGGAAACCTGATAAAATATTTCATTCAATCAATTTGATAATAAATATTTTGACAAGGAAATTTCAAAGATTTTTTTTTCTTAAGATCTCTTCAATTCCTTTGTACATTTATCACAACATACTTTGTTTGAGAATATTTAATTGATTAAATGGCAAATCCACGGATCTTGTAGTTTTGTAGGATGCTTCAAATGTTTGTCTTCTTTCAAAGAATTCCAACCCAAAAGTCCCTGAAAATATTAACAATATAAATTTATATTCAAAATTATCTACTACAATAAGTGAAGTCGAGTCGACAGAGAGGAAAGGCACAATAAAACTTCATTATTATACAAAAAAGCCGCAACACGACGCGTCTGGAACAAAAAACACACAAAATGGCTGTTTCAGTTGTTGTTGATGGAGTGAAACACCATGGAAGAAAATTTATTTATTTTTTTCTTCGTTAACACATTCGATGCGGCGCGTTTTCATATTCCGACTTTATTGTTTGCCTCTCGCAACTCCGGCGCTGTTTTGGAATGGAAACAATGAACGCGAAGATGGAAATAAGACAAAATTGAAGAATACTTTTTCATTATATTCAAAAGTTTAAACCTCCGACATTTTTATCACGATTCTCATTTTCGATTACACTTCACAAGAAAGAAGTTTTTTTTTTGATGCGTCTCTTGGATCGATGAATATTTTTGTATTTGAATTGAAAATGAAAGGGCGATAAATTAAAATAGTTTTGAGAGCGTTGCGCAATGTTCTTCTTTTACATATTTAGAACTTTCTTTGAAACCTACTCAACCAATCGATGAAATAAACGTCTTTGTCCGCTGTCATTCAAACACATTTCCAAATGAGAAATAAAATTTTAACTTGACAATGATTCTTAGGTGAATATATTCTTCAATCGTCTGGGGACAGTGGCAGCAATGAATTGGATAATTTGTTGTTGGAAGAAGCTTTGCAATTAGTTGACATCAATGACTTAAATGTAAGCATAGGAAGGGAAACTTGAAACATTTTCACATTATTAATTTTCTTGAAATATTTTTTCAACAACAAATTTAGGATAACAAAAAAGATCAAGAAGAAAATAATTCAGAAGAAGCCGCAAAAGCATTAAAAGAAGATAACAACAGTGCGGAAACATCAGACGATCTTGAAGCAATTCTTGAAAATAATTTGAAGCAAGATGATTTCGATTTCGATCTAAATTCGCCATTATCAATTCTTCTTGACGAAACAGACGATTTAGATTTGCTTACCGACATGATGATCCAACCATCTTCAACACATTTTCAACATCCACGTCAACCAAATCAAAACTATGCACATTGTGTAAACAGTTATCGACAGAATGGCTATCAGGTAAGAAGTCAATAGGATTATCTAAACCCTTTTATAAGATTCTCGAAGTTAAAGTAAATTACTTTGAAAGCAATTCGTCACATCGGTTGATTAACTAAATGATTGAATGTTCATGCTAACGAAACACTCAAAATGTGGCAACAAACATCATTTAGCTACCTGTTTTATGTCTTTCTTGTGAAACATTCTTAGCCACAATATGTCATCATTTTGTGTTTACACAAGAAAAGTCCCCAATTGTGAGCGACAGCCTTCCAAACAGGTACAAGGAATTCTAAGTAAGGAAATATTTCGAAGGCACAATTTGCTGTGTTGTTTCTTCAAATAAACTCCGTCAGATTAAATGTCGCTTTGAGTTTGTCTATGTTGTCAAATCAGTGTCTCAATTGTAGCAAAGCAAACATTCACGCATCATGATCGGGGCGTGAAATGTGTGTTCACATTGAGACTTTGTCGCGTGATTTATTTCGTGTAATTTTAACTGATGTTTATGTTTACCGTTATGGTCAAAAAGACGGCAAAAAATGAATTGAAAACAGCAACGTCAGAGTTGAATGAAAGAAGGAAAAATGTAAATCATCATGAATCGGATACAAATTTACAGCGATTCTCTCTGTCTCTTTCTCACTCCTTTCTTTCTCTCCCTCGCCCTTGTGCTTCAACACACAGAGAAATTTAATTAAGAAATGGGAAGTTGTGTAATGGTGACCTGTTAATTTTCTAGTTTTCTCACTCTTGTTTCAATGCATTGTGACGATTTTGTTAAGCCGGAAGAAAAGAAACTTTTTCCCGTCATTTCAATCGGATACGATACAAGATTCAACTTTTAATTTCATCTTTATGTTTCAATTATATTCAATGTCAAGTATGAAAAGATATTCAAGAGGCAATCGAGTGCTTTTCTTGTTTTTTTGGAGCCAACTAAAGAATTGTCTCGAGATTTGTCAATTGCTTTGAGAGTTAATTCCAGGTAAAGTCGTTTTGTGTAGCTGGAGGAGAAAGAAAAATCATTGAAAAGACTTCGTTAGAGTAAACAATCTTTTCTTCATAATTACGCCTTTTTTTCATTCTTTTATTTTGATTCTATAATTTTAAGGGATGAAGGGATCTTAAATATTACGTGGGAGACAAAAATCAACCAGCTTTTGTTGGTTACTCAACTTATAAATTTTTCCATACATAAACATTCGACAAATTACGACTTCGACCATTTAAAGATGTTAAGCAAACACTTGAAAAGGAAGAAATAGAAATGTTTCGAGTTCTTGAGAAAAAGTCTCGTTAATTTTCTGACTTTCTTGATTGCATCAAGAAGATAGAAATGTAGACTGCAACGGCCTGTAATTTGTTAACATACATTTCATGCTTCCTGAACAGAAAGAAGTTCTTTGTGCAACAAAACTCATTAAAAGATATTAAAATTGTGCATTTTATGATTTGCGCTTTAAATTGAATTACAAATTAATAAAAAATGCAGAATCATTTGCAAAGTTGATTTCAAAAGTGTTGATTGCAGACTCTTCATTCAATTTAAATGCATTTTCCTTTGAAATAATTCTGCAAAAGCGCTTGTCAATCAAATTTTTTTCTCATTCTTTTATTGAGCTTTTGATAGGCGGTAAAGCAAATTTCACGAATTAATATCACGATGGTAATTTTTTAATCTTAATTTCTTTCTTACTTTCGCGTCGAATGTGTCGATTCTTCTTGTTGTCATGCAATCAAACTCAACCGAGTGTATTCAATATAAGTTGTGTGACTAAAGCTTCGATTGTCTCGATTGCGTAAAAAGTTTGGAAAGAAACAGAAACAAACTTACAACAGTGAGAGAGATAGAGACGCAGAGAGAGGCTAAACCTGTAATCATCATCATGTCTGTCGTTTGAGTCTGTAATTATTTATTAAAAGAGACTTAAAACAGTAAGTGGACGCGATGTTAGAAATAAAAAACGACTCTCGCCTATTAGTTCATGTCGAATGTATGAGCCATCAACATTTTTCTCGGTAATTGTTCAAAAGCGATGGAAGTTTAAGAAAATTGCTGAAAATTTAATTAAGCGAATGTTGATAGAAAATTAGGACTCCAACTAGTGAGTGTTGAAATCAAAATTGATGCCTTAGATGAGGGAAAATTATGCATTTTTAACTTATGATTAAAATAAATTGTCTTAATTTTCTTTGATTATAATTTTTGTTAAACTTTAATTAACTTTATGCTGTTCAAATTACTTAATTGTAAATGCAGATTATTATTTTAATATTAGCGAATTTTTGTAAGAAAATGTTGTTGATTGATGACATTTCAATGATACTCATCTTGTTATTTATCTTTCGTTGAACTTTCTACGTCTTGAAATCATTTATTAAATGTGAAGATCGTTGCAACAAAAATATTTCTTTCATTTTAATAAAGTTAAAATTTTTAATCTCGTTTTATATTTAAAATTCACTTTCCCGTATATTCAATGATTGAATTTAATTTTCAAATTATTTATTCACCGTCTACCTCCAAACTTTTCGTGAATCTTCATTCACAACATTCCAATCAATAATAATAATAAAAATAATATTTAATTAATTAATCGTTAAGCAACAAAAGTCATCATCTCAATTTTCGCAATTAAAGGCTCTTCTAAATCATATGTTTGTGAACACCGGAAGCGTTCTGGCAAATACCCTACAAAAAAAATAATAATAAATAAATTATAATGAACTGTTTAGAGTTTGAAAAGCTTTAACAACAAAACGCACATATGATGGAATTGTATACAATTGTGGGGCTTCATTGAGTGATTATTGTTGTTTTTCGGCTGACCTGGGACCTTGAGTTGACTGAAATTGATAGATACATGCAGTCGGGTGGGCTATGCTATTATTAATTAATTACATAATCAAGCTACATGTGCGATATTTCATGTGCCACTGATTCTCTGACAACTTTGTGTATTTAGTTTTTTATTTTTCAATTTTCATTTTATTTTTTGCCGACCTTTAACTCGAGAGATCGTAAAAAAGCTAAACAGTCGAGTTTTTCTTTGGATTGTCTTTAAATTATTTCTTTGTTTTTGAACATTTTTCCGACATTAGGGCCGCGTCCCATTGGGTCGAACTGTTTCGATGGAACAACGCTGGCAAGATTTGGCAAACTTATTAAGTTTTCCACCTGCAATGGGAATGGGAGTTGGTGATATGTCATCGCATGCTGCAGCAGCTGCAGCTCATTATTCTCCACATTATCCTTATCAGGTATGAAAGAATTAAGAAAATTGAGAATTTTTTTGAATTAATAAAATTTCTTTTAATTAGACAAGTGGAGCAATGTCTCAACACAGTCAGTTTGGACATCACCACCATCCACATCCACACTCACACCCTGCAGTACTTCACAATGCTTCACTTGCTGAAATAGCATCGCAACCAACTTCATCCCACCATTACAGCTCCAACTTGGGATCTGCTGTTGCTTCAAGTATGCACTTAACAAATTCAACTTCCGAAACTGATGCTGGTAACGCAGCTTACAAGATGGAACACGACATGATCTATTATTCGGTAAGATTTGAATTAAGAAAATCTCTTTGAATTCAGTGAATTTATTTTTTTCATTTTTCTCTCACAACAGCAAACAAACCCGTCGGAAATGAACCATACAAACGATGGATTTTTGAATTCAATTCTTAATGATGAAGATTTACAGCTTATGGATATGGCAGTAAACGAAGGTGAATATTAAGAAATAAAATTTCATTACGTCATTGATGTGTCACATAAAATAAATATCTTGATAGAAATTACGAGAATTGTTATCAGTGACAGGAAAATGCCAAAGATTACAAGCTTATCTTATCGTCATAACTGTTGTTATATTTATCGTGATTTGCTTTTTATTTTTTGGTGTGATCGTGAGACTTCTGAAGTTAATTTTTTGCTTTGTAATTTTACAATTTATGTCAATGAAGTCTGGAAGCGTTGAGAAAATTTCTACATTGATAATATTGATAAAAGAAAAGATATAACAAATGAAACCGAAGCTTCTTCTACTGATAGTAATTTATTTGATACTTCCATTGTTGTAATTGGTGTCAAGGAATGATAAGAAAAGTTTTCTTTATTAAAATATAATTTGAAACTGTTTTCTAAGAACCTTAAGTGCATTGCAATATCTCGAAAAAAAGTTTTTCTCGAGATTTTAATCAAACTCATAAATTTTTTTTATCAATTTCCGTCGCAAGGAAATAAAAATCTTTAAGCGCTGCAAAATTTCTTTGATTTGCTTCTTCTTTATTACCTATAAACAGATATCATTCAAAGTTGTGTGTCATTATCGATGAAAACAAAAGTTACTTTGCTAAAATTTTCATTATCAGACAGAGTAGAGTGTGTGTAAACGACAATTTACTGATAAGATATAAATTGCCAAAAATACTTTAGATAGGTGAGAAAAATAAGTGAAAACTCATTCTATGAGTTGAAGAAAAGAAGTTAAAATCGGTTGGTGCAAGTATTTTATAAACACTTTTAAAGACTTTTAAATATTCGAATTGATAACGACCGATTGTGTCAAGGAGAAACTAACACAACGAATAGAGAATATCGTTTTACAATGCAAATTAAAATAGTGTAGCAAGGTGGCTTTAGTTATCAGAATGCCGCTGTGTTGTCTGACTCGAATAAACAGAAACAATTCCTAAATATTAACTTGTGTGTGACTTTTTTTTAGTTCAACGTCAGCTGGGACCCGAACTTGCATTCCGTAAAGAATTTAACTTGTTCCCCATTTCCTTCGTTTTATCATAAAAAAAACTTTAGTCAACACTCGAAAAACGAACAAAAAAAAGTTTTCGGAAAGGAAAGACGAAAAAAAAATTGTCAAGTCATTTAAGCGCGAGTAATTGTTCAAGTAGTGCGATGTTAAGCTTGTTGATTGACTTGCGGAAAAAAAATTAGTCAAAATTTCTTAATCGGAAAAATTGGCGATCATTAACTTGTTAAGAAAATAATAAAAATAGATAATGAAATCTAAATATGTGTTGGAGTTGGGAAAGCATGTGAAGATTTATTAAAGTGATGAATGAAAAATCAAAATGGAAGTTAATTTATGACTTAAACTCTAAGCTTAATTATCAGACAGTAAAACATTTACAACCACAATTTTCGAAGAAATTGCTTTCGTATGGGTGGCAACAAACACCTTGCAAGATTTTTGAATTAAAATAGTGTACATAATTAACGAAGAAAGTCAATCTACTAAAATAAATGCCCGTGATGAAAACAATATTTTAAAAACATTTTCTTAAAATCTCAAATATTTCAAGCGTTGCAAACAGAAATCAACTTTAATATTAATATTGTAATAGTAACGAAGATCAGAGAATTTGCTTTTTAATTCGACTATCAAATAACCAATGACTCAGCAGAAAAAGCCAAAATTTGCCGCAATTGTTCGCTTTAAAAAGATATTTGATAGATAATTTTAAATTATTCATCAATTTAGTGAATAAGTACAATTAAAAAAGAAAGAAAGAAAGAGAGATAGTGAGAATCATCACACGTGATAAATTGTAAATAAAAGAATTGATTGCACAATGCTATCAACGTTTACATTACTCGGTAAATTTATTTTATTTCACCGTTAAATGACGAACATTATAAACAAAGGTTCAACAATTTATATTTTAAACTTGAATATTTCTTTTTATAATTTATCAGGCATGTACACTATGCGAATGCTTGATCAAAATGGTACAAATTCATCGACACTTGGTCCAAATCCGCAACTTAATCAAGCATTGCTTGGCAATCACATGCAGACAAATTTATCGTCTGGCATTGGTTCAGTCGCAAGTTCAACTCAACATGGATCGGGTGATCGATTGGATGCTTCAAGTGACAGTGCAGTCAGTTCAATGGGATCTGAGAGAGTTGCATCTTTATCAGATGGCGAGTGGAATGAAGCAGGAAGTGATTCAGCCCAAGAGTATCATTCGTAAGTATTTTTAAAAAAAATTGTTTTTAATTTTATTAACTTAAACATTTCGATATAAATAGACGAAAATTCATCGGCCCATATGATTATCGGTTCAACAACAGTCGAATGTTGGATGCAAATCGTCAACCGGTCGCTCAAAAGAAGCACCAAATGTATGGAAAGCGCTTTGTACATGAATCAAATGTATTGCCACCACCTTCATTGCATCCGCATTCAAGCATTGGCAGCGATTTATCGTCAGTTCCCAATGTGCCATTAAAGTACGAACCATATGAGCCATACGCTGTTGCGTCCAATAACTTGGATGGTGCTGCGTCATCATCATCATCGGTCATCAAACCGCCAGCATCATTGATGGATTCTGAAATGAAATATTCCTACTCAATTGACTTTCCTCATAATCGTCACTTGAAAAGCGGAAATGGCAACGGTCTTGCATCTCATGAGTTAATCAATCACAATCATACGTATACGATGCCACATCCAGGACCATTGAATGGTAATGGAGCAACGCCAAGACCACAAACACGCGATAAAAAGGCAAAGAAAAGTGAAGAAGAGCATATGACGCGCGATGAAAAGCGCGCACGAGCCTTACACATTCCGATTTCAGTAAGTTTTCCCGTAAGCATAAATGCGAACTTGCTAATAAAGCGCCATTTAATGTTTTACGACATGTTTGCGCCTTATTACGAGACGCCGTTCTAAATTTTAATATCAACAACGACCGAAATTTAATTGTTTGAATCATTCTAACGAAAAAATATCTTCTTTCTTATAAAAATAGGTTCAAGACATCATCAATCTACCAATGGATGAATTCAATGAACGTTTGTCTAAATATGATTTAAGTGAAAATCAATTGTCGTTGATTCGTGACATCCGTCGTCGAGGAAAGAATAAGGTTGCTGCACAAAATTGTCGTAAACGCAAACTTGATCAAATTATATCGCTTGCTGATGAAGTCAAAGACATGAAAATGCGTAAAGAAAGATTCCTTCGTGAACGTGATCTTGTTTTGAGTGAACGTCAACGTGTCAAAGCGAAATTTGCTGCACTTTATCATCATGTTTTCACAAATTTACGTGACAATGAAGGTAATCCCTACAGAGCTGAACAATATAGTCTACAACAGTCAGCTGACGGATCTGTGGTTCTTGTTCCACGATCATCTGTTCAAAATTCAACAGAAAATGCATCTGCTAATGGTTCAGGATCGTCACGTAATAATGGACATCACACAGGCCCGGGATCAAACAGCAACGCAAATAACTTCAAATAAAGTCACTAAGATCACATTTCTTTTGGCATTCTTTGTTTTCGGTTGCGCGACTTTTCTGTAAATCGTGCAATTTTAAAGATAAATCAAGAATTTTTCTGAGTTTTTTTTTGATCATCATAAAAACGTTTTGTGGATAGGAAAAGAAAAAAAAGAAGTCATGTACTCGTCTCAGGAAATTTATGCAAAATTATTGCTGTTTAAATGTTGCTGTGCTGAGACACGTTCGTGATGTTGGTCATGTCACTCTTTGATCACTTATCATCGAAGACATTGTGACATCGTGAGTGTGTCTCAGCATTCACCACTGAGAATGGAGAAACAAATATTCAAATACTTTACTGTGGAATATTAAAAAACAAAAAAAAAATAAGTAACTGTGTAAATATTGTCGTAAACTTTACATCCTTTAGTTTGAAATACTGGATAAGATATTTTGAGGGAAATAAGTTAAAGAAAAAAAATGTTCTTTTTATTTGATAAAATTCTGAGATATTTAAATGAGTTATTTATAACATTTAATGTCGAGGTGATAAAAGGGAATGAATTTCAATGCCAGTTTTTCGAATATTGATTATTCAAGCTTAAATAAAAAAATATTTCTGCTCGAATATTAATATTCAATTAACACGCGAGAATTTCTTGTTAATGTAATAATTTTTTTCTAAGATATTTGTTATGAATTTTCATTCTTAAAGCTTTCGTTTTCAATTGCTTATAAACCGTACTTTGTAAGTTGAGTTAAAATAAACATTGTATATAAAACCTTAGAGATTAACTTCTTTCGCTTTAATTTGTATTCTAATGAAAAGAAAATAAAAGGATTTGGCATAGTTTTTTTTTCTATACTCTGCAATGAATCATAATTGTAAACTCTTACTAATTATACCAGAAACATCAACAATATATTGGACTAAAGTGTATTGAAAGTCGTGAATAATTTTTGAAAGTGAATAAAGTTGAAATTCAAAAATAAACAATTAGTTGAGTCTTTGTTGTTTCATGAATTATTTTTAAACTTCGAGAAGAAAAACAGATCTACGAAGAATATTGAGGCTTGTTACCTTGTCAGCAATTGTTTGATCAAATGGCTATTATCGTTTTCGTCATGTTAAAAACAATTTTTCTCGATCTTTATAAATAAGTTATTTATTTAATATACGTCGTATGTATCACCAGACTGTTTAATTTTAACACGTGAATATGAAAGAGTTTGATAAAATTAAAAAGTTCCTAAGTAGAAGATATTTTAACCCGAAATCCCAATAGTTACAGACTTAAAATTTAACGTCTTTTTGTAATTCGAATCATTAGCAGTAGCACTTTGATCCAAGACACTTTTTACCAGTCGGACACCTTTACGCAATAGAAAATTTCTCTTTATTTTTGGTACTTTAAAAATTAATCATCACCCATAGGAAGAAATTGTAAAAATTATAAATTATATTAGACAGATATATTTTAGAGCAAGGGTTTTTCAAGAAAAAGGGACAATGTCGCATAGAACAGGAATTAAATGTAAATAAATTAGACTTCTTTGTGATATTAAACATCTGAGTGAATTTTTTTATTCTTCGCAATATGTATCCGCACTATAAATATTTGAGAAACAGTTTGTGTCGAGTTTTATCAGTCATTTAATGAGAACCTTATCTTTTATCACATTGCAAGGTATTTCTATTAAAACAGTTTTACCGTATGCATGAAGTGAAATTACAAAGTGGCTCACATTTAAGTGATTTTCTCTATCTCGTCCACCCATAAAATAATTAAACCGGAAATTTTAATGACGGTGATCATTGTGATAAAAAAATATAAATTGACACAAACTGAAGGGAGTGATTTGAAGCGTAATTCAGTTTAATTGTTTTTCAAAACAAAGTTTCTCTTAAATTCTGATCATGCGGAACATCTTCATGACAAATATCGAATGAATTTTCTTTTTCTTTTATTCCAAAGCTAATGCTGATCTCTTGAAATTCTTTGGAAAATGTAAAGACGGCAAAACCCGACTTGTGAAAGTTTCAATTGAAAACGGTAACAGTGTGAAATAATTGGATTAAGTTGTCAATTTGTTTTATTTGATTTTCTTTTTTCACAGAGGAATTAACACTTGTAAGTCATAAAGAAGTGAAGAAAGATTGGGAGAAGGATTTTGACAAATTAATTCAACCTGAAATTGAAGACGATGTTCCCTGTTATATTCTTTATCGTTTGGACACGAAAACAGCTGAAGGTGCATATGCGTGGATGCTCATATCTTGGATTCCCGACATTTCAACAATCCGCCAAAAGATGATTTACGCTTCAACAAAAAGCACTTTAAAGTTAGAATTTGGAAGTTCTTACTTAAAAGAGGAATATCATGCAACATCACTGGAAGAAATCACTTTTACTGGTTATCAAAAGAATAAACTTTCAATGGCAGCGCCAACTCCACTAACAAGACAAGAAGAAGAAAGAAACGAGTTGCGTCGGACCGAAGTGAAAACAGAAGTTGGTGTAGACACACGACATCAAACGCTTGGTGGTATTAATTGTCCAATAAGCGAAGCTGCGCTTCAAGCAATAAATGATCTTAAACGAGGCTCATATAATTATTTACAATTTAACATTGATCTTGATAAAGAAGAAATTCATATCGCTAAAGCTGAAAATATTGATGTTCATAAGTTGAAAGCACTTGTACCGATTGATCATGCAAGATTTCATGTCTTCCTATTTAAACACTCATATGATGGCGATTGGGTGGAAAGTCTTGTGTTCATTTACAGTGTGCCTGGATATAATTGTTCAGTGAAAGAAAGAATGTTGTATTCATCATCAAAAGCTCCATTTTTAGAGACTCTTCAAGGTCTTGGAATAGACATCACGAAAAGACTCGAAATTGATGATGCATCTGAAGTGTCTGAAGAAAATCTTATTGATGAAATTCATCCGAAAAAGATGCTTCACAAGACACAATTTGCGAAACCAGCACCTCCAAGCAAAAATCGTGGTCCAAGAAGACTGATAAAATAAAATTGCATAATTATGATGTGCATAACTTTTGATTTCAATCAAAACATTAATCAAAATTTTCAGTTGAACATAAAATTGTTAGTTTCAATTTTTAATTATCTTATTTCTTTTTATTTTTATTCTTTAAAGTTTTTATTTATAGCCAGTTGTATTATAATTTATTTTATTACAATGCATTTTATCTCTTTTTTTATAATATTCGCATTGATTTCGCATAATTGTAACATCAAGTTAAAGGAATTTTGAAACAAAATTTATATTTAAGACAAATAATGTCTTGCCAAGTTAATTCATTTAAGGAAAGAAAGAAACACCAACGAGTGATTGACAATCGAAAGAGAATTGATTTCAATTTAAGATTTTTTGCATACTTTATATAATTGTGTAGATTGATTTTGCTTCAATAAATTCTCGAGTGATCTTTACAATTTGATGTCTTATTCAATTTCAATTATACCTTTCATAACAAAAAAATCAATTTTTTTACAACGATTTAATAACTTTAAATTATTTCTTTATTCTATGATCAAATTTTACAAATTTTTATTTTTTTTCACTTACAGATTTTTCAATAGGTTTTATGTTGTCGTCTTCATCAGGAATATAAATTTTTAGATCTAATTTTCCAGAACCAACATGTGGTTGACTATCATGAACATCGAAATCAGGATTATGTCGATCAGTTCCTACTGATTGTTTCTGAAAACTTTTTCCGATATCATCATCTCTGCCTGATCGCCATTTGTATTGATAATAACGAATTTCTTCCATTGTCATACCCGAGGATTTGAGTATGAGAAGTGAAGCAGCACCTCCAAGTGCTCCTAATCCTCCACCGACTAAAATTCCAGCAGCCATTCCTTTTAATCCCATATTCATCTTATATCCAGCTCCTGTTACAGCACCAGCTATGACGTACTCATACATCGAGGATTTTCCTCGATAACTTGAAATGATTGTTGTGATCGCTCTTAGGAATAGAAATAATTAAAACCACTCAAGTCAAGAATAAATAATTAACAATTAAACTTACGTATAAGATGTTGTAAACAATGCCAAACGCCATGAGAATCTAAAAGCATTTTGAGCAAATCCTAATGTAACTTTATCTTGAAGTTTCCTTTTCGCATCAAGATGACTTTTAAATGCTGTAGCTTGATTATTATCTAAGAAATCAAAATATGCTTTTCGAGAACCAAGAAAACCTCCGTAAACTCCACCGACAAACATTCCAAAAAATCCTGCCTGCAAAATTGAGTTACATTCGTTTGACATCCTTCCAAATTCACTGTCATGATAAATGATGAGTTTCATAAATTAGTTCAAAAATGAAATGTTTTCTTACTCTACTGTAAACATTCTGGAAATTCTCTCCCATCCGGTTTCTTCATAATCAAGCTTTGGATCGTAATATTTTTTACTGGGAACATCAACGCTCTTCGGTGTTATTGTTGGGCCAAAAGCAAATGATATTGGCACCTTCCATAACTTTTTTATCATGTTGCCAATTTAATGTTTTTAATTTTTTCTATTTTTAATAAGATTGATAAAATTTTGTATGATTGTTTATATTCTTGAGAAATACACAACGACAATACACATCAACTTCAACCTAGCAATTGAACAGATTTCATTTAAATTAGAAAGGTTTGATTAAGGCAGGTTCAAATATTTTCCAAAAATATTATTATTACTGTTTAATTTAAATTACATAAATATGGACGGGTTATTTAAGAAAACAATGAACTTGCTGAACTCGGATACGTTAACTCAAGATGAATTTGTTGGTAAAATAGTTGAAGTGGCTGCAATTAAGCTGAAAATTCTTCGAAAAATTGCTGAGGGTAAGAAGATTTAAAGAAATTTCTTTGTAATCTTTATTTCATGCTTTGGAAATTCCCATGAACGGCTTCCGTATGCAAGTGATAATAATTGTGGGCGGATGTAAAAATTCTGCCATTCTTGTTTATATAGATTATTATCTTTAGTCTTAACTTGTTTTTCAAATGAAAACCATTTGACGACATCAATTCATCGATGATGACTCATTAAAGATCTGTTTTACTTTTTTTTCCTATCGTTTTTAAGGAGGTTTCGCAATTGTTTATGTTGCCCGTGATATACAGAGCGGAAACGATTATGCTTTGAAACGACTTTTCGGTTCAGATAAAGATGAATGTAATAATATTATTAATGAAATAAACATCCACAAACAAGTTTCGGGGCACCCAAACATTGTGAAATTCATCACAGCATCGTTCATTGACCGAACGCAGAGTGGAGGACGTGCTGAATATTTGTTGGTGACAGAGCTATGTAAAGGTGGATCACTTTACGATTGCTTGGAGCAAACAATTGAACCGCAAACTATTCTCAAAATCATGTATCAAGCAACAAAGGCAATAGCTCATCTACATTCACTAAACATCAATCATCGAGATATTAAAATTGAGAATTTTCTTATTGGAAGTGATGGTCTTCTTAAAATTTGCGACTTTGGATCAGCAACTCTTCAACATCATTCTCCAGATCTTACTTGGACGACACAGCAAAGAAATAATCTTGAAGAATTACTGCAAAAGTTCACAACTCCCATGTATCGTGCTCCGGAACAGTTAGATACGTGGAATAATTATCCTATTGGAGTAAAGACAGATATTTGGGCTTTAGGATGTATTCTCTTCTGTTTATGTTACAAGAAACATCCTTTCGAAGACGCAGCAAAATTAAGAATCATAAATGGAAATTACACAATTCCAAGTGACTCACGCTTCATTTGTTTCAATGACATCATAAAAGGATGTTTTATGGTCGATCCTAATAATCGATTTGATGTTTCAATGGTGCTTGAACGTCTTGGTGCGATTTCTGAGACGAAAAGTTGGTCATTAAAAGGTCCATTAGACATCGTTGGAAAACCTTTAATTTCTCCAACTCTAGAAAATACAAATCAAAGTTCTGGTCAAGTTCCAACACGTCCAGCACCACCAAGGCCAACAAGTAATCCACAACCTAAAGTTGAAGTAAGGCAAAGTGTTAATCCTTCTCCATCTTCACAACAATCTCAACAAGCTGCAACATCATCTGGCGGTGGCCTCTTCTCATCAATTAAAGGCGGTGCAGGAAGTTTTCTCAAAAACCTCAAAGACACTTCATCAAAAGTCATGCAGACAGTCCAACAAACAATGACAAAAACTGATCTTGATGTCAGTTACATCACACAAAGAATCATTGTGATGCCATGTCCAACAGAAGGTCTCGAATCAGCTTACAGAACGAATCACATTGAGGATGTTCGAATGTACTTTGAGCAACGTTGTCATCCGTCGAAAATTAGTGTTTACAATTTAGGTCCACGATGTGCACGATTACCTCCGCCTGTTCGAACTGTTGAATGTGGATTCATTTATCAACCAAATCCACCAAAAGCTCCAACATTAACTCACATGTATTCGTTAGCTGAAGACATGTATGGATTCTTAAACAGTGATTCGAAGAATGTTATTATAATTCAAAGCCCTGATAATGGTCGTGCAACTGCTTGTACAATGATTAGTGCTTTGATGATTTATGCTCAACTCATACGTGAACCTGAAGACGCATTACAAATGTTTGCTGTTAAGCGAATTCCACCAAATGTTAGAGCATCAGAAATCAGATATTTATATTATATGGCTGACATTGTTCGAGCTCATTTACCACATTACAAACCGATAACTTTGGTCTCTTTAAACTTTAGTCCCGTTCCAAGAATGACAAAGGCAAGAGATGGTTGTCGTTTGTATATTGAAGTTGTAGCAAATGATCGCGTTGTTGTCAGCACTTTACAAGAATATGAACGAATGAGGTGAAGTTTTATTAAATTTTTACTTTTATTAACATTATTTTCAATGTTCTTATTTATCTTCACAGACTTTATCATGCATCAGAAGGAAAAATCAATTTACCATTAAATATAACACTTTGCGGTGATATCACAATAACTTTGTATCATGCACGTAATTCAATCGCTGGAATGGGCCGACCACAAGGAATAAAAGTTTGTCAACTTCAATTTCACAGCGGATTTATTCCAGAAGAAGAAACACTTTTATCATTCAATCGATCAGAACTTGACGATATTCCAGATGTTGAACATGTTCCAAACAATTTTAATTTAAGTATTTCTGTTTTTGTTGGTGATGATGAGAGAGCTCCAGTTCAGTCACCTCCATGGTCATCACAGAATAATTCAACTCGTGATTCAAAAATTTTGTTCGTCTCACAATTGGAATTTGATGAAAATGTTGATAATTTTAGTAAGTTTTCATTTGTTACATTTATTGAATTTTAAATTTAACGTCTAAATTTTTATTTAGTTTCAAAGCCAAGCAATAATAATAACAACAACAACAGTCACGTCCCTCCACCAAGACCAGCTCCGCCTGTCATTCAACAACAACAACAACAGGCTTCACTTATAAATGAAATTGACGATAAAAGTGATATTTCTGAAAAAGAAATTGAAGCTTCAGATCCACCAGTAGCTACATTTGACTTCCTGAATTTAGGTGGAGAAGAGAAAGAAATTCCAAATGAAGCACCAAAAATTGCGAAAATTAAGGAGCCGAGCTTTGATTTGTTAGGTGGGTTTGATAGCAACTTTAGTGATCCATTTCCTGACTTAGTTGGAAGTGCACTCAATAAACCAACAGAACCGATTAAATCGAATGTTGGAAGTGGTGGCTTGGATGATATTTTTGGATCGTTACCACAAACATCAGCGCCACCAATTGTTCCAAGTAAATCAAGTAACGACTTGAACGGATTGAACTTGAATTTTGATTTAGGAAGTTCATCAAAAAGTTCAAGCCAAAAAGAAAAGACAAGTAATGATCCCTTTGCTGACTTAACGAAATCTTTACATCCTGAATGGAGTGCTGGGGTAGCTCCAAAAACTACAACAAGTCCAATGGGAACTCAAAATTCAACTCCAATGCATCAATTCACATCACATTCCGCTTCAGCTACGCCAAGAAATCATCCATCAACGCCAGTTCATCAGATGAAAAGTCCCAGTGAACCACAAAGACCTGATTACAGTCGTTCACACTTTCAAGATCCACAACAACAGCAGCAACCACAAAACACGACACACAAGTCGAAGTCAACTGATATATTTGGAGATATTCTTGGATCGCAAGGATATTCGTTTGGAAGTAAAGATAATCAAGGGCCGAAAACGATTAATCAAATGCGTAAAGTTGAACTAGCACAAACAATGGATCCGGAGAGATTGAAAGTGATGGAATGGGTAAGATTTTAATTTTATTATTGACTGAAATGTTTAAATAAATTTAATTTTAATAGACGGAAGGAAAGAAAGGAAATATTCGAGCTTTACTTTGCACAGTTCATACGATTCTTTGGGCAGATGCTAAATGGAAGCCTTGTGAAATGTCAACGTTGATATCAGCGAATGAAGTGAAAAAAGCTTATCGACGATGTTGCTTAGCAGTTCATCCTGATAAAGTAAGAATTTAAATTAAATATTTAGACACGCATTAAAATGATATTTATTACAGCATACCGGCTTGCAACATGAAAATCTGGCGAAACTTATATTTATGGAACTAAATAATGCATTTTCTGACTTTGAAAATGACGCAACACAACAGAATTTATTTTAAACAATTTTTTTTCCAGATCTAACACTGCTCAATTCTTATGAGATTTCTTTTTAGTTAAAAAATTAATTAAAATATTAGATAAATTAACAAGACTTCATATTCATAGCAAATATGTTCGTTGCAAAGCGTTCACTACAATGAAAATGCATGATATCTGTGATTTGCGTTTGAGTTATTAAAAGCTTAAATTTAATCAAGAATTTAATGTACAATTGCTGAGGGAATATACTAAATCATAAAATGAGATCGCTAAATCTATAAAAAAATACCTAAATGCTTCAAACCTTCATCCTTTAAAAGTTTAATAGAATTTAAAAAAAGTTATTTAAACTATCTGATTGTTACAAAGAGATGTAGAAAGAGACATGTAAAATATTTATTGTTGATTGAGTGGTATTTATTGAAAACAAAAAAAAAAAGAAATCAAACTGTCATTCCGAAAACGAAAGCACGTAAAATGTATTCAAATAAAATTCCAAATATAAACATTATTAAACATTTTATTTTTCATGTCGTTTGATTTCTGACTTTTTAAAAAACGGGCAAAAATTTAAAAAACTTTCCCCTTGAAAAGCTACGCTTCATTGCTAAGAAATATTTCAGTGTTTGAACTTACGTGCGCAATATTCATTCTACATTTTTGAGTATAACGTAGCTTTTGAAGGGTTCAGTTTTATTATTTTTTTCGTGGTAATACTTCGACTTGATCTTTCGCGCATTAAATAATTAAATTCGCGATCGTGTGCCTTAAAGAAATAGTAAAAATATTACGATTTAAAAGGAGATAACAAGATAGTTTGTAAACTGTTAAAAATATTTTTTTTATATTCATTAAAATATTTTTGTTGTTCATTTGCCTTTTATCGAAAAAAAGGAATAGAAAGGATTGTGCAAACTGCTTCAAAAAGTGATCATTAACATTACTTGAGTATAAAGTTCAACTAGTAGGTGATCGTAAGGATTACAGTAATGGTTTTAATGCTTAAATTAAATGAAGAAAACTGGAATGGACGACGAGAGAAAAAAAAGTGAAATGGGGAATTAAAATGAATCTGATGTGCTAACTGTGTAATCAATAAACATTTTTAAAAGACTCTGATTTCACGTAAAGAAACATCACTTTATAAAATTCTTCTGTGATTAAGCTTAAAGGCTTCTGATAAGAAAGAAATTTGAAAGTGTCCCTTGGAAGAGCAAACAAAAAAAATGATTTGTGTGTGAGTGAGTGAAATATTTTTGAAAAAAAAAATATATATCTATGTATATATATAAATCAGGGTTACATTCTGATTTACCTCATCGCCTTTACTCCAGTGCCTTCAAATAAAGTGAAAAAAAATCTTTCTTTCACTATCTAAATCGGGATTACTTTAATACATCTGGAATTTAAAAGATCATCAAATAGAAAATATTTTGCGTAAATTAAAAGCCTGAAAATTGTCATTTGGTTTTGAATTTTTTGTGAGGGCAAAAGCAGAATAACAACAAATGTAAAAAAGTCATTTATAAATAGATATTTGGTAAGTTCTTTAACTTCAAACACTATTTAACTGAACAAGATCTCCTGAGTTCAGCTTCGACACTTTCATTGGAATGCGATCATATTTATTTTTCTCTTTGAATGAATCACGACTGAAGAAATATTGTAGAAGATGCTGTATCATGTACGAATTTTCAATGGCAATCTTCATAGAAAATAATGTCAAGTTTAAAGTTTCTCATTCGAAATTGCACAAAATTTCATAAAATTCATGAAGCCTCGTGAAGCAGTGCTGAAGCATTTCTTTTTTTTTTGCCATATGAAAATATCTACACCACATGAGTTTACACACATGCAACAAGCACTGCGTACAACGATGTAAATGTAAAGTCAAACACAAGTCAAGAAACAACTACACATTCTCAATGGCATTTATTTTGAATACATTTATGTGTTTAAAAGTCTTTCACATTACTTTTATTTTATTTTTTCAAGAATTGCAATTTCCTTAATGTTTCTTTTCCTAGAAAATCTCTTGAATTTTATTTTCGGTTTTATCTGCGATCATTTGAAAAGTGATTAAGTGGATTATACGGCTGTTAATAATTTAACGTTAATTAAAATTATCTTTCCCATTCAAGACATTGTCGCTCTAAATAGTAAAATATGACGAGTTAAAAATTCTTAGCTGGAGGGAAAGCCATCATTGCTGTAAAGATTTAATTAAGGCGGAAAAATATGAAAAACTTGAAAGAATGCTCCGAAAAATTAAATGAGTTGAAATTCCAATGGAAATTCTTGAACAATTTTTGTTTTTCTTCTCTTTTTTATGAGTATTTTTAGATTTTCGGGTTGCACAGTGATGATGATTCTTCATTTGTTTATTTACAATTATCGCGTACACCGCATGCGAGTATTGAGAGCATATTTTATTGGCCAACCGTGGACTGTTTAAATTTAAAAGGAATTTGGAAATTCATTGCGCTCGAATTGAACTCAATAAAATCGTATGAAATATCTACAAAATATTTTTTGTTTCTTTTGTGAAAGCGACAGTTTATCATCGAAATATTTAAATTATGAATTAATAGCACACCCGCAAATGAGAATCTCATTGAAAATTCATAAAATAAAAGCGAAAATTGCATTAACAAGCGATTGTGACAATGTTTGAATGTGAAAATATGCGCCTTTGCAAATCGTTTTCTTTCTTTCTTTATATTTTAATTTCATTTGCAAATATTTGAGCTCATGTGACAAATATGTATGAAAAGAAAAGAAAAGAAACAGAGCAATGAATGCGAATGTAAAGAAGGTTAAAACCGTTCGTTATATCACGTAGAATTGCGTAAAAATCATTATGTGGGAGAGAGAGAGAAAGACTTGGATGTGATAATTTCAAGGTAGATATCGCCAAGTGAAGAGCATCGCTTCAATGCATTGCATTGCTCAATCTAAAATCAATTGAAAGTTTTACAAATTTATCTACATCTACCTTGACCAAGGCGACAAGACACTGATTACTTACATTCTTTGCCTTTTGTGTGATAAATGAATGAATTGATTGATGGATTCTGATATATTCATCATCGTTCTACGGCTCGATCGATAGCGCTTCAAAAATGCCATATTGAAAACAAATTCTTGTCTTCTTCTTTTTCCATCTTGCAAACGCAATCAACAGTAAAGGAGATGAATAAAATGTTTAAGAAAGATCTTTTTAAAATACATATTATTGAAATTCCTTTGATTATCATTCATATGTGTTCGCGTGTTTAATAGGATTAACATTTTTTTCATTTCTTTCTCTGTCTCCTCTCGGTACAGTTTAGTCTTCGCCCCTCACCTACATTTATATTGCTCGCATCGAAAGATATTTAAAGTTTTTGTCTGCACAAAGTTCTACATCATTTACTTAAGTATTCATTTTGTAGATGAGCGAGCCAACTTGCATACTCATTTATAATGAAGCGAATAGCTTTGTGGACGCTTTTATATATGTGATCGCAAATCCTTCCGCATTTTTTGAATATTTCATTCATTAGCAACTCAACTTCGTAATATATTGTAAGGAATGAAATAAATGTTTTATTTTTGACAGGTGATCTAAAGCTTTTAGAGGTCAAACAATTTGAATGTTTAATGAGAAGTTTAAGTAGATCTCCATATAATCATAAATATCTAATTAAAAACAGATGTGTTGCATGATGCAGTGGAAAACTTCATCTTTCTTCATGGCTGGCTTCATTTTTATAGGCATTTAAATAATCTTCTCATTCAACTCTTTCTTCCCCCCTATTTCACATCTAAAACTATGCTAGGAATGTTCTTTATCATCAGAGTGAAAAATATTTGAAATTTTTCCTCGCTTTACATTGCGAGTGATTCTAAAATAAACAATTATCGGGGAGGAGGGAAAAAAAGGGAAAATTGTGATCATTTCTACAAAGAAGACGCTTCACAACTGATGATAAATTTTTCTCAATAAAATATTGATGAAGAAGCGAAAACAACGCAGCTTTCGCGATATTAAAAGGCAAACGAATGAATTATTTAATGAAAGGAGATGAGAGTGGAATGAAAAGTTATTAATTGCAATAACAACTGTGAAAATTTATTCCTGCGTCTTTGCTTGCTTATTTTCTTCATGTCTATTGTCGAGCACAACGTTTTTCGCAACCAGATTTCAAGCGTTTCTTTCCTCCTTCTCCCTCCTTGCTTCCATCAATCAACAGACGAAAACATGTGTGCTTTTCTTTCTGCCGAAAAGCGAATTTTCTTCTTCTATCTCACAGCCAAAAAAAAATATTATAAGAAAACTTTAAATGTGAAAACGAGAAAAAAAGACGAAAACACAAAAAGAGTTGCGAAAAGCCGTGCAAGAATTTTTTTTCGGAACGCAAGCGAGAGAAATTTCAAAGAAATATTTTTAGAATTTTCTTTTTTTTTCTTCTTTGCTTTTATGGCAAGCTGTTCCCTGCTTTGCCTTCTTCTTATGGCATGCGGCAATGATCAAGAGTTCTGTGGATTGTGAAGATTTTGCTATGCAATGCCACTGTTGTTTTAGTTGTTGACAGAATGAATGATAAATTCGCTGCTTTGACTAACCAATAATCTTTCCCTGACTAACCACAAAACGTTAAGCTCTCCAATCTTTGAGATGAAATTAATGTGCGGATTTACAGATTCACTTTTCTCATGAAGCTTTTCATCGAAACATAAACAAATCTTTCTCCCCAATATAATTCTTAAAGATTGAAATGTTTCCTTTCATAAGAAATCTCAGTTTTACGGTTCAAACAAAAAAAAACTTGTTTTAAATGGAAGACTCGGCGATCATCGCTCTTCTCACGTATTTGCAAAAAAAACGAAGACTTTTGTGAACACAGACATGTGGCAGAGCGAAAGATAAGCGGACAAGAAGAAGAAAAAGTCTTAATTTATTATAAAAACCATAAAATTTGCATTCCAAATTCTTTATTTTTTCCTCAAATATTTATTTTGGGTATGAATTTTTGTTGTCTTCTTTTCTTATTACTTTTTATTTTGCCTCACATGGACATGTCGTTTTATTTATCATTTTCTTTATCATAAATATTCTCTTTTGCATGATTTTCACTTGAAATTGGAAGTCGTGATTAAAAGAAGCTTCCATCGATTTTTCTTTATTATTTCTCTAATGACTTTCAGCAAGGCACGATGTGAATGATCGATTGGCAAGTGCTCAAACATGTTTTCTAATTGATTTAGTCTGAGGTGGTTTCGGAAGTCAATTGACTGAGTTCTCGGCACTTCAAAGCGACTATTGAACTTTAAAACCGCGAAAGAAAGAAATAATTTCTCAAGTCCAGTCATGAAATGAAAAGGAAATTCATTAAAATATTTTCTCCTCGAAATATCAACGCTGTTGAACTAGTTTGCGTCTTAAAATTCCGAAACACACGAAATCGTCTTCATGTCTCCGATCTTCAAAGAGAAAAATTATTACACATTCTGAAAATTTTGTTTTCTTCTTGCCTTTTCACATTTTTAATACTTTTTGTTTCTCTTCAATTTTATATATTTTTTTTTTCTGTTTTCTTTTACAGAAGATCAACGTGAAAATCCTCAAGACACGCAGAGGGTCGACAACGAGAATCAAGCCAAACATAAGAAGTAAAAAAAGAAAAGAAGAAAGAATAAAAAAGTCAAAACCGGTGTCATCAGCTCAACGAAGAAATCGAAGAAACAAAGAAACATTTTTTAAGAATTCATCATCATAAATGTTCTCCCATCGGCCTCCAGTCATAAGCCAACCGACCTATCAGAGAATCATAAAGTAATAAAAAAATATAAGAAACAGAAAAAAAGCAACAGAGTCTCTACTGACGTTATTTACAACGTTAGAATAACAAAAGAATAATTTTTTAAGAACGATAAAAGTGCAGAAAACAAAAAAGAATTTATACGATGGGAGAATGAATAAGCAGCACAAAGGAGAGTGAAATTAGTTGAATTTATTAAGAAAATTGTTTCGCACATTCACGCTTTGTTGTGTTGTTGTTATTTTTTAGTTTGTAATAATCATACGGTGACACATCGCTCAAAAGTTGAGCGCAATTCCAATCGTGTGATTAGCTATCAAAACAAAAAGAAACAAAACTTGTATAACTATTGCAACATTGATTCATTCCAGAAGCATGAATCATGAACATAAAGTGTTCTTCAGTTGTTTAAGTTTTTGTGTCGATAACATTAAAAAGCTATAAAGAAAACTGTAAAAAGAAAGATTAACAATTATTTTGTTTTCAATTATCATTTTTCTTCATGTACGAGTTTGTCACAACATTGAACCTATAAAAAGTTCAATCGGATTAGTGTTTTGTTAATAAAAAAGACTTTAGTAAGAATTAAATCATTACGATCGTTATCGGACGTGTTTCGAAAGTGATAATCATCGTCCTTTGCGACGGTTGTGATCGTTTTTCGGTGGGTGTTATTAGTGATATGACTGACTTTATCAGTCGCTACAGCTATGAACTCATCGGGCGGAAAAACGCCTTCGACGGCGAAACCCCCCGCCTACAAAGCCAACGCACTCGCAATGATTCGAGACGAATTGTCGCAGTTCGCCAATTCGGGCGAGTCGTCATCGTCCGGCCAACAATCGCCACAACCACCACAGAATCAACAAGTAAGCTTCATTTTTATTACTTAGATTTCTATCTTATCTCATAACACAATACTTTCTACAGACGTCATCTCAGTCCCAACAGAACATCGATCGCGACGTTCTTCTCATACGTCAAATGCTCTCTCAAGTCGGTGTCGCTAACTTTGAGGTGAGTTCATTAAATTTCTTTATTATTATTATTTAGCTTTTTATCAAATAAATATTAAAAAGAAATTAAATAAAGAAAAAGAAAAGATTTCATGAATATTTTTATTGTCGTCAGATGGCAACTGACGATTATTTTGGCTTTGACTCGAAGAAATAAAAGTAATAATAAAAATACTTAAAAGTGTTCATTGGTTCATGTAATATATTTGCGTGGGTGTAAGACGAGATGAAGAAAAAAACATTATTAAATTGTTTATAAAGTCTCTTGGCTGCACTCTCGTGCCTGCTTGTTGTTATTACACATTCTTGAAGAAGAAATAAAATTAAAACAGAACGAATAAAACGAAAAGGAAATTGTTTTAATGAATCAGCGGAAAAGTGGATTTAATTTTTCATTTCCAAAAACCTGCTTCATGAAGCATTCATGATCGAAGGGTAAAATGACGATTTCAAGTTGCTGATAAAATTGCGAAATAAAACAGAGAGTTGCTGTGGAATTTCGTTGCTAAATCATTTTATTTTTACTCGAGCGCATTCATTTGACTTTCAGTGAGTGAATGATTTTCACAATATCGATGGCTTTGCCAAGAAATTTGATGATCATCGACGAATAATTTATTTAGTATCAGGATGGAACTTAGATCTGTTGTCAACTTTAATATTAAAAACTTGATCGCTTTTAATCGTTCATTTTTATGATTTTTCGAAGTTTTTATTGACTGATAGTATTTAATTTTTATTTTTAAACATACATTGGCATGTGAAGCCGTTTGGTGCGTTGTGTCGTTCAACAAATTTTAGTATTTTGTCTCAAAAGTTCATCTCAAAATTTAATCTCTCTTAATGTTGTGTTTTATTGACATGAAGCAAGATCCTGCTTGGACACTGTCAGTCTACAGTGTCTTTGTCGTGGGTGGATTATTAATTTTAATGGGTCTAAGTTTCATCGTAGCAACAAATAATCTTGAGATATTAGCAAAATGTTAATGATCATCAGCGCGTTTTTTTTCTTCGTGTCATGCAATCAAGCGACGAAACGCTTTTTTTGGCTATGTGTAATAATATCCATTTAAGGCATAATGAAAAATGATAACTTGAGCCGATCTGACCATTTACGACACGCTTGATTGGCAACTGGAATGTGTTTACAATTTTATTTTTTATTTTTTGACAGAAAAGTTAGTTAATGAAATTAATGCTAATTAGAAATGCATGAAAGAAAAAGACTTAATAAAATAAGTTTCGCTATAAATGGTGAATTGATGATGGTTATCGTTAAAGTCTTCTCACAACACCCACACTTCACATTCTTTATAAAAAATAAGCAATAAAAGCATTCGATTTATTTCTCAACTCTTGAAAACAAATTCCTTCAAACTCTCTGATAAGAAAAAAATTCTTTAAAAAGTTTATTTTTGTTTGACGACTTCTCTTTGCACACCTGGTACACTCATGACATGGTTGATCTTTTTCATTGCTCTTTGAGAATTCATTTTAATCTCAGACAACAAACGAAATTCTTTTATAAGTATAAATATATTTTCGGGGGCATCGTATGAAAGAGAAAGAAAGAAGGAGAGAGAGAAGTGGAGGGACAAAGAAAAAACAAAAATATTAAATGCGAGAGAAGAGGAAGAAAAATAAATTCCATTTTGCAACAACAAAGCCACTCGTAAATAAATCCATGGATTGATTTCCAGGTAAAAAATATTTTCTCCCTTTTGATTGCGGAGTTGGTTGCTTGGATAATAATAAATAAATGCTCAGAAGAAGATGAAAGAAATAGAAGACGAAAGCCACTTTAGATAATGATGAAAATATGACAAAAATTCCAGCGAGTTGAGCGACATGTGCGTACGCAACCTTTACGAGTGACGACTAAACAGAGAAGAGAACAAAAGCAAATAAAATCAAGGTCGTCTGAGTTACTTAAAAAAATACTTTAACAACACATGAAAGTGTGGTTGATATTAAATAAAAAAAATGAAAAATGAGAAGAGAAGCGGTTAAGAATGTTCAATAATAATCTTGTTTTCTTATTTTTGTTATTTGGTATGGAGAAGCGATGAAGAAAGATGAAGAGGAAAAAAAATCGGCAAAAGAATTCTTTAACATTCTTTTTTTTTCTTGCTTATATCTTGGAGTTAAATTTGTCTTCATAACTCCGCCGTTTCCTTTCATTCCATCCTAAAGGAGAAATAAATAAGAAAGAAAGAAAGAATGTAAAGCGAAATTTTTCTCATCGTCTTATCAACCTTGCACGGCGTCTCTGCAACGCACTCAACCAACGCACACCGTAAATTAATCAATTGATTTTAACGGTGTTTCTGAAAATTGCAGCATGCCTTGGCAACATCATTTCTTTCAATAATTATCGTGCATCATCGCGTTACGCAAATTGTCAAGTCGCGATTGCGCTGATAACCGACGAGAAAAACTTGTTTAAAATCCAAAAACTTTTCTCATCGAAAAACTTGCTGGAATTGTTGTGCAAGGCAAATAGCAATCGCTTATTCGATTGATTGTTGGGCCGGTCGATTGCTCGATCAGTGAATGAAAATAAACTAACGACATCGTTGACGGCCTTTGAATGTTGAATTTCAATTGTTTTGTTTTCCTACAAATGCATATTTATTTACCAAACAACAAATATGAAACCGGTTTCGTTATCGTGATCATGATAACACTTCGTCTCTGCTTTCGATAATAGTCTTCATAAATAATCGTGAATAAACGCAAAGGTCGCTCAAGATTAAACATTGCAAATTATTTATTTATTTTTCTTCTCATTTATGTGTAACAAAATTAAATATGAGTTGAAGTTTTAACTTTTTTTTATTTCTTGATTCGCTGATATTTTAATTTTCTTTTCCTTTACACAAGCATTTGCAACGTTGCAAGATTTGTCTTCTCATTCCTATGAAGCGAAGCAGGCCACATGTGTATAAATTGCCTTCCACCACGAGAATCGTCTTTCAATGTGTTTCAACTGCACCAACACCAGCTGTTTATTTTTATTTTATTTTTCCCCTTCTTTCCTGAAACACTGATGGAATCTCGTCATGAAATTCCAACGCGAATTAATCTAAAAACTTGATTTTTTTTCGTTTCTTTTTTTTTTAAATACCAATTTGTTTTGTAATAAAAAAACGTCGATAATTCTCATCGCGAGACAAAGAAGGATGAAAAATGAGTTTCGGATCGTGCCTTCTTTTGCAAAATAAGTTCTAAGTATTTTTTGATGATTTTTTATAAAGAAAACAAGTCGAAGATAAATCGAATGAAGGACTTCTCAGGTTATAAAACAATGTAAAGCTCTTTTTCTTTAAAACTCATGAAATAAATATTTGTCATTAGAAACCGACAAGCATTTACATAAGTTTAGAAAGGACTGACTGCTTTGAAAGAATTTCTTTTCAAATAAATGACATTGAAGGTTCAATGTTGCTTTTAAATCGTACGAAAATAATCTTTAAATAATTGAAAAAATCCCCAGATGACAAAACAAGTGTCAGATGTCACAGAAACTCAGAAAAAATAACTTTTAAGATAATTCAAGAAATACGACAATTTAAAATGTGATAAAATTTAGCACAATAAAAATATTAACGGCGATTAGGTGATGAGAAATTCTTCAAAGTATTTCCCTTGAATTGAATTTCATGAAATATTTATTTGTAGATATTGAAGGAAATTTGATAATTTTTTAATACTTTAATGCTAGAAATATTTTTCATTTTATCTCATGATTGACAACTGGCAATGAATTTCGTTTTGCTGACGAAAATTATTTCTAATCGGTGTGTTCAGGAAATGGTATTTTTAATGAAATTCCAAGAATGCCAATCTTTGGAATAAATTGAGGTTTTCTTATCTTTGATATCGTCAAGCTTTACGTGCTATATTTTGTGAGCTTCTTGACAAGATAATGGATTAATGTGAAATTCTATCGCAACTTCGATTAGAATTCTATTCAAACTTCGGGTTTTGTGAAAATCATTAAATTTAAAATGCAGAAATCCTTCTCTATTAATAAATTATTGAAATTTATCTAAGAACGCTTCATCTGACGTTTCTTCATTCACTTTCGAAGAAAGATTTTCATTTTATGTTAAAAGTATTTTTCTCAAATAAGATTCAATTTCTTGGAAGTGATTTGAAAGATTTTGGCAGAAAACTTGAAGAGATTCATCAGTGAAATGAAATCAAAACTTGAAGCGTAATAGCAAAAAATGAAAATCTAAAGTTTGAAAAGAAGTTTTATTAAGTAAATCTACTTAGTTTCCGACCAATGATAATTCCAAAAGCTTTCGCATCAATACAATCATAAGAACTTCAATTAAATATTCACTGTCAAATTTCTATGAAATTATTAATTTGATAACTGTTTGAATAGCTTCCACCACTTCATTTTGTGTTCTTCAAATCAATCTAATGAACATCTTCAAATCTATTTCGTAATATTGGTGAAATCTTTTTTTATTCTTCTGCAATCGAAAACTATAAATAAAAAACATTAATAGGAAAATAAATAAATTTGACATAATTCTTTTTTATAGGATGTTGCTCAACTAGCTCATCGTCTCAAATCACCGAACGGTCGTGAATTCGTTGCAGAATATTTAAGTAAACAAAATGAACAACTTATGAACGGACATAGTTCCAAGGTAAGCTAATACTGACTCATAATTTGTTGACTAACAACATGCAAACGTCATTAAATTACAAAAACATTTTTTATGATGATTTTAGGCACCGGCACTTGTACCAAAACTTATGCGTAAGCCAAGTATAGAACGAGAATTGCCGCCGTCATCACTTCATCTGCCACGTAACAGTCCTGCACTTGATTCTGGCGCTGGAAGTTCCCGTTCTGATAGTCCACATTCAAATCAACAATTGTTAGCTAACAGCAGTCGAGCAACGAGCACAACCGGTGGCCAATACTCACCAAGTCCATGTCCATCACACTCTAGTTATAATGAAATACCTCCGGTGCCACCACCGCGATGTGCTTCATCTACCAGCTCAACTCCATCACCTTTTCAACAATATTTTAAGCAACGAATGTCACCAGCAACAGCTTCAGCGAATCGTAATGGTGTCCCAATGCAATCACAGAGTCCGGCACGTGGAACATCACCGGTGGCAACAAATGGGATGCGACAGGGAATGTTAGTGCAAGGAAGAACGCCTGCACAACAACAACAGCAACTTCAAGCTCTGTCACTCTATCAAAATGGCGGCTCACTGACTGAGCCACCTCCGCCGTACCCCATAACATCTCCTTTAGCACCACCAAGCTACACAGCATCACTTCACAGTCGTCAGAGTCCAACTCAAGATTACAGGAAGAGTCCAAGTTCAGGAATTTATTCAGGAACTTCAGTTGGTTCGGCTGGTTCACCAAGTCCAATTACAGTGTCACAAGGATCTGCTCATAACTCAATTTCAAGGCCAATACCACTTGTGCCTGCTTGGAGCTCATCACGACAAACAAAAACTCAACATCCCATAATTATGCAATCGGTGAAGTCAACACAAGTACAAAAGCCAATTCTTCAAACAGCAGTTGCACCAGCAGCACCATCAACAGCTCCAACAACGCCAACATCTGTATCACAAGCTCCACCATCTTATCCAACGTCATGGCAACAGAACAAAGTCGTTTTGCATACACCACCACAAACACCACCAATTATTGGAGTTAGTTCTGGTAGCAGCACGAAATCTCTTACGCCACCGTCAACACCGGGGCTTAGTAGTAATGGCGGAACAAGTGGAAATAATTCACCAACAATTCATTCAAGTGAACCACCATCATATGCAACAACAATGAAAGCTTTAAGAGCTCAACAACCGCCACCATCAACATCGTCTCGTAATCCACCGCCACCGTATAATAATGGAAGTGTCATCAGCAATAACACCAACTACACTTCATCAAGTTCTTCAGAGATATTGAACAACAATAACAATAACAATAATAACAATAGTTTGAATGTTAATAATGGCAATTTGTTGACGACACCACCACTTCCAAAGTCAGCAAAGAATCATCAGATTACGATACAGAAAGCAAGTAATGGTTCATCAAATAACATGAATGGAAGTACAGCGACTTCTAATAATGGTTCAAATGCAAGTGATATGGCTTCATCGGTGAGAAAGATTAAACATCAATCGCCGATACCTGAGAGAAAGAATCTCAGTAAAGAAAAGGAAGAAGAACGTTTTGAGTGTAAAGTTCGTCACTATTCACCACAAGCTTATAAATTCTTTATGGAACAACATATTGAGAATGTTTTAAAATCTCATAAGCAACGAATGTTTCGACGTCATCAACTTGAACGTGAAATGACAAAGATGAAGATGCCAGATGAAACAAAAGTTGAAATGCGTAAGCTTTTAAATCAAAAAGAATCGAATTATATTCGACTTAAACGTGCCAAAATGGATCGTTCAATGTTTGTTAAAATAAAGCCAATTGGTGTTGGTGCGTTTGGTGAAGTTAATTTAGTGCGTAAAATCGATACACCAAATCATCTTTATGCGATGAAAACACTTCGAAAAGCCGATGTGTTAAAGAGAAATCAAGTTGCACATGTAAAAGCAGAACGAGATATTTTAGCTGAAGCAGACAATGAGTGGGTGGTGAAATTGTATTATAGTTTTCAAGATAAGGACAGTTTATATTTTGTTATGGATTATATTCCTGGTAATTAAAATTTCCATTTACTAATCTCGATTAAGAATCTTAATCTAGATTAATAACAGGATTTATGAAAGTTAAAACAATTCAAATAATTATTTTCCATCTCCACCACCAGGGGGCGATCTGATGTCACTTCTCATAAAGAAAGGAATCTTTGAAGAAGAACTTTCACGTTTCTATATTGCTGAACTCACATGTGCCATTGATAGTGTTCATAAAATGGGTTTTATTCACAGGTAATTAATTAAATGCTTGAAGGGATAATAAAGCTTTTGGGTGTTAATTAAATCGTCTTTTAATTCCAACAGAGACATCAAGCCTGACAATATTTTGATAGACAAGAAAGGACACATTAAGCTTACAGATTTTGGTCTTTGTACTGGCTTTCGATGGACGCATGATTCCAAATACTATCAGAAGAATGGTAAGGAAGGAAATGAATATAAATTAATTAATTGAGTAAAATAATTTTTTCTTCATCTTTAAAATCTTAGGCGATCATGCGAGACAAGATTCGATGGAAGCATGGAGTAAGCATGGAGGGCCCGACGCTCCACCACTTCCACCACCATTAGAAAGGTAAGAAAAAAAATGAATTTTTATGTTTATGTTCCCTTAATATTTTTTCATTTTATTTTCTTCAGGAGAAAGTTTCGTGAAAAGAATCGCGCGAAAGCTCATTCAATTGTCGGTACTCCAAACTATATTGGTAAGAATTCGATTTTCATTTATTGATATTTGATGTTCTTATCTGAAATTAAATTCATGTTTCAAAATAGCTCCTGAAGTTTTATTACGAAGTGGCTACACGCAACTGTGTGATTGGTGGAGTGTGGGTGTTATTTTATATGAAATGCTTGTAGGTCAACCGCCGTTCTTGGCAAACTCAGCTGAAGAAACGCAATACAAAGTAAGTTGAATTTATGGTCTTAAATATTTAATGCTTAGGAATGCACGCGATGAAAGTTCTTTTTACGCCGTAAACCTGCGCATATCTCTTAATATCGCTTTATTAAAAGTCCCAAAAACATTATGGAAAATTAAAATTTGTTCTTCCGAAGCATTTCCATTAAAAGATAAAGAATTTGATCGATTAATTTTTTTACTTTCTTAGGTGATACATTGGCGACAAACACTTCGAGTCCCTCCACAAGCGAATTTGTCACCGGAAGCTTCGGATATCATTCTTCGGTTATGTAAAAATGAAGACGAGCGCATTGGAAAGGATGTTGATGAGATTAAAAGTCATCCGTTCTTTAATCAAATTGATTGGACGAAAGAGTTACGTAGCCAGCAAGCGCCTTTCGAGCCTCGAATCATTCATCCAACCGACACGTCTAACTTCGATCCAATCGATCCAGAAAAGCTTCGTGACAGTAACAGTGGAGCAGACGATTCATTTGAGAACGATGTTATCGAAGGAAAGCCTTTTCATCACGGCTTCTTTGAGTTTACATTTCGGCGATTTTTTGATGACGAAGCGGATTATAAAATTTCTTTAGATGGTAACGACAATAATAAAGCCGGCGCCATTTACGTGTGACCGCAATCATTGACGACGAACATACAACATCCAACTCACCCACCGAATATTCGTCGAAACTTTCAATTTAAATATCTTTTCATGCTCTTGTGATCGAAGTTGTAAAATCATTTACACGCTAGTCAAAACAAAAAGAAAGGAAAAAGAAAGTTTTCTTCTTCTGAGGGATTGAAACTCACTTCAAATTATATTTTAGTTTCAGTCCCCGCTGTGACCAAAGCTTTCAATGAAGCTTTTCAAAACTTGATGTCAAGGAAATGTCGTGAGTTTTCACGATAAACGACCAAACGAATTGACATGAAACTTAAGAAATGTTCGTTTAAATGCTGCAAATGTTGTGAGAACCTCAACATAATGGTCAGAAAGGGAGAAGAATCCTTGAACGAGTCAACAATCTGATTGCGTCATTTTACCCCAGTTCATTTGTACATAAAGTTATTTTTCTAGATGAAAAGTTTTCTGTGGGAAATTCACCACGAAAAATTTTTATCGGTTTCCTTTTGCTTCTCTTGATTCTTGATTAAGTAAATATCTAAGCCACGACGATTAATTAATTAAACTCAAGATTTTATCGAGAGAATGAAAAAAAGAAAATTCAATTTAAATTGCCTTCAAATGTGCCTTTTTTTTGTTAATGTAAAACGATGATGGAAAATCTAATTGAAATCTGATGATAGCATTGTGTAATTAAATATTTAATTTAAATGTTCTCCCGTTTTAATATTTAAAAAATAATAAAAAAATACTTTTTGTAAGATTTATTTTCTTTCTTAATGTGAAGGTGAAAGAAGAAAAGAAAAATTTAAGAAAAATGTTGATTTTTTGTAGAATAACAAAACAATAAAATGTTGAATGAAAATCAATACAAATCGCTTTTTTTGATTAAAATGTTTATTTGTTGAGAGAATATATTGCAATTTGATTGTGGGTTGGAATAGCTTAGGAAATTTCTCACATTTCACTTCCATTGGGTTTCAGAGATGTTTATGAAGTTAAAAATGTTTTCCTCGATGGCAGTTGGAATATTTTTCCATGTAATTTTCTGTTACTGTAATACAGTTTAGTTCATTTTAAAAAGTTTGAGATAAAGGTGAACCTTATTTGATTTTCAAGCCTCCAGAGAATTCTTCTTCACTTGTAAGATCATTGAAGATAAAATAAAATTACTTTTAGCCTTAAAAATCTTTCTTCCTGCTTACCTTATAATGGTAGAATCAAAGGTCAAATACCTCTCTATCTTTACCTTGGGCAGCGGAAAGATTGTTTTCAAAGCAAACCTAATAAAGTCAGGTCGGAAAAAGTTTCAAGTTTTTCATACATAAATCTAACCTGAACCTGAAAAAAGGTTTTGACTAATTTTCTTTCAGTAGAGTTGAACAAACATTTATTTTCAAAAACAATTTTATTTCATGAATAATTATTTAACCATACAAGAGTGAAGTTGACTGTGAAGTTACTCAATACAAATTAAGAACAACATAAGTCAACAAATATTTAATGAACCTCAAATCATAAATTTCTTTTTTCTACTCTAATAAAAATATTGTTTCTTCATGTCATTTATGAAAGTTCTCGAAAGTTCAAAAAATAAAAGTAATAAACAGAAAAATCTATGAAATCGTTGAAAGTTCTTGATGAGCTTCCATTATTTTTAATCTGATATATCTTATAAAAGTGTTTAATCATGCTCCATAATCGTCTATTATTTTATGCTATGGTATTACAAAATATTTTCCTCTCTCTTGTTTAACTCGTCAAATATTTGTTTAATGTTCCTTACTTTTTCGTCTTCTTTATTGCTAAAACATTCTTTTTCAGCTTTTCTGTTACAAATTTAATGTTCCTTCTTAATGTCGTTAAATTTTATATGCTTCTTGAATATTTATTTCATATTACTGCTTCATGTTTCCTGACAGAGTTTTGTAACCAACAAGTGAAAATTATTCAAAACTCATTTCTGAAGATAAGTTTCTGAATTAAAATTATTACGTAATTTTGCTTATCATATATGTGGGTCAAATTAATTAAAGAAAATATCTTTTTGTTGTCTTAGATATCAACATATAAAGCGAAATATTTTTATAGGCTTAAATTTCTAGCTTCTCAAAGAATCCTTCACCAAAGAATTTACTCCAAAATATTTAATGAGACGAAAATCGAAAAAAGTTTTCTTATAAATTTTGTTTTTCTTGTTAAAAAATCAAAAAAGTTTAATATTATTAAAAAGGATTTTAATGTTCTTCATTTCTATAATTGTGTTACGATAAAAAAAAAGAATGAAAGCTGACGTCAATCAAGGCGTTATGCTAACGGAATCTGTTGCCCTTTTAAATGTTCAACATTACGAAAAAATGATGCAATCAGTTAAGGAAAATTGATATTTCTTTTTTCTTGTCTAAGTTGCTTACATTTTATCTGGTCTGGCAGTAAATTTATTTTCATTTGTTGGGGATTATTATGAAACATTATTTTCAAAACTTTAAACAAAAAGTTTTTATCGAGAAAATATTATTTAAATTAACTTTTGTGAAATTCATAACTTTTTCTCACATCTACATCATTTTCATGAGCTCGTTGACAGGGATGTTGACCTCGTAATCCTGTTCATTTAAATCCATCAAGATTGAGCTGATTGCTTCGTTGTCAATGAAGTTTGTGCATGGATCATTCTCAATTTTTCGGTTGGTTACACCCTGTTGAATTGCTCGATAGATTTCCATGTCATTCGGAGTAAGCAAACTCTGAAGTGACTTTGGTGGCACAACATCAGCTGAGTGACTTAACATCTTGTCATGAATGACGATTGGAGAGCTCAAGCTTTCATCCGAAATAACTTCCATTGGTTCAGCAGGTGTGTCAATTGTCAACGGGGTCTAATTTATTCATAAAGCAAATAAAAAAAAATATGTTAGTAAAATGCATTCTGTTTCCATTTTAAAATTGCAAATTTTATTTCCCTCTTGCATCATCTGACCTAAATGTAAGAAAAAAAATAATATCTATGAACGTTTTGATCCTTTTCAGCTTGTTTGTTCTTTCATTTTCTTTCTCCCAACATCAAATCTTCAACAAAGATTTAAAAAGACAAGCAACATAAAAAGATGAAGGTAAAAATAAAGTGGAAGCTCTTGGACACTGCTTGTTACATCATAATGTATTTAGATAAGAAGAAATTGAAATTTGTGGCTCCAAGGTATCTAAAGGTATAAAAGATACGCTTTACTACACAAATTTATTCAAATATTTTATCAAATTAAAATTATTTTCCTAGAAGAACCTTCGTCACGAAAGTTATTCAAATTCTCGAGTAAATTCATTTAGGAGCATTAAAAGGAAAGAAAATTCAAGTAAGAAGATATATCTAATGAAGCTTATAAAGCAGTGGTAGTGAAAAAGACAGATTAGAGACAATTATAAATAATTTTTGCTGACATTTCGTTTTCATCAGAATAAGGAAGAAGGGGAAATCGTAAAGAGATATTTAACAGAGTGTTGAATGAAAGAAATGAACAACATTGATGAAGAGTCAAGTCAAGAATAGAATTAACTTGATACAAAAGAACTCTCGAGGGAAGATAAGAAGAAACTTTCGAGGAATAACGACTATTATGTTGTCTTTTGATATCATCTTGATAATAAATTACAAAGATAAATGCTCGAAGGAGACTTGCACGATCAATTTTCATATTTTTTCCTTTGACCTATTTTAATGAATTCTAGGAAGAAGTATTTTCATATTATAAATATGATGCACGATTGAGCTAAATTACTAAATGAACTCTTAAGATAATTACCAATTTAAATGATGAAAGAAAATACGATCTAAACTTGAACAAGGAAAGTAGATACCAAGTCAAAAACCTTTCTTTAAAATGAAAGCTTCTTCATCTTCTTCTTTTTGTTTTTCTTTTTTCAAGGACGAAACAGTAAATTCTCTCTTTTCTACACACTCTCACTTTTCTCTCACATTGGGAAAACTCAGGAGAACGATTGAGAATTGAGCATGTTGGAAAACTTCATCACGTAAACCATTCATTATGAAATAATTTTCTTTTTCTTCTTTGGATAGGAAAGGAAAATCAAAAGAAAAGGAAAGCCGAAAATGTTTCTGTCAGAAGTTTTTTTGTCTCCGATTAAATTGCAGACATGAAGGAGACGTTAAACATCTGATTACTGTGGATTTAAAGCATTAGAATATTCATTTTCAATTTGATGTTGTTCAGCTGGTAGATAAGAAAATGAAAGGTGTAACCAAGAAGAAAGTTTAAAAGGATCAAAACACATGATAAATATTTTTTTTCAGATATTCGATTTTATTTTGTTCGAGTTGTTTTCTTTTGTCATCATTACAATCTAGTTTGTATTTTATTGCATCATCGATATATGTAATATGTAGTATTTTTCTTTATGGACTTTTCGGCAAACAACATTTTCCATCATTTTGCTTATGACATTTTTCAAAGATGGTTGAACTCAAATAAAGAGAAACAACAATTTCGGAGATAAATTTATCGCGTGGGTTGATTTATATCATTTATTTGATTCATATCGTAAGTAAATCTACGATTATTTTTTTCCTTTACTTTCTTAACTTTTTCACAACAGCAACGATTTAAATTCATAATAATCCCTTAGTTTCACTTTTAAAGCGTTGGTAACGTACACATTGATGTCGCTTTCAAGCCGGGGGGAAGAAATTAGACTGTGATTACAATCAACAATAGTTTCTTTTGGGCGACTTTCTAAATTCTCCATTTAATTAGCAATTTTCGTTGCTGTAACTAGAACCTTAGTTCTAGCCACACTAGTCTTTTAATTTTTATTGTAATTTAATTACTTTCATCCCTTTATTAAATGCTTTCAATTCTTTCTGATTAAGATTTTCTTTTTCACTTTAATCAAGTGTTTGATACAAGACATTTCCAAAGGGCGGTGAGTCATTTATTTGTATGTTTGATTATTTTTGGTTTTATTTTCATTTTATTGGAGTTAAATTTTTTCACAGCAAAATTGCAGAATAAGATTGGACAATTTTTTATCTTGATCTCTTCCATTTTAAATCATGTAATTTTAACTACGCGGGGGCGTTTCTAAATATTTTCATATCTCTTGAATATTTTTAACATTCTAATAAATTTTAATTTTCTCTTTTCTACAATTTTCCTTAAAATAATTTCCAGACTTACGCGTTTCCATTAACCAATTTTTCAATTTATTTCCCTTTTCATTTGTATCAAAAATTAATTTGTCTTATATAATCAAATAGATATATCAACAAAATAATTAAGTGGATAATAATAATCCTAGAAAATATTATCGATGTTATTGTAAATAATCTCAGCATGAAAATATGTTTTTGTTTTTGTGTTTCCGGAGTTTGGATGTACGTTTGTTGAGGTATATTCTGTTGTCTTGTTTACAGCATTTACCTGAGATTTTCACAAGATTTGATGACAAATAAAAAATTTTGGTTTTGGGCAATATCTAAATATGTTGTAAGTTTCCTCAAAATCCATTTCAAAAGAGATATTTAATTAGATAGTCAATCAATTAAGCTTTCTGCAAGTCCTTTGGAAAGTGTTTCGTCGTTCTAAATACAAATTTAGTTTCATTCTCAAACTTGTTTCTTGGTTTCTTCTATTTAAAATGCTTAAGATAATTAGCATTAAATTTGAGACTGATTTGTAATTGATAAGTATTCACGTTAATTTATTTATTTTGCGAGTGCGACATATTTTAATACGCTAAAATTTCCCGGGATTTTAATTTATTTTGTATCAAGTGGACAAAGTTTTCTCTACTCTACGTTGACTAAATCCATTAATAATTGAGAAACTTTTTCATTTTCCTGCGTTTTCACGCAATAAAAAAGTCTAAGTATGAAGCTTTTAGATAAATATAAAACATAAACTTTTCTTTATCGTCATGAGAGATGAAACCATAGAAGAAAAAAATATTCCAGTGAATTTGATATTTTTTATTTATCTTTTTATATATTTTTAAAGAAATTTCCTAGAATAAGAAAAGCTCGCTCATTGATTTACAAGATTTTCTTCGTTCTGATTTCCCGAAGTAAAATATAAACTTGCAGATTTACCGAATTTCATTTCCTTTTTGTTTCTAATCCTTTTCATTATCTCGGTTAGAATAACTCGAAGGAAGATGAACATTTGAAAGGAAATTGAAAGGAAAGAAAAAATTTACAGTTGAAATTTTCTAAAATTTATCTTTCGTAGTTATTGATTTTTGTACCATTGCGGGCTCATTTTTTAATTATTTTTATTTCGGGACTCAAAGAAGATAAAAAAAAATCATTTTTTAAAAGACTAAGGGAATGCTGCTTGAGTGCTAAAAGCTCCGGTGACATCTTTTAAATTGAATTTATAAAAATTTTACAATTTTTCAAATTGGAAGAACATTCTTTCGACTATAGACAGCTGAGCTGCGTGTCGAATCACATTTTCAAATGATTTTAAAAAATTTCGTTACATACATACATTAACATTGATGAAATTATTGAAATCGACTTTGGCCATATCGCACTCAACACACACTCCAGCATCCCTTAAGTCTTAACAAACCATATAAAATCATACAAAATAGAAATCAAAATAAAAGAAAATTTTCTCCCATAGCTGCAAAATCTTTTCTCTCTGCAGACTTTCGAGTTTTTATTTTTTCTTGTGTTTTATTTTCATTTTATCATTAAACAACAGCTATCACAGTTAAAATCAAAATTTTAATGACATTTATTAATCGCCATAATCAATTTAATAAAAAAAAAGAAATAATTTAAGAGATTTTCTTTCTCTTCTTTTTATTTATTTACTTTTTCATGTCTTCAAATTCAAAATTATTTTCGATTAAAACGTCAAGAGACCAAAAAACAATGTCAAAAATATTGATTAAAATTCTAAATTTTCAACCGTCACAAAAATAAATTCACCAGTCGAAAATGACAATATAAAAGTCCCTTCAACGGCTGGAAATTTAAAATTTTCTTCAAAATTTTTCACGCTACAATTTCTTGATTCTGTTTACAAGACGCATCGACGCACCCAAAGATTATAATCTGAGATTGAACTTTATTTTTATTCATTACTATAATTCATTTTCTTTTATTTCATAAATTTACGACAATTGAGAACTTTTCCTTTCTGTACTTGTCGTCATCTATAAAGCTATTAATTCGTCTAAAATAATAACTAGATAATAGAAAAAAAATACCTTTTTAGATTTAGCAACAAAAAATGAAGGTAAGAAATTTTTTCTTTTCAATTTTGACGGTCCACGATGATTCTCGAAAAAAAATCATATGAAGAAGAGAATTTTAAAATTTTAAAGTAGTAAGAAATAAAATTTCGATAATGAGATGACATAAAATTTGTTTTATCGACAACAAAATGATGGAAAAAGATCGAAAAAAAAGAAAACGATATTTTTTCATTTCTCTATCCCCGTGAATTAAAATAACAGAAATTCCTTTTATGCTTTCGCTACTTTTGGTCGCGGTAAGCATGTGTAGTAGCCAGCACTTACATCGCAACCACTGACGAGAAGATTCATTAGCACCGAGTTCGATGCTTGTTGTTGCTGTTGCTGATCTTTTTGCGACGACGACCAACTTGATAAAAACGATTCATGATGATTCTTTCCACGATTTTTCTGGTTATTCATTGTTATCACTTGTTGAATCAACTGTGGATTTGCCTTTGTCATCACGTCTTGTTGACCTTTAACACGTTTTGAGCTGATTATGTCATTTGATAGTGACGGACGTTTGTGATTTACTATCATTTTTTCTTTACTTTTAACGATTTCACTTGATTGGTGTTGTTGATTTGGTTGACGTTCTCCGACTTGTGAAATATTCACAATTATTCTATCAGCATCATCCTCAACCTTTATTTGATTTAATTTCAATGGTGGTTGTTTACGTAATAGAAAAAGATCATCCATTGTCCATTCGATCGCTTCGGGTGATGATGGTGTTGATGATGCTACAAAAGCAAAATAAAAAAAGGAAATAAGATTTTCATTGATTACAAAAAGTTGCTGATGAGATGATAAAATAATATCCGGAAAAAAAGAATGATACAAACCTTTTGTCTTTTCCTCGTGAATCTGATTCTGCTGATTGATTAATGTGCTTGGATTGACTATTTTAATATTTCCATCGTGATTTAAGACTTTTATTTTCACATTTGGTTGATGTTGATTAAGAATGATCTGCTGCTGTTGTTGATGTTGATGATGTTGCAGCAACTGATTACAAAGCAATGATGCCAAGCTCGATTCAACAGTCATCGGCGGTTTTTGTTCATCATGTTGTTGCCGTTCAACATCACCACACTCTTGACTGCTTAAATTCAATTCCATTTTCTTGTTATTAACATTAATTGCATCTTTGATGTTTGGCTGGGCGCCCCACATTAAATCTTCTGCAATTAACATCGGCAGTTCAGAGGATTCGCTCATTGAAATGTATGGAGCACGCATTGACATGTCTAAGTCATCGTCCATGTTCAATGTCATAAATGCAAGTTCATCTTCGGGTAGCGAGCCAGGACTGCATAATGATGGTAGACTATTGGCGTCTGGACTCTAAAATGTAATGATCATTAATTTAATGTTGCTTTTTATTGTTCAAGGACGAAGAAGATCAGGGTCGTATGAAAATTCAACGCGAGTAGCTCATAAATTATTTAATGAAGTCATCAAGTCATAACAATCAAAAGAAGAAAAAATTTTTTGTTTCTTTGAAATTTTTCTTTCATCAAAACAACACTAAACGATTAAAATTAAAGTGAAATTACTACAAATTTTCCGCCTACAAAATAAATTCTTTTTGTCTTTCATCATATCGTGGTCGGATGAAGTGAATTGTAACATGAGAAGTTATCATTTGTATCACGTTTTGGTGAAGCATATCAGCGTAGAATCATCAACATGTGAATTCTTCAACTTTTTTAAGCGGTCACGCAGACGATACATGATATTTTTTTATCATTTCTTATCATTATTGACGATAGTAATAATTTGAAATGTATCGTCAAAGCTTGAATTTTGCAACACAGAAAAACTGGATTTTGAAGCAAAAGAATCTCAATTATTTTCATGTCATTTGAGACTCTTTTGAACATCCCACATAAGTATGTCAATCGATAATTAAATGATGATGGAATGGCTTGAAGAAAAGTTACATTAATTAGGTAATTGATTTTTCTTTTCATGCTTATTATTGTTGGATTATTTTCTCTTTTAATCTAATCTAATCCGGAAATCATTTTCGAAAATGTAAATTATTTTCGAACATCAAGAATTGAATTTGTTTGTCGCACTTTTAAATAATGTTTAATAAAGAAAACAAGTGAAAACTATCTGCGACGATAAACAATCATTCCAGACTACCATCTGTGAAATATTGAAAAGTTTGCTTTATTGCAACTTCTTGTGTCAAGTGGAAGGAATTTGAATTTCACGTGCTGAGTGTGTTTACAACTGTCGCTATTCTTAGAAGTTAAAAAAAATCAATTCGTGTTTTTTATTTTCCTTCATCTCCTCTCAACTTATTTTTCTTTTCTTTTCATTTCATTTTAAATTCGACGATACAGAAAATTGAATTCCCTCGAGTCTAAGAATATCTTTTCATCATCTTCATGATACCTGTTCCTACATCTCTTAGCTTTTGTTTTCATATCATTTCATTTCAAGTTGGTTGATTTAGACGATGAAGTAAAATTAGGTAGAGATATTTTGTCGATTAAAAGAGAAAGAAGAAATTTTACTAAAAAACATGTTTACAAGTTTTTCTTTTCTTCTCCCGAGAAGAAAAGTGTCGCGAATATTCCGCAATGTTACGTAACAGGCGAAAGAAAAGAAAATTATATTCTTTTCCTATTTTTCTTTTCTTTTTTAATTTCAAGCTAAATTTCTTACTTGACTTGATGACTTTTTAAGCATTTTTTTTCTTAGAAAAAAAGTTATGAGTAACTGGATGTTGTGCGTGGGTGTTATGGGTTGTTGACCCAACATCACATAACGTTATTTACTTCATAAATAGAATTTTTTTACCTTTGATAATCCCGGTGATAGCAAGTGAGGTGAATGACAAATGTCATTTGAATCATCACGATAATTGATAAAGGGATCATTGCTGGAGCTACTATGTGTCGTTTTACTGCATGAACTATCCAAAGAATTCAGTTCATCTGTCAGTAGTTCATTGTAGCTATCGGGTATGATGAAGTCATCGAACATATCAGAAAAGAACGGTGCTGCTTCATCCAATGGGATGCAAGCATCTCCAGCTGTCGGTGCCAAATGCGTCAAGTCATCTGGCTCATCTTTCAGCACTGTAAGCAGTAAAGATTGTTGAGAAACATTCACTGATGACATCAGATGATGAGACGAATAAAGAATGAATGAATTTTGCCAAAAAAAAAACTTTAAATATTTATTACGAAGGGAATCGACCAAGGAGTTTCCTTGAGATGTCAAGGAAAAAATGAATAAAATTCTAAAACAATTTTATCGTTTTACAGTTCAAACGACCTTGCGATGTTTTTTTCTGTTTTTGTTTAGTTTTCACAGTGATTGCACATTATTAAGGTACACAGTCAGTCGCTCAGTTGCGCATTATTTTTCATTAATAATTCAGATATTAAATTTAAATTAGATTTTCAAACTTTAAAACGACAGCATGTGTCACTAATGGACTCTCGTCTATTTATATTTACGTAGATACAAAGATATCGAAAATGAAAGGGAAAGAAGAGAATGCACGACGCGATTATGTCATGGTCAACGATACATTTCACTTTAAATTGATTCAATTGAGAAGAATTTTTTCATCTTTTTCATTCAATTTCGTTGAAGAAATTTAAGTGAAGCATCGACTACGATATGGAATGTGACGAAGACTTTCTTCTGTTTTCACGTTCAAGGATTTTACATAATCGCGCATTTAACAAAGCTCGGATGGTCATTTCTGCATTTGCTGGCACATGTTGGTCGTAAATCTTCCATTTTTTATACTTTGAGCATCAACTGACATTAAATTTGTTTTCTTTTCTCACAGTCGCAGTAAATTTTTAATTTAACAGATTGTTTTTTATTAAAAGAAGAATGAAACGAAAAAGAATACAAAAAATATTTAATCAAAGCAAAAACAGTAAAAAAAAGTTGTTGAACATAGCAAGAAGATTCTAAACGTTTCTTCAAGTGAAAATTAATTGAAACTATTTAATGAAGCTTCGAGGCTTGTTTTCGATGTGTGAAAAGTTTCATACAATTAGCACATCGATGTATAGTTGACTTATGCCTACAACGCGAATTGTTTTCTACTTGTTTTCTTTTCTCTTCAATTCCTCATCATTCGATGGTCAGTAAATGAAGGAAAAACAGAAAGAACTTGCAGAAGACACGTTTTGACTGTCAATTGGAAGTCAGAAAAAACTTTCACGAATCTTTTTCTTTTTTGGCAAAATATCTTTACATTCCTCAAAGAAACCACTAAAAAACTTACTTGTCAGGCCTGGTTCGCTTTCAGAAAACATCAGAAACCCTTTGTTCATGTCCTTGGTGCGTGGAGCAAAGATGTTTTTAGTGACGCTCGTGGCGGTCGCTTGTGGATTTGGGCGAAAAATCTTCGCTGTTGCCGACTGGGCACGTGATTTATTAACGATTGTTGTTGGCGTTTTCTTTTGAATCGCCTCAGGTTTTGATGAAAAGTTTTGCTGAGCGAAAATTGCTGCTGTAACTGATGTTGGACGTTGACTGACAATTTCACAATTGTTCACTTTTATTGTGGTGTTGACTGGATTGATGACAATTTTGTTGTCGACTCTTTCCTTCTTGCTGTTACTGATGATTTCTGGTTCAACAATGACAGCTGATTTTGTAACAGTTTTATTATTTGCACTCGCGAATTTCGCGTCAACTTTCTTCTGCTTCAAATCACTAATTCCAAGCACAATATTGTCCCTTTTGATCACTTTCTTGTCAGTTACAGTCGCTCCTTGAGCGCTTGAATCAACAACTTTTGACAGTTCTTGTTGTGCTTCAAGTTGAGCACACGATAAGATTTCTTGTTCATTTTCTATTCCACTATAATTGCACAAAATAAATTTTCACATCATTTCCCATTCGAATTAAATTTATGTTTTTGTGGCTTTTGTCAGAAAATGAGTAAAAACCACAAAAAGTAAAATTCGAATTGAAAATTTTCTTTCTTTCTTTTTGTCACTTCACTGATAATTTTGATTTTAAAAGCACCGAAATACGAGAAAAAAGTTTTTTGCAAATGTTGTGTCTTTGAATCTCTCTTCAGTTATTTATTTCGTTATGCAATTGAAATCACTGCATCAACAACAATTCAATCAATTATTCATGTTTCTTATTTATTTACATTTTCTTGACTTGAAATGATTGCATTGAAAATATTTTTGTGGTGAATATTTACATAAGAATCATACAGAATTATTCTGTGCTGGTTCTCAATTTTATTTTTAATTCAGACTCATTTCCTATCTCTCATCAGAACTTCACATTTATTTTTGTAAGAATCAGAAGAACTTTTATTCATTCGTCACCAACATACATACGAAGATATGTGAGTAACTTAGTTATTTTCTTATCAACACCTTGGGTGAAAAGATTTTCTTCCATAAATATCATCATTCGATCGACTTCACACATGACTGGGTCAAGTTAAATCCCAAGACTTATTCGATTTCAAACAACAACGTACATTCTCATTCTCACATTTGTTTCTTTTTTTTCTGTGACTTGTTGGATGATTCTTTATCAATAAAGCAACCGATAAGGGAGAAGGAGAGCAATTTGTGTATATTTCATAGGCTAAAATAGTGTTGATGTTTATATCTGTTCCCCTCGATTTGAATAAATTGAATCCAATTAACTTTAATTCATTCTCTTCTCTTCCATCAATAAACAAAATATTTAGTTTTTGCGAGCAATAACAACAAACATTCTCGTCGACATTGGAACAGAAAATAAAAAAAAGTCGCTCGATTAATTTGAAACTATCGAAAGTGTCTCTTGTGCATTCAACAAAAGCCTTCAACAATTGATTGTGTTTGTAAGAAAGGAACATTGAAAAAAATAAATTTGCAAGCCAAGAAATGAATCAGAATATTGTATAACTAACATAAAATGTGTATAAACAAAGTATTTACATACATTTTATTATTGTTTGAATTTTTTTTAAAGTTATTCTCGTGACGATCACAAATTCTTCTCAAAATGCACGAGATGAAAAAAGAAAAACTAAAATCGAACGATTCTGAAGCCGTTGAGCGAGACGCAATTAAGTTTGATTCTATTCAGCTTTTATTTAAATTTTTAATTATGTAATCATTGATATTTTATATACTTTATCGGTTGTTTCTATCCGATTAAATTGATATCGTGTGTCCATTTGCAAAACATTTTTTTCGCGGTTTCGGGGCGTCGATAACGAATGACTTAATTTAATTAAAAGTGAAGCTTTTATTTACTTTTTTGCTTTATAATTCAACACTTATCAAGCTCTTTTTTAATCCTTCTTATCAAGCTATCTACTCTTTCACGTAGAACTTCTTGTTAATTGAATTTTTTTGAGTTTCAGAAAGTTCCCGTGCAGAATCACAAAAATATATTTTCTTCTTGCTCCTTTTTCTTTCTTTTCTTTTTTTATTCTTTTTTATATATATTTATATGAATAGCCGTAGTTTGCTTTAAGCGTTCAGTTCTGTAGCAAGTTGCGAGACAAACTGAAAGGCGATGGAAGAAGCACGGGACGAAAAAAAATACTACGACAAACAATCGTTTCTCTCTCGATTCTCTCAAATGTTTGAGAATTCAGAGCTAACAGCACTTCAACTTGCAATCTACAAATGTACAAATACAGCACTCGCGAAATGGTGTAAGCTTGTAACATCATTCGTAATGTTCAGAGAAGCTAAGAACTTTCTCCTGCTCATGAGTTTCCACTTTCTATTCTCTCTTCAGCTCTCTCTGAAAATGGTTTTCGTTTTTCATGAAAATTTATGACGTCACGGATCATAAAAGGAGAGAGATAGAGAGAGAAGTTTTGCCAGAGAAAAACTTTCATTTACTTTCATTTTTCTTTCTTCTCATCAAGTTGGAGACAAATTTAGCTTGACTGCGATTAAGATTCAAGTTTTTAAGAAGAATATTTTAACTTTGCGGTAGGCGGCAGAGGGTGCGTCGAAATATTTATCTTGACGGGAAAGTGTTTTGTCTTTACTTTTCATTCTCATCATTTTCAACGATGGATCTCTGATGAGATCAGAAAAAAAAAGTTGCAATTAAATCGCTTGGCTAAACATGAATGACTTTTTCATGAGTTGTTTCTTGCTGTTTATTTTGTACTTCTTGGAACTTTTTCTTCGCAAACTGATAACGTTTTTTCTTCGCTCTCAATTGCATGCGAAACAACAACACATTGACAGAAATGTAAGAGAAATAAAGCTTTTCTTGTTTTCACTACATTACATCATCATTGTGCAATCTTTTCTTATTACTTCGTTCACTGGTAGACGTAAATCGAAAAATAATTAGAATTGATTCTGATTTTCATCATCTTTTTCTTCTTTCATTTTCAAAGTTGTCTGTGAAACCGGTATTGGCGTTTTGATTCTTTTTCTCATCTGATGATTGAAGGCTTGTGAAATTAAAATAAGATTTAAGAAGTTCCAAGAAGCGGAAGAGAAAAAATTGTGTAAAAATTGGACTCATCATGATGATGTGTTGAAAATTTTATGACTTCTTACTTAGCAATATTGCATAAAACTTATGCAACATTAAAGATTACTGAAAATTTGGAATAATTCCACTCGCGAAAGCATAAACAAGATTAATTAATGCTTTAATAATGAACAGGAGCACGTGTAGCTTATTTGATTGGCGCTTATCTCAGTTGATTTTGTCATGTTCAACTCATACTGATCAATAAGCTAAATTATACTCGTAAAAGTGGTTGAATAAACAACATAACTTGCCATCGCCCACCATTTCATTTGATTTCTTATTTTTTTCACTCTTTTCAACATATAAATTTCGTTGAATGAAATAAATTAAGATTCTGTCACGATCGCAAGGAAGAGAAGAAAATCATTCTTTTATTCTTCATGTTTGTTTTCAAAGCAGGTTCCCTTCTTCTTAGGCATATTTTTTCGCTCGTTCACTCAATTCGTATGCGTTCGATGATTGTATGTTTGTCCAGCTCAAATAAAAAAATCAATCTTACTTAGAAACGGCGTTGAGCGTTGAATTGAGAAAAGAAATAAGTAATAAAAAAAAGTAAAAATAAAACTTTCCTGAATTAACGACTTTTTGTTTTCGTTTCTACTCATCAAATATTGCCTAGCGTCATGTGATTTTTTTTACTTAAAATGTTTAAACTCGACACACATAAATAAACATTCAATTAAAAGTTAGAAAAAATATTGCACAGATCAACAGACACTGTCGTCGTAAATGCATTTACTGTGTCAGACATTGAATTCAAAAGCAAACCAAGTCATGCAGACAAGAGACATCTTGGACCCTTTCATCGTCTTCTTTTTCACAAAAGAAATTATTTTTTCACCATTCAACACATCAATCAACCAGCAGATGATTCATTTCAGTTTGTTTTATGAAAAAGAAGTCACATGAAAAGAAAAACTCAAACGCTAACAGCTTACACGTGATTTTTTATATTATTTTCCCTAGAAAATTTATTATTCAATCATTGAACTACGTGAATTTCCGCACATTCCAGTTTTTCAGGCGACAATGCAATCTGAATAAGTTGAAAGCTTGCTCATAACAAGCAGACCCGCCTCTCTTCTTAACGTAAAACTTTTATATATTGACTTTAATGAGGTCTTGACACTATAAATATTTTAAAAATGATAAAGAGACGTAGAGCGTCATTATCAAGACAAAAAGAGAGGAAAAAATTGATTGTCGTGCCCGTAAACAACAAATCGTCACTTATTTACAACTGAACTTAATTCTAATCGTAAATATAATTTCTGTGGGGACATCAAATAATATTTTTTAATATTTTCTCTCCGCACTTTGTTTTTAATGATAATTTGTTTCATTATCAAGTCAACGTTGTTTGTTCATCTTGCTCAGCTGTTTTTCAATCGTAATGGAAAAATCTTTCTAAGTTTCATTAGCGATATTATTAATGAGGGAAAATTATAACGGGGAAAAGCTATTGGAAAATGACGTCAATCTGGAGACTCGAATACTTTGTTTTGTGTAATGTGCAAGATTTTTCTTACACTTAAAGTTGAAAAATTTTTATTTGCACTTAGCTATCGTTTCTTGTTCGAGTAAACAATCATTAAGGAAATCATAAATAACTTTGTTTTCCTTATTCACATTTCATCACTTAAATATCCTTTTACACACCTAAATATGTACAAGAAAATAGTCGCATGACTGTGATTGTCATGTGTGACGGCTAGTCACGATGAAAGACGATATCATAACAGAGACCCGAAACTCAGATGATAATCACGTGATGGGAAATGATGAGGAATAAATCAGTAGCTGAACAATTATTTTTAGAAAAAAAAATTGTATAACTCAAAATACTTTCGACACTCAATTCTAAAGCGCGTTTTTATGCTGTCCAAGTCTGGTTACATGTGGAACCAACATTTACTCAATTAGTGCGTGAAAATAGCGAAAAAATTTCGATATTCACATATCAAAACTTTTCTTTTCTTTCAATCCCGTTGACTAAGATTTACAAAACTTATTTGCTTTCTTCTATTTTCATCTTAAAATATTATTAATTTAGAGCCAAAACCAAATCTTGTTGCCAAATGATTTTCTTCTTTCAATTTAGAAAGTGTTTTCCTAACTTTTTTTTCAAGCATCGCCTTTCCTTCTGTTTTTTCCGCCACTGCTGCTACTTCTTCTTTGTCTTCTGTTTGCAAATAAATATTTATTTTCGCCCGTTCTACTACAAGCTAAAAAACATTGACGGTCAAGGCTAAACGTGAGTGAAAAAATCATTTGTTATGATTATGATTGGAGACACCATGACTAGATATGCGCCAATATTGTTAAGCTTCCAAAAATAAATAAATAAAAAAGAAATCTTAATTGTCGTAAATTGACGATAATTTTAATTAACAGCATATGAAAATCTTGCCGAATCTAGTAAATTGCTTCATAATAAAAATGATTGTCGTATCCAATAAAGTCATTTTTATAGATTTCTTTTTTTCAGCCAAATCGGTTTCATTTCATTTCGACAAAAATGGAGTAAGACGAAAAATTGATGAGAAGGAGGGTGAACATTGTTACGTAACAAAAAAGAAAAATTCTTAAAGTGAGTGTAATAACAGAAAGGAAAATTTTTCGTCTACGGTACTTCCTTGAAGTAAGAGACACGAAACATTGTCTCATAAATATTATTTTGGAGGAGTTTGAAGCTATTATTATCATCTTTAAAACGTATAATTAATCATTGAATAAGAACCTTTAATTTTCAAAGCAGAATTGTGACCTTGGCTGCATTTGCCTAAAGGCCATGTTGCGATGGCTTTGTAGCAATATCAATTACATCATATTAAGCTGACTCCACGTTCCTTTTTCGACCCACATGTCGATCATTGTTTGCTCTTTAACGAAAGATTAACAAAAAACATCCTAGAACATTCTAAAGCTTTTTAGGTGGAAAATTCGGTAATATTTATGTATGAAAGCACGCAATGGAGAAAGTTCCCAGTTTGCTCGCACCCTCATTGATTTTTCCTTTCACTCTCCATCTTCACTCCTGTTCCACTCTCGCTTTTCTCTCATTCCTGCGTTCTGTGATAAACGCACACTAAGAAACGATTTCTTCTTTTTTCACCAAATGTTTGGCCTTGAATCCAACCTTGAACTATGTACGAGAAAGTAAAACATCCTAAACGAACAATCCAAACAAGAAGAACAGAAGTGAAATGTGCACATTCGTTTTTATGAATAAAATTCATCGGTTTATCGCTTTTTCTTTTAAAGGAGGATTGACGAGAGGCTCGAATGAGCTTCCTCAATTTTCTTTTCTTTTTCTATTAATGATAGCAAATACTCTACGCTTGAATCAACAAGCAACAAAAATTGAATGATAGAAACAGTGATTTATCTTGGCATCAAATTGTAAATGGGAAGTTCTCAGCATATCCCTCGGCAATTTTCTGTCCATATTTCAATAGGAAATGTAAGTTCTAATATCCTAAACTGCTTCTCGTGATGTGGATTAACTTTTCCTTTTTCTTCCACACCCACTTTTATTTCACTTCACAGCGTTAACATTTTAAGAATTAAAGTTGGAGATGATTTGCGTTTTTATTACTTTAAGCTTGTAACGATATTATTTAATGATTATTCTTACATAATAAGTACAATCAATTTATAAACATTGACAAGTATTTATCTTTTCATCCAAGGATTGCTTTAGTGTTAAGTTGTATTGTTAGAAAACTTTATGTTTTGTTTAAAAATCAATTTTTTTGTCAATTCATTCCGTCGCATTGAAAGCTTAAACTTGAACTGAATGGAAATACTTCCGATTATAGAAAAGACAAGAGAAGAACAAAATAAACCAAAGCAAAGCCAAGCCCAACATAACTATGAAGACGAGTATGTATGCACATAAACACACATAAACCAGCTGATATCAAGTCTTTCCATGGTGAACGAAACGAATATGAAATGAAAATAAAATTTTCCTTGCCAAGTGAGAGATGAAAATGTGTCGAAAAGGAAAGAAAATTCTTCGATAAAAAGCCATGAGGCAATTTCGTTGCTTCCAGTTTATTGCTTTTGGGAGGTGGAAAGGCTGAATGGGCGAATATAGACGATAACAAACGTAAAAACACGAAGCCTTAATCAGCATTCGTTAGTTTGTGGGCACAATTAGAAATGCCGTCGTAAACTGTCATCATAAAGACTTTCACTTGTGATAAAATTTATTGTGCGACTCAAAACTACCAAACTAGCCCAAGGAAAGTTTTCTGTCTGTGCAATAAAAAGGAGGATAAAAGCTATAAAAAGACAACGCTGAAAGTTCAAACACGCGCAAAGCTTTTTGTCTCCAATACAAGTGAATGGAGGAAGATACGGGCGAGTCAAGCCGGTCTACCAAAAGAGAATTTTCGGTTCTAGAGCTTTCGACACACGTGTCACCAACACAAGCTCAACTTTATAGGTTCAGGAAACAGAGAAGCATACACAGCAATACTGTGAAAGAGAAAGTGAGACTTTGTGTCACGTACACAGTTCTTTTTCTGTTCTAGGGCAGAAGATTTTTCTCACAATATTTTCGGAAAAGCATTTTCAAAGAATAAGAAAATGTGGAACACGAGAAACACCAACGAAGCGTCTTTTCAGGATGATTTACAAGCCTTTCATTTACATCGAATTTATCATTCAATAAAAAGTAAATTCACAAATCAATGTAGACGAGGAATTTTGGAACGCAATTCAATCGGGTTGGAAATAAATTTAATTTTGTAACGTGCTTTTGATCTTCTGAGGCTAATGAAAAATGATTGCTCAACGAAAAACAAAGTTATTACATAAATAATTGTCACGCATTTGTGGGCGGTTTATTTTAAATGGAAGCAATTATTTTTGTCACATGTTGGGGTCACTCGAAAGCTTTTCAAAGCGCACAACAATGTTACGTAAAGCGAAAATAAAATCCAACAATACAAAGTTTAAAGGTGTAAACACCCTGCGGGGTTTGACAAAACAAGTTAAATAAGAAAAAGGAAGATTGAAAAATATTTCAGTGAATTCTGAATGAATGGGAATCGAAATGTTTTCACGACATAGGAAAAGCTTTTCCCTTCTTTATGAACACTTTGAGGATTGTTGAAGACACTTAACTCGAATAAGAAAAATTCACCCAGCACAATTTAAAAACATTTCTAGAAAAATAATGAAGGCAAAAATAAAAAAGTTTTTGAGTATCATCGAGAAACTCTCAAATTATCATATCGCTTCGTAGTTCTGAAAACAGACCAAAATCCAATATCAATTTTCTTCATTAAGCAAACAGGAATGAGACAGAAATTTTCTGTAATTGGAAGCTATGGCTGAGTTTCTGGTTATTCGTCTTCCTTCAAACTCATCAATATTTAAGCTTCCTAATATGAAACTTCGTTACATTAATTTCAAAGTAACTTGAAACACGCTCAATGATTATAACGCAAACGCTAACATTACGTCAAATTATTGAGACAACAAAATATCCAGATAAGATGTGGAATGATAAAAAATGAATTAATTTTCACCTTCTAACATTTCTTTTTCTTGAATAACATAAAGCGACAGTGTCAATAAATCGATTGATGTAAAGTGAAGGTTTTCGTAATTGCTACAAACTCGCATAGTTATTTTACGAGTTCCATAAAAAACTATTAATGTTGATAAAGAATAGTGAAGCTAATTTTCCTCTTCATGTAAGAAGTCGATTGCAGCAAACAAACTTTTTAATGCTGCGATATCAATAATGCAACATATGAGATTAAACTTTCATGGAAAAGCTTTGGTTGGTAAAGTTTTTTTTCCAAGCATGTCTCGGAAGGTGAAAATTCTCTTTAATGAGACTATTGATTCTTCTTTTTTTTCTGTTTGCTTGCATGTAGATACTTTAACTTTCTATCGTAGCTTTGGAAGTTTATTTTAAATAATTTAATTAAAAAAAATGTAAAAGTTCAACGATAATACTTCGCAAGCCCTTTACAAATATTCTACGTTTTATATTATTTTTAGAAAGGAAAATATAACTTCATTATTTTCCCAGTACGTGAACATAAAAATATATTCAACGTGACGTTACATAACATTTTCTAATAAAAAAATAATTGCGTGTCAGCTTAGAGGAAAACTATATTTGTGGGTATTCACGGTCGTTTCATTTAAAAGACTTTAAAGCTGCCTCATAAATCTCGCACATAAAATAAAGGGATGAGCAATGATTTTCTCATAAATTATCTCACAAACATTCCCAATACTCCATTCAAAGCAATTTATCTATGGATATATTTCAGCTTTCATTTGTCATTTTTCTATTTGTTTAAAATAAATTCAACTTGACATATTCTCTTATTCTTGAAGGGAATGAGGTTCAAACATGCTTTCAAAGAGATATAAAAAGATCTTTTCTTATTTGGATTAGTTTTGATTCATGGAAAAGACGAATTTATCTGGAACATTTTCATCATTGGTGATATGATATCAGAGAAGATTCATGTCGTTCACACATTCAAAATGCTTTTGTAATAGCTTCACAAGATTCAAACTCACTTCATAGATCAGTAACCTGATAAAGGTTTCCAAAGATTTTCATTTCTTTCTCTTTTTTACTTGCTCAATGTAATCGATAAACCTCAGAACAATAGATTCAAGATTACTTCCTTCCCAACTTTATGTAGCGTGAACGTTTCATCAAAACATATGTGAGAGGATGAAATAAAAAAGGAAATTTTGCTGAGGTTGCGAATGTAAGCATAAAATTAATGATAATAAAATTTGTATGTACTTTTTATGTTAACGCAAGACTGATTAACATCGACGCTTTCTTTTAAAGATATATTAAAAGGTATTGAAGAGAGATTGACACATAATTAACCGCGAAAGTGTAAAAAGAAACTCTTAGTACTCACCTCAGAACATAATTCACACAAACGATACTCTGCGGCTTCTGTTTATCATATACCATTGTTGCCTGGGTGACAATCCACATAAAGCCACCATTGCGTGCTAGAAAGCGATAGCGGTTGGTTTCAGTTTGACCTTTGCTGATTACTGAATCGAATAGAAAAGAGAAGGTTTTGTTAATTGCCTTTCACAAGGGATCTATTTGCGAGTTGGCAGATGATGGATCGTTAATATTTGATATGTCAATAAAGATACGAAAAGTTCTTTCACCACATCATAATCTAATGAAACGAGGACATCACAATCTTCACTTTATTCCGTCTTAAATGTTTTAACATCAACTGCTGCAGTGAGTCAAAAGTGCAATGAACGAATATTGTAAGAAAAAGAAAAGGAAACAGATGAGAACGAAGTGAAAGAGGGAAATTTTCCTTTATAAAACAAATGATATCAAGAGAAAAAGAAAAGTAACTGGAGCACTTAAATGTGAATTTCATTTTCAATTTGATTTTCTTTTTCTCTTTTTCAAATGTGAAAGTGCAAGTTTCATGTTATGCAGCAATAGCATGAAGTCAGGTGAATGCACAGCAAATTGATCTCATATCTGAGAGTTCTTTTAAAAAAGGAATTTAGAAGCGCAATTTATGTTGAAGCTTTCATAAGAAACCTACAAGTTCACATTTGTTGCTGAAAACTTACGTAAAGACACAAATAAAATCTTGTTACATTTATTTTCATTCAGTTGAGTAAATGCTGTTTATACGCTTCTTTGAATTAAATATTGAATGACTGTTCAGATATTTATCCACAAGAAATCTGTTTTCGACAAACTTCATGATGAAGGAAAGAAAAGATAGAAAGGAAACTCCGCTCAATTGTTATTCCTTGTAAAGAGAAGGATATTTACCAAATGACACTAAGCTTTATTGACAAGGAAGACAAGACGACAAATATTAGATTCTGAGTTTAACCTAAATCGAATTAAGATTTTCTTCCACAAAGCTGAATTTCGGGCTAAATGATTTTTTTAAATAAATATCCGGAACTTTACTCAAAAACGTCTCTTGGATGTTTTCTTTAAAAACACTTGATGCGTAAAAATATCCGCCACAAATATACTTCATCAATCATAAGTTTCTCGAATGTCACAACCCGTTCAATGTTTTATTCATGTCGTGAGTTAATAATCATAAATTCTGACTATAAGAATACTCAAGCAACGCCCGCAGAGTCAACAGAGAGTTGAAAGCTTTTCCATATTTAGTTCATCATGTCTCTTGGGAAGTTCGTTCATAAACATCAACCAAAGCTATCATGAAAGGTGCATCATCATAAATCTTAATTATGTTTTCTTTCTTAATGATGTTGTCGATGTCAAAAGATCCATAATCGAGGAAAAGAAATGTGAAGATTGAGGAGTTTTCATCTGGTCAAAGTTCCATCATCTGATTTATTAGAAATCATGACTTCATACTTAGTAACCATCAGAACTTTTTCTCCCTTTTTATAATTTGTCATTTATTGATTCTCTTACATGACACGTTTTTCTTTTATCTTTTTTTCAAGCTCAAGATTTATTAGTTTCAAATCCATGCTAAAAATATAATCGAACGATTTGCAATTCACAAAAGATGATCGCGTGCTTTTGGTAAACAACTTTCGAGAAGATATTTGAAAGAGAATCTTCATTCTATTTATATTATAATCATAATCTATGAATAGCGAACTTTATTTGTTTTATGAGAAAGTGAAAACGAGAATTTACAGAGAGAAAAATATTTCTGGCAAGTTTAAAAAGAAAATTTGTGGATATGCGAACGGAGATTTGGGGAAATAATTCGTTTGTTGCTCGAATTACTCGTCGACGCTTATGGGAACTAAAGTGTTAAGTTTCATCATTAGTCATTCAAGCTTCTTGGTATTAGGTAAATCAAAGCAGAGTTTGTTTACACCCCGTTATGCAGATAGCTTCTTTCGATTTAAATTATGCAAGTTGATTCGTTATTTGAGAAGCACAAATCGCTTCCATCTAACTAACATCTTGAAGCTTTTCACAGGGACAATGAAAAGTTCATTAAGCTGAAACGTAATGAAAATAAGTGCAAAGTACTTTACTCTACATTAAAATAAGAAATTTATGCGCACCAGAAGCGTGGATGTAAAATAATACTCGAGTTCATGGAATTTCGTTAGTTTGTAGAAATAACTTTTTGCTTCTCTTTTTCAGTATTTTTCCATGCTGTTGGCTGAAAATATTTTTGTTCTCATTTATCTCCAAATAGCTTCATGAATTTAAATTGTGTTTATATATCCAAGGGATGCTTTCATTACAAAGTGAATTATTTTACGAAACAATATTAAGTTACGAGATGAACGAATCATGTACTTCGTGATGAACACGAATTCAAATTTAAATTCAATTAATTGTCGAATATTTTATTAATACTTGTTTGTTTTTTATCTCAGTTTTGAATATGGAAAGAAACTAAAAAAGTCATCAGCTGAGTAGACTTGTTTAAAGCTTCATGTCAACAATATTTATCATTATTTTTTCTTGAATAAAACTTACACAATTTTTAGTCATAATATTTTCAGATCCTCTCATAGTATCTAATAAAATCTTTACTCGATAGTCAAAGTTGTTTTTGTTTATCCATTTCTAAAATATTTCAATGTAAAATTCTCCTCCAACGTCTTTACAAAATTAATTAACAACTTTTTAGACCTATCACATTATTTCTGTAAATATTTTTAAAACAAATCATCGCTATAAACAAAGGGAAAATAAAATATTCATGTTCAGAATTAATTTTCGTTTTTATCTCATATTTTGTTTTTCAGGGATAGTGAAAATAAAATAATTCAGAATGAAATTGAGATCACGAACTGCTTGGATAATTGCTCGAATATAAATTCTTTTGATTAAGATCAAAAAATGTAACTTCTCAAATATAATTGATTTAAATGTTACGTCAACGCTCAGGTCACAATCTCAAACCTCTGTCATTAGAGATCTACTTTTGAAAAAATCAGGATTTTTCTCTATTTTAATTTCGAGTGAGAAAAAGCAATTGTTTGACAGTTCATTAGGCAGCTTAA